GGTCTGTTGAACAGCAGGCCCCTCTCACCAGCACGGGTGTGCTGAACAGTAGGCCCCTCAGCACGGGTGTGCTGAACAGCAGGCCTCTCTCACCAACACGGGTGTGCTGAACAGTAGGCCCCTCAACAGCAGGCCCCTCTCACCAGCACGGGTGTGCTGAACAGCAGGCCCCTCAACACGGGTGTGCTGAACAGCAGGCCTCTCTCACCAGCACCGGTGTGCTGAACAGCAGGCCCCTCTCACCAACACGGATGTGATGAACAGCAGGCCCCTCTCACCAGCACGGGTGTGCTGAACAGCAGGCCCCTCAACACTACAACACAGATGGACTGTGTTGTAGTGATGGACTGTGTTGTAGTGATGGACTGTGTTGTAGTCATTGACTGTGTTGTACACATTGACTGTGTTGTAGTGATGGACTGTGTTGTAGTCATTGACTGTGTTGTAGTCATTGACTGTGTTGTAGTCATTGACTGTGTTGTAGTGATGGACTGTGTTGTAGTCATTGACTGTGTTGTAGTGATGGACTGTGTTGTAGTGATGGACTGTGTTGTAGTGATGGACTGTGTTGTAGTGATGGACTGTGTTGTAGTCATTGACTGTGTTGTCGTCATTGACTGTGTTGTAGTGATAGACTGTGTTGTAGTGATGGACTGTGTTGTACTCATTGACTGTGTTGTAGTCATTGACTGTGTTGTAGTCATTGACTGTGTTGTAGTGATGGACCGTGTTGTAGTGATGGACTGTGTTGTAGTGATGGACTGTGTTGTAGTGATGGACTGTGTTGTAGTGATGGACTGTGTTGTAGTCATGGACTGTGTTGTACACATTCACACTGCTTGGTGGACGCACGTGACAGTGTTCGGTTTAAGAAACTTTCCCCATTTGTTTAAACTGCCACGCCAGGAGATGGAGTGGAACCCGCGACCTCGAGATTGCAATTCCAGTCACGTGCTACGAACCCACAAGCCACGGCAGCGGCTTCCCTGTGAGTCTGACGCAATGATTTGGATGTTTGGCGAATCCCCAGATGCATAGTTTTATATTTTGTCCGTCTGTTCTTCTTAAGCAGTAGCCATGTCTCGCACCCCAGAGAAGGCATCTTGCACCCACAGTGGGTTGCGTGCACCTCAGGTTAAGGAGAAGAAGCAGAGCCGCTGGTTTAAAGGAACCGACTATTTTGATGCATTCCACATTAGCCCCAGGGAGTGCACAGGGTACCCATACTTTACCGTACCGCAAGCAATCTGTCAATGGTGTAAGGTTTTAAATGTTCATCATGGGGCTACACAATATGTTAGCAAATACGTTTCATTTCCTTATTACTTATTTTGAATTAAAGCACTTTCTCAATCTTCTGCTGGATTAAAGGCTCCACAGGTGGGAGTTGTTTTGACCATACTTCACCGCGCTGGACACACTTTCTGGAGCATCTGAAAACCCAGAGAACATCGATACTGTGTATATGTAACATATATACCATGCCTACTATACTTCGCTTATATATTTGCTATAATTGTGTAAATTTCAGGGTCTGAAACCATAACAGCCAGAGGATCATAAATTGTAAACTCTCATCACGTGGGAGGCTGTGCCTCATGTTCACGCCTTGTTCTCATTATTCATATCGCATGTGCTGTGTTTCACTGTGTGCCCACAATTACCGCGTCGGAGACACGGACGCCACTCGACAATTCCCCAGCGCTACCCTCGCACGCACGTGGCCACGGTTTCAGAGGCTCTGGAAGTAATTTATGATTCTCGTTATTATTGTCTTTTGTGATACTACGTCCGAGTAATCAAAGTTAAACACGTTCGCCAATAACACTGCCCCAAAAGGGAAGGCGATAAGAATGTTAATTTTCCTGGACGTCTGGCCAGCTTTAAAGGGTAGGCCTCTTAAGTAGCCGCTGGTGGACACGGGTTCTCTGTGGAGTGCACAGGCCCTTCGACCAGCGTGAACAAGCAACTGCAGGGATGCACCCTGACGTAATATTTAAAATATACATAATAGGTGACGTTTCGGGCAATGCCCCTTCGTCATGATGTATCTGCAGGCCATTGCTCAAAACGTCATCTATTGTCCGTGTTGTTAGTTGCTGTTTCTTGCTGGGGCAGAGCTATTGACGAATTGCGTTGTTTTAGAAATACATAAATAATGACGTTCCGAAAATTGTCCGTGCGCATTTCCCGTGATCCATGCGGCGTCGCTATTATGAGTCGCACGTCCGTGGGACGTCAGTGGGACGTCTGTGGAAGGGGGCGGACTCGACAAAGGGAAACACGCGCAACAGGGCGCGGCTCCACCGCGGAGCTTTTGTGAAGTTCATGAAATGAGCTTTGGGCGATGCGCCCTGCTCAAGGTCTGTGAGCGTGGCCTCGCGGGGGCATTGATGCCGCGCGGTCAGGGGGGTGGGAGGGACTGTCGGTGAATCCTTAACCCTGATTGACCCCCCCCCCCCACCCCTCCACCTCTTTGCTCTCCGAGCCCCTTGGACCATGTAGGTCAACCCCGCATGAGATGTCGGCCAGCGTGAAACGCAGAGTTACGGCCCACTGAGTGTGACGTCTTGGCATCGTCAGCCACCTTTCATCGAGTCAATGCCCGCTCCACGAGTTGCTGCTCTCTCGCTCATGCGCGCGTGCACGCCTCATTCGATGCGCACAAAGACAAAGACCCCCCCCCCCCTCCACCCTTCTTATAGCCTGAACAGACTGTTGGGGCAAGTGTTGTTAGCGAGCACCTAGAGTAGCCACCGTGTAATCATTTGAGGCTGAATCGACCTAGGTGAGGTTCAACACTGTTTCAGATAATCGTCACTGGTGGTGGCCGTGAGCGGGAATCAAACTCGAGTCGCCGGGTTCGTAGCGCAGCGCGCTGACCTCTACACTGGCCACTCTCCACACCGCACGATACGCACACACGCAACCCACGCCAGCACGGACGCCAGACTTCACAGCAACCTCCCTCCCTGTCCGCTGTCCCATACGGGAATGAGGAGGATGATGACGCACGACGGCACGGAGCGTGGAGCGGCGTGCACCTCGCCACGCCAATCAACGCATCGAATCAATCTCCCTCCCGGAGAGCGCCGTGAGAACGCCGCTCGTGTGCGGACCCTTTAGTCGACGCCCTGCAGGATGAGGGCCTCCCCTTACGCCGTGTGGGTCGAAGGAGTTGATCTGACCATACTTCACCGTAGGGATCGGTCCAGGGTCACTTGCCACCGGTGCTATCCCGAGTCGGGGATCGATCGAACTCAAGTGACAGAGTTTGCAGGGCGGTGGGCTAGCGACGACTCCGACACAACGATGACGATGTCCGTGATGACGATGATGACGGTCAATGCATTACTTTGTCAAAATGTACATTGTCGAGTTGATGACGGTGGACTAGATTCTCAGCCACGGCTCACATCAGCGGCAAGTGATATTGATATCGGTTCTGGGCAAAACGGACGGTATTGTATCGTCGTAACGCTCCTGCGATCACGTTGGTGTCCACGTGATGGACAGTTATTACGTGTGTGTATGTGGGTGTCTAGATTGTCCACCAGAAAAGGTCGGAGTGATGGCAGTGGAAGGAATATCGGTGTAAGCGTACACCCACGCACGTTGTGAGACTGACGGTTTACTGCTAAACTGAGTAATGTGGGTTATGAAATATTTAATTGGACGTAATTATGTATATTATCATATGAAAATGGAGTTCTGTTCTCCGGTCACGGCTAACGTCAATGGCAAGCCATGTCTGAAACGATCCGAGGCGCCGTTCACCAACGCGCAGTGAGCAGTGTGTGGTGAAGTATGGTCAAACGACTATCATGACCGGAATGGAGTGGGGAGGCAATCGTCGTCAGCGGTGGATTGATAAAGGGGTGGACATTTTTCGTACCATTATTTGACGTTGCATCTGTAAGCTGACCGTGTAATCTAAATTATTCACATCGTAATTCATGCCATTTATGTATCCAAATAAGCCTCACCGTGTCCCAGGTCTCCATCGCAGGAGGTCCTGAATTGAGGATTTCTGGAATTGAGGATGTTTGGCCAATGCCCTTTTTCATGAGGGATTCGCGCGTGTGATTACATCTCACGCGGGAAGAGACGGGTTCAATACAACAGCCCACTTGCTGTGTTGCCATCGTCTCAGTCCTCTCACATTCCAGCAGCTTTGCGTTTCTTCGCACTTTTCCTTTACGGTACCGACCAGAGCCCTCCTCATCCGCAGCGCCAGAATCACAGAGGCGGGCGTAGTCGCGCGACAGCGCAGCGCACGGTCTGTAATTGCGAACATTACTCGCGTCTTCACAGCGCGCATCGAGCCGCTCCGCGCTAATGATGAATTAAACAATTACCACCGCTGTCATCCAAGCCGCTTATTACACCTTGTTAAGTTCAGAAGGCGGAGATCTCAAGGCAGTCGGCATTGCAAGGCGCAGCTGCGCAATTAATGTCCCTCTCAACTCACCACCCCCCCTCCCCGCCTCCACATCCTCCACTGCCCCATCCGACGTGCTACTTTCGCACCCCGCGTAATTAACTCGCGCTGCCTTCCAGATAAATAATTCAGCCGTGGCCGTAAGCGAGCGCGCGCACGCGGGGCTATAACTGCCCCCCCCCCCGCCCCCAGCTCCCAAAAATCGATTGCGTAAAAACCGCTGCCCGAAATAAAGCAAGGACCTTAAAACAACAACTACTACTGCTTTATTTCTCGCGAGCCCATATATCGTTTGTTAACAATATTACTGTCATTATTCTTGTGGACCCCCATTACCCCCACTACCCCTTGCCCCCTACCTCCTCCTTCCAAAAAAACACAAGCGCATGCCATCTGTGTGGTGAGATGTGCGTAATATCTATGATATATTCTATCAAATACGTAACGCGCGGTCCATCAAACGGGGCCGTGTCTCAAAATAGCTCGGGGAGGGGGTGGGGTGATAGGGGGGGGGGCACAGTGTGAATAAAGGAGGAGGGGTATGTGGAGGAGGGAAGGAGGTGGGCGAGATTGCGCCTCAAGTGTTACATCCACCCACTGTTGACTAGACGGGGCGTGCTGTCTGTCCTGTATATAAGCGAGACACTCTCGGCCCCAGCGCCAGGGTTAATAACGAGGCAGTTGGGAAGAGAATACAAGTTGTCAAGCTCGAATTTGTCGTGCGTTGTTGTTTGCCGGCTCGTAAGAACCCGTCGCAAGTCGAAGCAACGGACGTTGAAGAGGCGTAACGTGAATCTCCATCTTCAACTCCTGCCGCCGCGAGTCGTAAGGTGAGAGAGGCATCGCAGCGACCATGCCGAGCGATTAGACGCACGTGCGCAGACGCACCCCACACGGTAGGCAAATATTGGTGTTCGGGTTTCATGACTCCAGGTCAGTCCGTGTGCAGGCTCTATGTGTGGATTAATGGCATTGTAGGATCTTGAGAGATGACATCTTCATCCGGCAGTGGATTGATCGCAGCCGATGAACTACAAGCCACAGGCTGCCTCATGCTGTCCAACTGCTGAATCTGTAATTCCCGATCTATCGTTGCAAGTCAGTCACTAGACAGACTCGCTGTGGAATGCACTCACACACGCGGCCCTACACTTCAGTTCGTATAATTTAATTAAGCGGAACCCGCACGTCGCGGAATGCACGTGTACAACAAACCACATCAAACATTATTATTGCTTTGGTACAATGTAAGAGCTCGATTGGCGGGGCGTTAATTATTAAATAAATAAAGCCACAGTAAGTATTGCAAGGAAGATGTAAATATGCAATAATACGTGAACCTTACACATTCCTGTTATTAACAAATCACGTGCAACGGGATGTAAACACGTTTCGAACATGTAAACAAGTTATCATTACCGTGACTCATCTTACTGCCATTGCACCTTGTTTGCATTCACCATAAGGATATTGCTTTTCACACGAGCAAACATTACATTAATCGTGTTTCGGATTGGTTAATGCGCAGCGCTGCGAACCAACCCAACGCCCCTGGGTGCCGTTCCCGGCCACAGCGAGCGTGAGCAGCGACAGTGATATCTGAGACCGGTGCTGCCTCTCTCCACACCGCCTCGCCCCACCAACAACCCGCACTGACCAGCGTGCTGAAGTATGGTCAAAGCAACACGACCATGACTGACATGGCGTGGGTGGTGGGAGAAGAGGGACTGTCATCCGTCCAGCAGCAGATTGACCAAGGCGATGTATAAGTAATCCCGTTCTCAGACAGTTTGGCTGCCTCTTATATTGAATGTCGAGGAGCACACGGGCCTGCATAATTCGTACGACCGTTATTATAGAGACATGACCCCGTAGGTTCGCATATGGTATCTGCGTATTATTGCAGGCTCAGTCTGTGTGTGGATAGAGTTCAGCAAATGAGTGTGAGCGATGCCCCAGTAAAACAGCGGCGCACGGCTCCCAGCAATAATCCTCGGACCTCACGTGCCGTGGCTACCTCCATTCATCTCAGCCGGCACGAACACAGCCGCGGGCACGTGAGGCGGAGCGGTGGCCCATGGTTAGCACACTACAATTCTGAACCTGCTTAGCTGAGTTCGGTTCCCGACCAGGGCTAACATCAGTGGTAACTGGGTCGCTTCTAGACGGCCCTCCCGTTCTTCGCCAATTCGCATTGTCCAGCGTGGTGAAGTATGGCCAAATAACACCGTCCCCCTCCCCGTTACCGACACGGCATGGGGAGGCCTTCATCCAGCAGTGGATTGCCAAGGGGCTGTTTATTATTGTTGTTATTATTTTGTATATACAATGGTCCAGACACCTTGCTTGGACTTGATGCATTAAGAGGGGCGCATTCATCTTGGCTGGCACCAACCAGCCCCGTGCACCGATGCGTGGTGTAGATTTGTGAATGTTTCCACATTCTCGGGTGATCGCAACGAGCCACGTTGCACCTGTGCGCAAAGTCTGCACAGACGAAGATGCAGGTGGCGGCTACCGGAGTCTGGCAATGGGTTATTGACGCAACCGAGCGTCGGTTACCGTCACGGACACGGGGCAGGCGGCGGGTCACGTGCGGCGCTGCGGTGGCGCGAGAGCATTCCCAAAGCGAGCTTGGAGGGACCGCAGCAGCCCAGGGCACCAATGCGCATTTAATATCAATGCCTCGAATGTCAGTCTCAAATTCAAATCCTAAGACACGTAGCAGACTCATTCGCTTATCTGTCAAATTGATCGGTCGCATCTCGACATTGTCTGCTGCTCGCTTCTCTCGCGCCTCGCTAGATCTCTCTTGTTGTGGTGTACATCTCTCTCCTATCTCACTACATCTCTACATCATGTCTATATCTTTACATCAATTAGGGACGGGTTAAAACATTGTCTGCTTTTTAGGGGCCCGAATGAACTAGCGCCACCACTACTGGTTACCCGTTTCTGATAACCGAATATCAATCGATCGTTTCTGACATTGAACGCATGAATACTCTGCCTTCTAACGAATATACGTATATGCTTTGAGCGCAAGATGTGACTTTAAATTAAATAGGGGTTCAGAGCGCAGTGCGCTAACCACTGCGCCACAGCTCCTTCCGAAAAGCGAAATACCTTGTTGGGCAATAGTATATGATGCACCTTTCGTTTCTGAAACTTTATCTAAGGAGAATAATATTCACTGGTACAACATCCCTTTGGCGGGGGGGGGGGGGGGACCATGATCCCTCATGGGTTTTCATTTCGGCTCAAGAATATCGGAAGATGCTGATCATGGGGCGGAATCTAATCTGATTAAACGATATTTGTAATGATGACATCTCTCTCCTCGTTCAATTACATCGGAGGATAGCGGTGATGGTGATGATGTGACGACATTTGGTCAATAGATAATTGATGTTGATGACCATCATGCTAACGGGTACTCGCGTGGTAACAGATGGTTGATTTTAGATGACGCTATTGATGATTGTTTGGGCTCTCACGTGGCTAAGCCGTATTGGATAATAATGATGATAATAATGATAATGCATCTGCCACGATGATGATCGCATCCACCAAAATAAACACGATCATCAACAACGCCGTGGCCTTGAAAGGAAACGTATACAATCGGCGACGTTTCGGGCAATGACCCATCTTTATTGCGCAGGGGCCAGTGCCCTGGAAAACGTCGATTATATTACATATCTCTATATTTTGAAGACACAGCGCCACTGCTGAACGTGTTGATGTGTTGTTGTTGTTGTTAACTGTCTTTGTGAACCATCACCAACAGTAGCAGCAGGAGCTAATTTCTGTACTCGGCCATGCAGGGCGGTGGGAGGGCAGCGGGCGTGAAGCGCCACCAACCTCGACCGCCCGTGTCTGTCTCCTGCCACATGCCCCAGCGGGGGGGGGGGGGTCGGCAACCTGCGGCTCTCTATGAACGACTGTCTCCTCGACGTCATTCATGAAGGGCCGCCGTCTTGTATTCACGTGCATTGCGGCTTTTGAAATATTCAGTTGTGTGTTTTTTTTTAGTTTTACGGAATTGTGTCTCTTCTCGTTATTTTGTTCGCCGTCCTCCTGTTGACGAGCCGCAGCGTCACCGCCACCAACCCCCCCCCCCACCCCTTCTCTCCCTCCCTCTCCTCCGCTGTACGCAGAAATGGCTGCCATACGCGTGCACGCGCTGCTGGGGCTGCTGGCGCTACTGGCGGCGTCGGCGCGCTGCTGGGACGGAGCTGCGGGTCTCCAGGCGGGGCTGGCGTCTCGCCAGTCCCTGTTGGACCTCGTCCTCGCCGCGCTGGAGGAGCTCGAGCGAGGCGGCGGGACACGCCACTCCTCCTCGCCCCTCGCATTCCCCTCCTCCGAGGACCTCGCGGGGAACGCGGCCGAGATGTCACGCATCCCGTCCGAGATATTCTTCCCCATAGGTGACACGCGCGCGCGTGTGTGTGTGTCAGCGTGTGTGTGTGTGTGTCAGCGTGTGTGTGTGTGTGTGTCAGCGTCTGTGTGTGTGTGTCAGTGTGTGTGTGTGTCAGCGTGTGTGTGTGTGTGTCAGCGTGTGTGTTGGCCACCCACCCCTTCGTGTGTGCCGTGCCGGCCTTCATAGGTGCTCGCTTACATCGCTATCCCCCCAAAAAGTCTGTTAAGTCTATCGGGGAGGATCTTTGTCTCTTGCGAGTGCGTGCGTGATTATGGAGTAGGAATGTAATGGAAAATGCCTCGCGCTACGAACCAGACGACCAGAGGTCGATTTCCCAGCAACGGTCAACATTGGTGACGAATATCTGAACCGGTCGCGAGTCTGCCCTTGGTCGACTCACCATGAAACACGTGTACCTGGTGTGGTGTGTAAATGTCAGCACCGGAGAGACAACGGCGGTAGGGCTTGGATCTGGTCACACCTCTCCTTCATGCCGCTGAATCGACCTCATGAAGGTCGATACAGCTAACGGCACTTGTTACAACGGTCATTAACGCTAGACGGAGAATCGCAGTGTTTGTGTTTATGTATATGTGTGCATGTGTATTTTGATTTTGATCTCCTGCGAACGGAATCATCGTTCCGGATTCTTGGGATTTTTGCACATTTTTTTACGCAGTATGAGCATACGGTGCTTTTTTTGGAAGATGTAATTTTTTTTATAGGGGATGTTTCAATTTGCGTGCAGTAAATTTGAAATGTATCTCGTAATTTTATTGTTTGTTGCAGCTGCACCCGAATCAAGAGCAGAATGGCTCACAGGGTTAAACCAAATAAATGAAACTGAAAAACTAATTCAATTCTGGGGCTTGCGCACCTGCCGGATGTTTTTGTTACCTGGCCCACTCCTAGGTTGATTTGGCCAAAAATAAATAGCATCTCATGCGGCGGACATGATAGCCATACACTACCTCCTCGCAGGCAGCCTTAGTTGGCATTTAATAACGCCACTTGCCTGACATTGTCTGCCAATGCGTTCTATCGATACCCGCCATCATAACGCGTGCGTCCTGGACCTTGCCCAAGCAACACTCCACCTCGGGCGTGATGTCACCAACGTTCATCCTCGCGGCGGCCAAAAAGTCATCCCAGCGGGGGCGGGGGGAGTCATTTCTGTAATTTTGAATCTTGGCTGGCCACGGTCCATCGCTCGCGGTGACACAGGGAGGAGAGGCGCCACGCGGGAAGCCCTGTTGAACACGTGGCCCCGTGTGACCCAGCGACCCTTCACTCGCGACCCCGCCGCGTTGCTCCGCGTGAGGCCCCAACGAGCGCCGAGGGCCCACCGTGCGGTGGATGCGGCAGCTCCCCGTGTCTTTTTTAATGTAAAAAAGAACTGTTAGTATGACGACTCAATGCGAGCAGCCCGGTACAAAGCCGCCCACCACCGAACGGAGGGGGGGGGGTGACGAAAGTTCCCCGGTTGCTCCCCGTGCCTCGTCACTGCTTACCTAGGAGCGTGGCCGCAAATTATCTCCGTCATCATCGGCCACGGTCAATCCGCTGCTGGATGAAGGCCTCCCCCCAAGCCTACCACTTTACGATCGTTTCGGGCATGATCGTCCACGAACTTCATCGCTCCACCTCAGCCGTGGACGTTTCATTCCTTGGCCGCAACTCCGTTGTTATTGTTCGCCATCGGCCATCGTCCATCCCTTCTCACGACGTTTCGTGTCAATCAAATGGTTGCTTCAGAAGCTGGACGGTGATCTATTTATAGATACCGCATTGAAACAACAGGGATACGTTGTGAAGAAAATACATTGTTATTTCAAAACATATATGTAGAAACATCCACCAATCTCAGCGCACGTATTATTCAATAGTAAAGGTGTTTCTTCCGTCAGCCAAGGAACCACCGCTTTCAGAGTCTGCAACCACCTGTTCAGAATGTAGTTCATTGACGATTATAATCAATGGGGTGTCTATACATGGATCGCCCCGTACATATGCAGCGCGCGAACGTCAAAATCCAATGAAATCTGGGGGCGCTCGCGACTTTCGCGACTGACCAATCCTTACGGGCCCAGCGCCGATCAACGACGCTCAAAGAGCGCCTCACGTTGGGCTCCACGGCCCCTTCCCTCCGGAGCCGCGCCCGCGGTGCGGTGGTCAGCGTGCACGACGCGCAGGACCCAAGAAGTCACCGGTTCGATTCCATCGCCCGGCGCGGCGGCTTTTAAACGGTGGTGCGAGTTTCTCGAACGCCCCGCTACCAAACCCCGCCGCCTCTACCCAGGGCACGTCGTGTGTCGGCGGGGTAAAGTGTGGGCAAGCTCACGTCTCTCGAGACATCTGGCGAGTTTGAAAAAGTAGGCCAAAATAGCCTCCAGCAGGGGCTCTGCGGAGCTTCCTCCACCAACTGCTCGCTGATTGTAATGTGTGAATGTTTAAAATCTCCTTATCTACGTACGTTGGACTTTTGTCGCGCCGTACGTAGCCAACCGTGCTAATCGGAGGTGCGATTAGCAGGGTTATGCGTGCGCGTGAAATAAAATTCCCGCAGTGTTCGTTGTCCCTCTCGATGTGTGCGTCTGTCTGCCAGTGGCAGTGCGGGCAGCTCGCGGTCGGGAGCGATCGGCACTGGCCGTGAGCTAACGGTGGCCTCGTGTTTTGCTTTCTTTCTCCCACAGCGATCGATACCCGTGACCCGAGTCTGAAAGAGAAATTCATCAAACACGTCACCAATAAGAGTGAGTTGTGCATCGCACTCACAGTTTTCACCCCCGCGTGATTGCTCACTCCCTCGTTCGCTCACTCCCTCTCCCTCTAGCCCAATCGCTCCCTCACTCACTAATTCACTGACTCGCTCGCTCACTCCCTCTTGCTCACTCGCTCTCTCACTTGCCCACACACTCTTGCTCACTCACTGACTGGCTCGCTCATTCCCTCTTGGTCACTCGCCCCCTCACTTACTCACTCACTGACTGGCTCGCTCATTCCCTGTTGGTCACTCGCTTCCTCGCTCACTCATTCCCTCTTGACTGTCTCGCCCGCTCACTCTCTCTTGCTAATTCACTTACCACCAACACTCATTTTTTGGCCGCACCTTCACTTTTATATCAAGCAACTAAAATTCATGTTCAGAAAACGAGGCTTTGGTTTTTGCTTTTATGCATTTGCTTATCTGTTACATTTGTACTGTGCTCTTGGCATCATATTGTCAATATAAACATTTCCACTTTGAACTCATGCAGTGACCAGTACATCCAACCAAAACGGTCAGGGCAACATTTCAAACGGAATAATTTTCCAGATCCCTGGTGTAGACTGAAGTAAGGTGGCATTTGACTAGTAGTAGGCAGAACCATTGTGAGAGACATACTGTGTAGGTCACTGAGATAATGTCTGGTTCACCGACCCCAGGAAAACCTACGTAGCTGATGGGAGGCCGCGGTGGCGAGATCTTAACTACCTTGCCTGGTATGCAGGGGGTCTTGGGTTTGATCCTAATCCTGATGTCTGAATATTTAGAGTTTGCATGTTCTCTCTCCCCATGTTCACGTGGATCTTTCTCCTGGTTTTTCCCTCCACATTTAGAATGAACATGCGTTTAGAGTATTTGGCTGCAATAGATTTCAAAGTGACAAGCCACATCATTGGGCTATCATTTGTGGCCAGGTCGCTTCTGAAAAAAACAGCCATATAGCTAAATGGGCCTTACCCGGTAAAATAAAACATAGTTTAGTGTAATGAATCTCCTGAAGAGCGGCCTCTAGAAAGATTATCTCACAGAACTACAAATGAGGTCCCTGAAATTGCCTCTTATCCAAACGAGGGTTGCGGGGTGCTTCAGGGACACTAGAGAACCAGCAATAATAATAATAATATAGCGCACAAAGGTAACGAATACCCCATTATACAATGTAACACCGTTCGACCCCCACCTTCCCCGCCACGCCACTTGCCCACACACGCCCACATTCTCCCACGCTACCTTGAACCGCCACCACCACCACCACCCAGACAGCAGGGACGGTGGGTGGGTGGGTGGGCTGTTCGTAATTACCAGTCGTAGCCCGCTGACCGCTGGACTTGCCAGCAACGGTCTCGTGTGAGCTAAAGATCCCCCGCGCGTGTAATACAATTCCACGGTCATTGGCGACCAATTTGCTCCGTCCATTTATTGAACCGCGACTGCTTCAATCAGGGTCTTGTTTAAAAAAAATCCTTTTCAGTGCCCAGAGTCTGTGCCACACTCTGACAAAACAAGACGGACAATTTTGGCGCCCTGCCACGTGATCGCACTGTGGCCTCTGTATGTGTGTGTGTGTCAGTAGCGCAGTGGTTAGCGCACTGCGCTATGCGCCATGAACCCAGTGACCCCAGGTTGATTTGATTCCCGGACTTGGCCAACATCATCGGTAAAATATCTTAACCGGTCCCTAAGTCGACTCAGAGTTAAACGAGGACAAGGTTTTGTGTGTAAACATGAGAAATGGGGAGACAAAGGCGGGCGGGTGTGGTACTTGCCCACACCACCCCCTTGGTGTGCTCTGTGCCGGCCTTAATAGGTGCTCGCTAACAGCTCTTGCCGCATCAGCCTTTGTGACTGTAATATTGATGTCTTTGTTACAGTATACACACCACGCGCACAGATCCAGACTCAAAGCCTCACGTGTCACCACCGCACACTTGGTGACATGGTGGCCAGGAGATTCTTGAATCTATTCTTGTGGAATTTTGAGTGTTTCCCCCGCGGTATGTGTGATGGGTTTTCTCCAAGCACTGTCGCCTCCTTCCCCTATGGACACGAACATCCCACTGCAGGAAACCTCCTGATAGAAAAGAGTCTGGGAACTCAGTGACGCTTTCGTGGCTAAATAAAGGACATCATTATTATAGTTGTTGTTGGAATGCGCCAGGCATAATTGGTCATGTAATCCATACCGGGTTGCTGCCAGACTACAGCAAGTGGCATGTGACTTGTAGTCGCCACGGCCATAGCGCGAGATACTGGATGTGGTGTGCAGGGTTTGGAGGTATTTTCGTTCCGCGCTCGCTGTGCCGCACAGCCCTGGATGAGATGAATCCCTCGGAGTGCGCGAACACCGGTGGGAGGGGGGCGGGGTGGGGGCTCGACATCGACACGCTCTTCAACGCTGGCTGATAATTATTGGACGTGTTGATTAGGGGGGCTATGCTCATTAGGGGCCATCCATTTAGAACGTACACATGGAGGGGGTTGGGGGGTTAACCCAAATGCGTACGCTTGGTATGGGTAGTCTACTGACATTGTACGCATAGGAAACGGGGGAGGGGGGGTGAAGCCTCGATAATAATTTGTCTACATTGGCCTTCAAATGAGTTAGATAGTCCGGCGGTGGACTATCTGTTTGCTTCAACACGTTAATATTATTAACCCTTGATCGTTTCTGCGTGGATTAAATATCGGCCGTTCTATAGGATTGGGTGGGGGGGGTGCGTCAGGCTAACGTACACAGGTGGGGGGGGGGGGGGGTGTAAACAGTCCACGTGCGTACAGGGACGGGGGGGAGGGGTCAAGTTTTGACAGATTTTTTGCGTACCTACTAAATGGATGGCCCCTTATTGCGTGTGTTGTGTGTGTGTTGGTGTCTTTGCGGGTTGCAGGTTCCATGTACATGTCACCGGAATGCAGTCGGCAGTTCTACCGACTCTACCACAACACCCGCGACTGCACGGTCCGCTCTTGTAAGTCCGCATTACTCCACGGCTCGGATATATAGCCATGAAACAAATACCCTGCGGCATGGGCTTGATTTCTCACTCAACATAATCTGGGGGCGCTCGTAGACTCGAGTAGGCGGCACGTGGTGAGCCACAACCAAAGCGAGATGTGCACTTGATGTGGCATGCCGGGACTCACCAATGCTTTCTTGTATAAATAAAGGGCATTATTATGATTGTAATACACAGGGCTTCATTGGTCACTGAATGTTTTCCGAGTTGGGCGCCAACACTTGGCCAAGCTCTGTGGTTCAATATTGGGACGTTTAGCCAAACTAAGTTAGTGTCTAAAATGTGCTCCTATGGGGTGGTGGGATCGTTTGGATGTTGAAGGCCAGGCTGGATGCGATGGGAGCAGTACGGACTGGGCATTAGGGTGTGTGGTTCGTAGCGAAGTGATTCTGGCGTCAACCGGGGCAGCGTGCATGGCACCCGGTGAACGCGTCGCAGCCCAAGGACGGGCTGCTCTGAGACGCATGAGATAGACATCGGCTGGGTTATTTGTCTTTATCTTTGTATGGTGAACGTCTTTTGCACCGTGCGGAGCCAACCGTGCTAATCAGAGGCGCAGGGGAAGGACAACAAACTAAACACAAAAATATACAAGCGCCCAAAACCACTTATACAATTCCATATTCCTACGGAGGGGGTCAATAGCGGGCTGAATTTCTCATGGAATATTTTCCAGAGATCAGCCCCAAACGTCTTTATCTGAAATTGAGCCCTGCTTAACCGCAACCAGATTCTGTGTCCTTACTCTCCTCTTAAGTTGGGAGACGTTACCAGAATAATGATTAATCAGTTATACAAAAGATATATAGAAACCTTCATGCGAGTGGTAGGCCCTGTGAAGCACTTCATTTTCACTGAGTTCCTGGTAGACTGGAACAGGCACGTGACGAGTAGTAGCCACAGCCATAGCGAGATGTATACTGGATTTGGTGTGCCGGGTGTGGAACTAATTTCCAGGTCAATGACCCAGACAAGCCCCAGCGAAATTTACGAGCCTGCACACTCCAAACAAATCGCACTCATGCATATACGTATACCGTGCATATTTAAGATAAGGTCACAGCTCCATGTCAATCCACTGCTGGATGAAGGCCCCCCCCAACACTGTATCGAGCATGGAGGGGTTGTTTGACTGAACGTTAAGCCCGCGTCGCGAGGACTGGAGTGTGAAAAGCACGAAGCAGTCGCCACTCGCCATGCCATCGCAGTGTTAAGTCCACGAGTCCAGACCACGTGTTGTACTCGTCGTTCCAATTTATTTACGTGGCCAATAACAGTGAATGTGATGGCCATTTGAAACGAACGGGGTTATCAAACACCTCGCCCTCATTAGCTGCATAAATACAGCGGTGTCACCAATGCTTAGCTACGTGACGTGGTACCAATTGTTGCTGTGGCCCACGGACTATTTATATCCTCGGTGTGGAAGCTTGGGGCTGACGTCTCATTTTCTGATTTTAGTTTTGTCTTCCTTGCCCGTGTCCTCGTGGGTGCAGACTACCGGAGGTGCGCACGCCTCCTCAGAAGACTCACCATGAGTCCGCTCTGCACCAAGAGTTAGGAGCCCTGCCGGAGGTGAGTAGCCACAACACCGGCCCTTGTGCGTAGTCCAGGCACCGGAGAGGAAACATCACGGCCAGGTCTCGTTCGCAGCGATTATCCTCATTGTAAAACTTAACAATATCATGATGCATAATTGACTTTTAGCTTAGGCCACGTTATAGATCTGGCCAAATTTATGTCAGAAGAAAGCCCCTACCATCACCCAGCATAGCCGACATTCTGATCTCGTCCTGAAGATGTTTGGCGCAGTCTCGAGCAAAACGTTGCTTGTGAATGTTGTCCTCCAACTCACACCGGTGAGCTGAAGCAATAAGAATTGGCAGGTTAAACGCTTGTATTGTACACTTGATACATTTATTGATGTTAACTGTGTTGGGTGGTGGAAGGTCTTAACGACACAAATTTAACCCAACAATAAATTACTTAAAATTATTACCCTTTTTACCGAAGAAAGCCCCACCAAATCTAATCTATCTGGTAGGAATAACAGTCCATGAGCCCAGACCAGTTATTTCCTTTGTCATTTCCAACTGAGATGATATCACTCGAGCGGTTCCAACTTCTTTATGTGGCCAACACCAGTGAATAATGTGGTAACCATTACAAAGGATTGGAGTTACCCACTACTCGCATTGGCCGTGTTAGTAAATCGGTAAGACCTAAGCTTTGCTATCTTGAGTGGTACCAGTTCTGCTCTGGCCCATGGACTATAAAGCAGAATACAAGTTATGATACAAGCACACACTGCCTATAAACACAGCTGGCTTTGCTCCTGGGGGGCGCTTTCGTAATTATTCAGTTGCCCTGTGTGAATGAAGGAGCTCTCTTTGTCTTCTTCTGAGTGACACTTTCATATCGAAAAGCTCTCACGTAGAAATCTGTGGTATGAGTCACCCTTTCTGAAACGCATGTCTTCATATCGTCATTTTGACAAGATGGGCACACGTCCTACGCATGATACGACTTGAGAGATGATTTTGCGTAATTGCTTTCTCATATATCCGAAAAAAACTTAGACAAAAGCCACGTGATATTTGATCTTCTCTGCCTGCACATATTGCGGGACCACGCATGCAGACCAGACCCCAGTGCGCCTATTCCTGTTATGTACCTTATGGCCATTATCCAACAACACCTGGGTCTGACCCCGACTGGTGAGCTTTTGTCACGTAGTCACAGACACCTCAAAAGTGCACCTCTCCTGCCACCAGTGCGATGGCAATGCCACTGCCCTTGAGGAATGACGCTGATTGCCCTGTCAATGCGTGTGCGTGCGTGCGCGCGTGTTGATTGTTGGAGCGGTAGTGTAGCGGGTAGCGTGCTGCGCGACCGAACTTGGCGACCCGAGAACGCTTGCCGCCTCGTGGCCAACACTCCAGTGACGATTATTTGAGCCGGTCCTGGATCTCCCCTGGGTCGACTCAGCCTCAAATGAGTAAATGGTGCGGTGGGCAAACATCGCCACTCGGTCAGGCGTGGTGCTTGGTCACCCACCGGGTCCTCGTGTGCCGTGCCGGCCTTAAGGCTTCGCGGAGATCTCACGTTGATTGTCATCACGAGTGACGCCTCGAGCTTGTTCATGGTAAACGCATTCATTTTCTCTGTTTTGTCTGTGCAGGCAAGGGAGCGGGTGGCAGCGCTGTGTGTGCACCATAACATGAAGTGCCTTCACGTTATCCGACTTATTCTGCATGGACGTCTGTAACCCATCGTGCGCCGCTTGAAACACAAACACTGAAAAGCGGACAAAGGGTGAGAAGAAGGCCATGCTTTGCTAGAGGGGGAGGGGGGCAATGAGGGGGAGGGGGCCCATTAGGAGACCCATTTCACGTAGGGAAAGCGCCTGGGAGAGATGGCTGAGTGGTAGGGCGAGCGGTTCGTGCTTGGAAGGCTGTGGGGGTCGACTCAGCCCGTCATCCCTGCGGGGTCAATATATATTAAAAATGGGTGGCATTTTTGGAAGAACTCGACAGTGGTTTACTTCTGGAGAGACTCGCTCTCGCCGTACGAACGTGGAATTTCCACCGCTGGCTCGGGGGGAGGGGGGGGGGGTGTAAACAGGAAGAGAGTGGTACTCTCTTTGAGAGTGCACGGGATTACCCAGACTCTCGCTCTACCCCGAGTAGCTAACGAGAGGGACGACCCTGCCACCAGCCCTGCCCCCTGAGCCGTATCCCCTTTATCGATCTCACCCCTGGTGCTAAAGCCCCTTTTTTCACGTTTTGTTCGCTCTTCAGTTTTTAGTGCACTCACCCACACCTTAACTCGAGTCAGCATTTTGCACCTCACCACGCACACATTCCTACAGCTTTAAATGGGGTTCTGAGACCATGGCTTTTTGAAAACAGTGGCATTTGGCTGAAAAAAAATTGCATCCCGTCCGATGAAATGCAATGGCAGCATTATTATGAAAAAAAAACTTTCTTCTGCTGTATATTAGCTGCAAAGTTGTTGTGGATAAGTGCAATTTTACGAAAAAATATATAATAGGCCAAGTTCGCATATACGGAACAAAAACTGCCTATATTTTATTGTTAATTTAATTGAATGGTGGTTATCTTAAATTATGTCAAAGCTATTTTTTTCACAAATGTCATCGTGCATAGTATAATTTTGAATAATTTATGCAATGCATCATCTGCAATCAAGTGAATATTCAGTGAGGGAAAATGTTATATTTGTACTAAGTTATTGGCTGTGTGAATGTAAGATATTGTATTTTAACATTTCAAAATAAACATTACAATTTTTTCATTAGTTTTTTGCATTTAACAACGCAAAAAAACACGCGATTAGCACGACCGCCGGCAGAAGGTTTGTGGGACTTCGACCTATTGCAAACTTTATCCTTGCTTTAACAGTCTACGCTTTACATTATACACAAAGACAAAGATCCTCCGTATAGCCTTTACACACTTTTGGGGGCAAGTGCTGTCAGCGAGGGCCTATGAAGGCCGACACGGGACACGATGAGGCGGGTGGCCAGCTCCACGCCCGGCCGCCTTTGTCTCCTGAATCGAGATGTTTGCACATCAGACCGGGTCCTCATTTGAGGCTGAGTCGACCTAGGGGAGGCCCAGGACCGGTTTAGATACACGATGGAGTTGTTTGCCCATTGCAATGTGAGCCCAGTGATGGGACGACAATTCCCCGGTCGTAGCTAACATCAGTGGCGAGTGACATTTGACCAACCCGTGTTTAATTTTTTGGGTTATATCGTGTAAATGTAAATGTGTCGTAAGCCCCACTCTCCACCCGACACCACCAATTAAGTTAGGTTTGTCACGTGCCAATCAGTTACTATTTCAGCACGACGTTTCGCTGGTGATTATAACCAGCATCATCAGGCGATCTCGCCCAAACAACTCTTATCATGAATAATAATGATTGCGGAAGGCTACGGTGTCGATCGGCATGGTGAGGGATCGTCAAAACTACCCCCACGAATGGCACGGTGTGGCAGGGCCTTCATCCAGCAGTGGATTGACAACAGGCTATTAATATTATCAATACTGATTAACAACCCTTTTGTGAACATGCCGCTCAATGAATGCTTCCCCATGTTGCATCAGTCCTAAGGGGTTGTTTGACCACACTTCACCGCGCTAGTCAGTATGACATGGTAAAGGAGTGTTGCGTGTGGGCAAGCAGCGCGATTAAACCCTGATCCACCATTCATTGATATAATTAAATTATATTGTGTCCTAATCATGGGTTGTTGTGGTTGTCCTGGGTAGCAACGGGTGACTGACATGGGTGTGTGTGTGTGTGCATGTATGTATGTCTCTGTGTACGTGTGTGTTGGGAGCGGTAGTGTAGCGGTTAGCGTGCTGCGCTATGACCCTAGCGACCCGGGTTCGTTTCCCGCTCACGGCCGATACCAGTGACGATTATCTGAACCGGTTCTGCGCCTCCCCTAGGTCGACTCAGCCTCAAATGAGCACCTGGTGCGGTACGTAAAAATATCGCCACTAGGGAGACAAAGGCAGCCGGGCGTTTTGCTGGCCACCCACCCCCTCGTGTGCCGTTCTGGCCTTCATAGGTGCTCTCTAACAGCACTTTCCCCTACAGTCTGTTAAGGCAATACGGGGAATCGTTTTTTAATCTTTGTGTGTAAAATATCGTTACAGGGAGCGGTAGTGCAGCGGTTAGAGCACTGCGCTACGGACCGGGCGACTGAAGCTCGATTCCCGCACTCGGCCAATACCAGTGACATTTATTTAAACCGGTCCTGGGCCTCCCCGAGGTCGATTTAGCCTTACACGAGTACCTGGTGCGATATGTAAACATCGCCACTGGGGAGACAAAGGCGGCCTGGCGTGGTGCTGGGCCGCCTCTCCCTCGCGTGCCGTGCCGGCCTTCATACATGATGAATCATTGACACGTGGTTCTCCCCTCGTCCGGCACTGTGAGATATTCGTATTCCTGCGGTATTCCCCATTTGTTTTCTTGTGGCTCAGAGGTGGCAACCCTAGTTAGGTCCATTGATTGGGGTGGAACAAACACAAATGAGGTCGGGGGGGGGGGGATGGAAGGGGCTAAACTGATGGGGAGGCAGAGGTGAGCACCGTGGAAAGGTCGGGTTGACAGCTGACAACGTGATGGCAGCACAAGCGCTTCAACTCAACGGGAGATCAGCGGCAGTGGATGGGCAATGCTGTGAGGGTACCATTGGCCACACGGCGCTGGGCGGTGCGTTCATAAAAAAATATTAATAATTAGGACAATTACATTCCACTCCAAATCGGCGTCGGAAAAAGGAGCATGCACGCCCCGTGCCTTTGTGCTGTGTGCGTAGAGCGCGTTTTATCGACGAATGCCTGACCATACTTCACCATGCCGGTCATTGCGAGATCAGTGAGGTTCGGGGAAGAGTATTGAACAGAAATGGATGTTGCTGTACATGCCCTCCACTGCCCACTACGCCGACTACACCTGTGATCACTCGCCCAAGCACTATCCAGGCTGTAACCGGCTTAGATTCTTCGTGATTTGGTCGTAGGTGACATTGTATGATAACATATAAATACAGGTGAGATGTTATCACTACTCTGGCCACAGACACCTAAAACCTCGCTAGAAGGCAAAAAGCCTCAGTTGTGAATGAAAATGAACAGCGGCCAGGAGCTTCCAGTAAAAAAATCAAGTCATGAATTAGCGCCACTAATGAATTGTAAAACGCTGCCCTTATCGTTAAGACGGTGGCTTATTAGCGTAATTTGCACTTTAAAATGAGGAGATTTGCACGTGGCCACGTGCGTCTTTCATCAAAAGGTAATTTGACGGAGACAGTGGAGACATTTATAGGCTTTTAAATCACGCTTTGATGATTGCGGATAGGTGCTAAAAATCCATAGTCACTTGAAAGAAATGTGAAAATAAGGGCTTTTCACCGGCTATTCAAGTGCCCTCTCCGGTAATCCATTTGGCAAAGTAAAAGCAGAAAAAAACATATTAATAACATTAACCTTGTTATCCATTTGGCTTCAAAAACACTCCGTAATAGTCCAAAACACAATTGTCAAATTCAAAGATATCATAATGAAAGGACGATGAAGGCGCAGCCCTGCATTTGCCTTGCTCAAGCCACTGCTGGCGGAAGAGCCTCGACTAGAGGGAGCTCATTCGGCTATATTCCTGCTTCGATAAATAAATAAATAGAAAGATAAAAAATAAATAAATAGGTAGATAAGTAAATAAGTAAATACATCGGTCTGCCTCTCGTGTGACAGTCAATATTCTCTGTGGCACTGGGGGTGGGAAAGCGTCACTCTCTACTCTGTGGACCACAAGTCACTTAGAGGAATTTCAGGAGGTGTTCTGAGATATCCGCTTCTGCTGGCCTCTTCAATACGAGCAGTGCACTGTTCTGTAAGTCCAAGTACATCTTGTCCAAATTCCGTCTTTGCATAGAGCGTAGGGAGAAGCCGATCGGACGTCTTCAATGCCTCCGCTGAGTTTACTCGACGGTTCCCAAAGCTCCACAGCTTAGCCCAAGGTCTGTCCGATTCTGCACCTGAATAGGAGTTGGTGGCATCTGGCATGGGTGGTACGGATTGCCATCAACCAAGCATCAATCTCGTATCAGACAGACGGCCCGGACAATAGCTTGCGTTGGGTAGCCAATTTCTCTATGGCCAGGTGGCTCAATGCTAGAGCCAGCGGCTCGCAGTCAGAAGGTTGCGAAGTTCAAATCCAGAATTGGGGGCTTGACTCAGCCCATCATCCCTCCATGGTATTTAAATGGAGTAACACTTTGTGTGGAAGTCAACAGCGGTTGTCCGATAGGGAGCATTGCCCCCAGAATGTGACTGTGGAATTTCTGCCATTGGCACAGCGCTGGAAGTTATAAATGAGCACCTTTGCAATGCCCATTTGAGCAGGAAAAACTTACTTTGTGAATTAAAAAACATTGCCTGAAAACTGTAGGTGCATGAGGGCCTTGTTTCACCACGTGCCAATTCTCAGCCACCTACAACTTCACAGAGTGAATTGAAAACATCATTATTTATGCATGAAGGAACATTTTTGCTCATTGCAGGAAATTGTGGTTATTACCTAACTTCCCTTCAACAGCCCTTATTAAAGTTGGAATATATTGGTGAATTGGCTCTGGAGCATGCTTGTTGTGGTGTCGGATTAAAAAGCACACAGAATGTGGAGGCCTTGTGGCTGAGGGGTCGCAGCACTGAGCCAGCACGGCTGATACCTTGGCTTAAGAATCCAGCGATTGAACCGAGGTTTTCAAGCAGAATGAGTCGATGGTGTTCGTCTATTCGCTGTAACGACTGCGTACACAAAATATAACCCACCACCATTACATTTAGGGGTTCCCTTCATTTGGCAACAATTCAAGCACTGAGACAAAAATACAATTACTTGACGAACGTGACAAACAAGATTTGCATGCACAATAGAGGGGGGGGGGGGGGTGGGATTGCATCGCATGAATATAAATGCATCGTTAAACCCGCGAACACCCGACTCAGTTAATTAGTAAGGTTTGTCACGCAAACAAAACGTGCCAATTCGCGACTAGTTCAGCACACCGGTGTAACAGGTGTTTAGTCATTGCAATGTGTGCACATGAGGTCCACCGAGGTGGCCTCAGAACTAGTTCTGTGATGTCACCTTCCACCGCCATTCTCTGACACAGGGCGATGCACTGTTAGCTGCAGCATGTTGCATTGGAATGCCTGTGCTGCCTCGTGATGGAACGCTAGAGAGAGAGAGAAAAAAAACTGGCCGACATCAATATTGCTATAAAGAAGTATACCTATATTTTCCCAAGGCGCAAGTTGCAATCGACGACACCGCAGTCGAAAACAATCAATAGCCATGCTTTTGTTCTATGAAACAAAGGTTTATACAATGTGCCCGCTTTCTCAACAAGAAATACTTATTGGCGTATATCGCATACAAATATCCCCATGCAAATGATGATCTTATTACCATTGATATTCCTCTGCAAGATATGAAACATTTTCCAAAAAATATATCCTGAATTATTCATGCACTTTTATACGCTCTGGCGTGTCGTAACCTCGTGAAATTGTTTCCAGTCTTCAGGGTCGTTCATCGCTGCATATATTAAAACACATTAAAACCCGGCTTTAAATTGTGAGTGGGATGCCACTGTCAATGCTGCCCTCCCCACCCACTCACCCCCCTTGCTTTGCCTTGCATCTCCATCCCATCCCACCTCCTCCCACGCCCGCGACAATTGCAGGGCGCTTGCCCTCCCACACCGTCCTTTTGTGGAGTCTCCCATGCAATCTAAAGTCGGCTCTTTCGATCTCTGCACCCTGATTAGGGCAGGCGTGTCGTAGGCAGATTGGTGATTCAACAAAAAAGCAACCACGTCACGTTGGTTCCAGGGACACATGGGGGAAGAAGGGTTCTTACAGCAACTGCCTTTGGAAGGAGGTGGGGGTGGGGGGGATTAATCTCTGATTAAAATGGAATACCTCTGGGGTTGCGGTCCGACACGTTTAGAGATCACGCAACAATGCGCTGACGCAACGTGCGAGCCTGCGAGCTGCTGGAGACGCGTTCAGCGCGCGGAGAGGACGGTCGTCTCCTCTGGCCAAAGTGAGGCCACGCGTTTCAATTAGCTGCCTCCCAACTGTCTCTCCGGCATTTGGCAGGAGAAAGTTGAACATGTGCCAGGTGCCATTTGTGCCAGCTGCCTGGTTGGCTTTGCGTCTAGCGGTGTAATTGGCGTGATATCGGCTATACACTCCTTGCGCCGCGCTGCAATCATGTAAGCGGGTGGAAAAAAAAATAACAACGTTGCTTTTACCACAATATAATGTTTGGAGCTTTGAAACAAAACCTCCTTGGGTGTGTATGAGATTCGCAAGAGCTCCGGGCAACTGGGCAGTGTATTGCTGAACGTGAGAGTTTTCGTAATGTGAACTCAGCCGATGCCTCGCGGCCTTGGAGGTCAATTTTGTAGCTTTTCGTAGCGACCATGCAGATGAAATATTTTCACAATCACGGACACAGCCGAGATGTGCAAACAACAGCCCACATCATTTCAGAAGCTACTTATTTCATGCCGGGAGATCCTCAGGAGCCCTCGACGCTTGTACATCACCAAAACCTTCGTGTTATTAGTTTGATAAATTACTACATCGGCATTCCAGCTCATGGCTCAGTGGCACGGGCTGCATTTATAACAAGTGAGACGAGTGGTGCTTCCTCCTTCTCATATGTTTTATGTTTGGAAGCGATTTTATTTGTTTGCCCTGGATCGGGGTAAGTAATACATAAGTGAATTAATAAGCAGGAGGATGCATTTTGCGAAAATTGTGTTGTCAAAAATAATATTGCATTTTGACACGGTCTTATTTGGAGACACTTGTATGTCTGTATGTTGAGCTTGTTTCGCACCGTACATAGACAACCGTGCTAATCGGAGGTGCGGGATATTATAACTTGCTATAAAACGATAGCAAATTATGTTTTAGGCTTTCACAGCTGCACCGATTCAGACCGATAGTGTATTCGGGTAATAGCTGCGTGGGGATTTCAGTTCCAAATGGGTTCATAAGCCTAAGCCTCCACTGGGTACAAACAGTTACCACTTCTGCGATCGACGGCCATTTATCAACCAGGAATGGAGAGCATTAATTGCGTTCTGTTGATCACACCACCAGCGCCGTCAGATTGCGTCTGGTTGTGTTACAAGCAGTTGCAATCGCATCTGCAAACAGCAGATTGGTATTTGTCTGACAATCCCCAATGTACAGGGATGTGTCCTCGTGTACGACACTGAATGTTAATGATATGCTAATGATATACTAATGTGTGTATTATGTCATATTCCTCCCAACAACAATGTCAATGGTGATAAGTCTAAAAATAATAATAATACATTTAACGTTTTGCAACCTTTATTACCACCGTCGGTAACATAAACATTCAACGTTTGGTAGAATGCGAAGAGTCGTCGCTACTGGAATAAAAGTGGCAAAATTAGACGAATAAATCCTCGATTATAGAGTACAGTATTTTGTTTCAGTTATGAACACTGTGGGATGCTGCCACAGTGTTGTCATGGTGAGTTCACTGGACTTAGAATACAGAGGCCGTCAGGTCGATTCAATCTCCCTGTGCGGCAGTTCAAACAATGGCGCTAGTTTCTCCAATCTCCCCCAAACCCCACTGTTTCACCCCACGATTCACCCCACAACGACTGCGTGGGGGGGGGGTGAATCGTGAGTACTCTCCTGCTGCCTTCTGCCGGTAGTGACGTACGAGAGCAATTTCAGGGCTGCGCCCTTATCCCGTGTTATCGAGCGTAATAAAGAGTGCCCGTAGGTGCACGCGCGCGTATTTCCGCCAAAATGTCAGCCCGATAAGGGTCACGTGCAACCTGTGATCGCAGATCAAGGATTGCGATCCCTGACGCACGGAGCTCAGCGGGGTCACAGTGCCACACCGGAGGGGCCCGTTGATGCAACTGCCTCGGCTAATGAAGGCGCTCGTGATGACACAGGTGATATGATATTGCTGTCAAACACAACTACGGCTTATGCAACTTTTTACATTCCTCTGTTGGAATATTCATAGCATAACAATCATCGCTCCACCCCCCGCCGCCACCTGCTGCATACATATTTGTCAGGACCCTCCTGCAAAAAGAGACTCACAAGGAAAATTCACGAGTGTGACGCTTCGATTTCAACATATGTATGGTGAACTTATTTCGCACCGTACGTGGCCAACCGTGCTAATCGGAGGTGCGGGGGCAGGACAACAAAGTGAACACAAAAAGCAGTTCTCAAGAAATGTAATAATTCGACCATTCAAAAGCGTCATCTCGTTGTTGAGGGGGTTGGTCACCGTGGTAAATAGAACAGTGCCGGTTCCACAACGCGTGGTGGGGTGTTGCGGCTTGAGGGGTGATTCCTCTCTCGCTGCACCTGACAGAGGCCACGAGGGCCACGTGACATCTCACCTGTCCTGCTCTATCGCCCGGCACCGACCACGTGGTGCACGCTTGACTTGAAATCGAAGCGCCACGCTCCGTGAATGTCCCTTAGTCAGCGAGGCTTTCCCGAGCAAACAAGAGTAATAATGATACATAATAAGAATGAACAAGAGAAAAACAATCAAAGCAGCTGACATTGTTATGAACAGAATTTGGTTTGGGGACAAAAAAAAGAAACCCGTCATGTTCATGTCTCATCGTGATCATCAATCTTTATTTTTTATTATTGTACAGTACATCTGAACTGCCGATGCTGGTGTGCTAGCCCATTTAAGGGCCAGAAGCAGAATGGCTTTGAAGAAGCCCCCTTTTAACTTATAACAGCATCGTGAGACGACAGAGGAGAGACACGAGACACGCTGTCGATGTAGTGAGATGACAGGGGAGAGATGCAGACAGGGTAGAGACGAGAACGACTGAGTTGCTTGTCGATGCTAATTAAGCCGGCGTGTTGAGCAGCATTTGAACTTCACCTGACCTTAATGCATCCCAACGTTTTTTTCAAGATTCCGAGGGGTCACAGCCTCCTCCTTGGTAGCTTACGCCGAGCACGGCCACCGTGAACTCCGTGGCAAAATAACGAAATACACATCGCATAAATTAATCATTGTCTCAATATATTTGCTTGCCATGTTGCGGAATGTTGCGTGGGTTGGTGCCGGTGTGATGCTGTGTGCTCAGTGTTCCCGCCTATTCCTTCCAGGGGCTTTCACCAGGGTTACCACCTGTCCTGGGGAAACCAGAATAGGTGAGTAATCTGTGAGTCTTCCCGGGACGATAAGAACCCCGGTTTTATGTCAGTTTTGTCATAACACCCAACTCCAGACAATGGTTCTAAATGTAGTGCACCCTTCTTCCGCCATTGTGAGTTAAATCGTGTTCCCATGTTCGGTCCCAGTATGCGTGTACCTGAAAGGTGAAAACCCTTGCTCACAACTCATTCCTACTGCACACTTTCCATGGTGCACAGGCACAACTTAACACTCATTTATTAAGTCCTATTTTTTATTCAGCTCACCACTGCACAACACTTCAATGACACACAGTCAAAGAGCCACAACACATCTTTCAAGTTGTAAATATATATTTTTAAATCTGTAAACAAATCTTCAGAATGCCGCCGTGGCGTAATTGTGAGCACACGGGACTGGCGACCCAGAGGTCGTCGGTTGGATTCGATCTCCCGGCACGGAAGTTAAAACAAACCTTTCTTAAATACTCACCTCGCCCTGTTTCCACCCAGGGGTATAAATGGGTTCAACACAATTAGTCGATCGGTAGGTGGTGTTGAGGCGCATCGTGGTGCTATTCCCACCTCGTCAAAGGCGTTTGGGCCAGTGCGGAGGATTAGGCCAAAATGCGCTCGAGAGGGGGCTATCCAGAGCTCTCTTGAATGAAGGCCCTTTCACCGGCATTCACAACGAGCGAGCGAATCGTGAGGCTTGCACCATTACCTCAGCGAATAAGACATCCTCCAATTTTAATCGGAACGTTCGGGAGCATTGTGTTTATCAAAGGTCCGTTCTTTGCTCGCCGCTCAGGCAGCAACTGACAGACCGTTTGTAAGGCAAGTTGGGGGTTGCATGTCCTGAGTCAATGCATATTCCATGCGGTGATCACAATGCACATAAAAGGGGGCTCATCTCGAGCAACATGGCACGGTTCGTTTTCGAGGGGAGTTTGGAGAAGTCACGGATGATCTGGGGTTTACAAAAAAAAGATTATCCGCGCAACGCAACCTTTTCGTCATCGTTAACCTTGGCATTAGGGCTCGTAGATTAATTGGGGCGCGTGCTTTTTTTTGCCACGGCAGGAGACGCTCACGGCGAAAGCCCGAGATCTAAAACGGAACAAATTGTCCCGTTTTTACCGCAACGCACAAAGACACATAATCAGTTCCAGTGCGATAAAAAAGTGCAGGCTGTTAAACAGCGGTTGCATACTCCTACCGTTTAGTTAAAATAATGATGTGTTCGGCGTTTTAATAAGCGTTTCAATGTAAACACTGCATTAAACGGTAGAGGGGGCAGCCCTAAAGTGCCTTGTTCACTCCACTGCTGCCAGGTAAGAGAGCCCCCCTCTGGATGTATTTTGGCCTACTCTTCCACAGTGGCCCAGACATCTTGGAAGAGGTGAGAACCCCCAAAATATATCCTAGCGCTCGCCGTGTATACTGCTGAGTGATCAGAGGCTGGGTCAGTGGGTTGGGGGGGGGGGTGAACAAACTCGTATTCTGTGGTTACATTTTAAGTATGTGTGGAAACGTGTTAATCTAAAAACACAGTTGTGCCACTATCTTCTATGTACCTGGCGCACTTCATATTTGGTAGAGATATTTTGGGGTGATATAGAAGAAGTGGTTTGAAAAACTCTGCTACGAGACGATTATCCGAGGCAGAGTGAAAGCTGCACTGGACCTGGGCCCTCCACCTTCACCAACAACTGAAAACGGTACAGAGGCATGTAGCTAGAAGGAAGGCTGCCACGAGGGTCTCGGGATTAATACGAGAACAAAGAAAAACAAAAGTCAAGGAGGAAATTCACAAAACAACACAAAGATACCTGTCAGAAGGGTCACGACAGGACAAGACAGAGGTAGGGTGAATCAATCCCCATAACCGACACGGCTCCGGGGAGACCTTTTATTCAGCTAGTGGGTTGACAAAGGGCTGCACAATTATTGGCACGATTGTTAAATGCGTTTGGTCGCTTGCTTGTTCACAATGAGGCATCGCCACGCCCCCGATTGGGCGGATTCGCGTCACTTCAGCCAGGTTTGTGTGCGCGCCAGGGCGCGTCATTCACGACGAGCACGCAACGGAGAACCTCTCTCACGCTGTGTTCAAGTTCGTTATTCACGAGCCAAGCGGACGAGACCATTCTGTTTGCGACGGCTCGCTAATTTTGACCGGCGCATTTTTTTTGGCCGGTGCCAAATTCAAATCCAGCCACCCTCCGTTGACGGCGAGACCCACGGCGACAGGGAAACGCGTGCGGTATGGAAGCGAACAAATTAAACGGCGCGCATCAGGCGCGCTGCTCGCAAACAGAAGGAAAGGGCACGACTCCCGTCCATTATGACTGGAACGCGCGTGCGACGCACGTGCAATGCTCTCGGCCTTGTCTAGACCACCGGCTCAAGGGATGATGAGATGGGCGCATTTTTCAACTCTTTGAATCGGTGGCCTAAACGACGATACGGCCACACGATCGACTCGTCAGTGCACAATGTGGTGAACTTCCTCGGGTGGAGGCCACCAGATCTCTCCCGACACCCCCCAGGGTTGTCTGTCTGGTTTGTCTTTATTCAATGGTTGGCCGAGTTTATCTGGGCTGTCTGTGTGTCTTGTAGCGCTGTGCTGGACTGCCTATGCTTGGCTGCGTCGACTTCCAACTGCTGCATGCTAATGCGCAGTCCACGGCGAGCTGCACCCAGTGACATATTCCCTCGCCACGCTCGCCACCATCAATCTGCCCGGCTGCACCGAAGCCTGCGACAAGAAGCCACCCACTCCAGCTGGTACCCACGCCTTGAACGCACGCGGTGCACGGACGCGCGGCGATGTTCGTTTAGTTAGCTCGTTGGGCTCTTTGCTCGTTAGTAGATACGAAGGTATCCGCAGAAATTGTACCCTCCGTTTTGAAATCCTGTATGTCGTCGTGCAGTCATCACTGTTGTTATATTTCCCGACAACATATTTTTGAAATAACAACGTCAGTGCAAGTAATCAAAACTAAATGCCAATTAGCCGTTTAAACGAATGCTTCGGAAAACTATTTTTTTGCGTGCAAATTAATGGCGTGGCAAATATGCATTGTCTTCATTTTCATGAGTTCCTTCAATTGTTTAATTATTCTGGTGTAACAAACACAATGCTTCTGTTTTAGGAATCGCAATACTCTGAGATTTCTGAATGGAGTCTTCTTCGTCTTGTGACGCGATGCCGGTAGCACAATTATCATAGAGGCGGAGCCCTGCAAGGTTGACCAGAGGTAGCTCTAGACAGCCCGTCTGGAGGGCATACAGTATAATCTTGCACTCCGACCAGATCAGCATCAGATGCAGAATCTTTGATTCCTGGGGGAATCCGATGAACTATGAAGCTCTTTGTCACAGGTGTCCAGTAGGGACACGTGGTAAGAACGTCACAACAACAAACAGTACACAAACACGATAGGAGTGCAAAGCATAGGAAAGGTAAACAAATAACATAAGAGCATACAAATAAAACGAAACATTTGTTTTGTCTTACCATGTAAAGCCCACAGAGATATTAGCTTCTTATTTCAGAAGCGACCTGGCCACAAATGATAGCTCAACGAGGTGACCCAGATGCCTTGGAAGAGGTGTAAAGGAGAGTTTTATAGCTCATCGTATTCCTCTAACGTAAATAAATATTCTGATTCGGAGGTGGGAGCAACCCACGCTTTACCCCATCGCACGTGAACTTCCCTTTCGACTTCAACGTAAGCGCACCCATTTGTGCCGAGGGGTGGACAGACGCGCGGGGATTTAAGAAAGTTTCGTGGAATAAACTAAACGAAAATATATTATTTAGATTTGAACAATTACCATTCGGTGATTCGGAGCAGCAAATGATATTTGGTCACGATTAGCCGTGCACAAGTTAAACTCCCCCCCCGCCCCGTCACAAATTCCAGTTCCCAGGGGTCATACATTGTTCCTGAATGACGATGCTGCCACCGCCGCCACACGCGGCATCTGCATGCGACGCTCCACGTCGTCGCAGAAGGACACGCGTGTCGCGTCTCTCCCGGGGATGCACGCAACGCAACGTGACAACGCGCCCGCAACGGTTACATTTTATTTTGTTCTGGCTCCATTACGTCCACGGGCCTTCTAATCACGGAGCGTGAAAATGTGAGACAGTTGTCCGCATGAAGCGGTGGCCTTCGTTAGATTGATATTGTGCATATACCTATTTTGGGTGACAGGTAATGGAGCGTGGACGAGAGACAAGGAATGCTCTTGACTTTATCAGGGACATCGTGGTCTGTACGTGTGGGCCCGTGGGGGTGGAGGAGGCTGTGTGGTCAGTGAGAGACTACAAAAGGACTCTGAAATCATCCCTGAACGGGCCAGAAATAAATTATGGGTGGCGCGGCAAACCGCCGAGAGTAAGTGCGTCATGACCACCGAATATGCGAGTCGCTTTATAGCCAAGCAACAATCCCAATCCGGTCACCATTGTTGCAGATGTTGTTAATAATTGAAGGGGGGGGGGGGGGTCGGTTTTGGTAAAAAGCGTTAGATGCACTGAACTAAAAAGAGCGCTCGCATGAATCTAAGCGACGAAACAAGTCCCGTCATTCCTTCATTTTGTATTCATTTTTTTATTATCATGCTGAGAGGGGAATGGCGGCGCAACGGTGGGCACACTGGACTTGCAACCCAGAGGTTCGTTCTCCCAGTGAGGATCGTTGAAATGATGGTTAAGGTTTCTTCTGTGACCCACTACAGTATAAATGGATGCACCACAGTGAGTCGATTGGCAGGCCACGTGTGATGGGGTAAAGCGTGGATAGTCCCATCTCTTGCTGGCTCGGGTGTCTAGCCAGCATGGAAGATAAGACCTAAATACCCTGCGGAGGAAATCTCAAGAGCTCCCTCCTGTGGATGGAAGCCACTTCCACCAACGCCTTGAGGCCTTGTGTGCATTAGAAACCCGAGTTTGTTATTGTCATTATCATAGCAGTGGTGTGAGCAAGACATTGCAAGTCTTCACCTTTACCTTTTACAACGTCAGGTTGAATTTATATTTGGTTTCTAGCGCAATAATATGTACTTTAATTGGATAGAGAAACTAAAAACCAATTTTGTAAAAAATAATCATATAATACGAGCTCACGGTGATTAGGGTTTTTGGTGACCTATTGCCATCAACCAATATGGAACAGCCACGGCGAACGTGGGGTATTTGCAGTATAGATTTGTTTTGTCAGGTGTCAAAATGTGAAGGGATCTCTAGGCACTGCCCATTTATGACAAGGTTAAACATCGTCAAGGTGAGGCATTAAAATCAAAGAGTAGGCCTCGAGCGAGATTATATATGAACGTGATTACCTTGGGATTAATACACGCAGGATGAAGGTGGCTTTTGTTTACAACATAACACGGCGATGCAATAGCGAAAGCCGACCATTTGTGTCAGTAATGTGTGTAGTGGGCTTGGGCAGGACACGTCGCTAGCAGGGATGATGGCCTATTATATCAAGAATAATGCCGGAGTGACAGCCAAGAAATAATGTCACGTGTACGCGCAAGGTGGATTGTTCAAGTGCAGGACCTTGAGAGATGACAACTTGGGGAGGCTTTTATCCAGCAGTGGATTGACCAAGAATGCTGATTCCGCTGATGATTATTATTCTTAAGCCTGCCTGAGTCCCAAGACAACTTTTCGGGAGGGTCCTGCCATGTTTTCAAAGAATAGGGTCATTTTACTACTGTGTGTAATCTAATCTGAGTCATTTGCGGGTGATTTTTCAGCATTGGGATATTTGGCCAATACCAGTTAAAAAAAAATGTGTTCAAATGCAGGATGCTGGTGACATTTCGTTATTTTAGACTCGGCATTGTGTAGGTCAACGAGCTTCCGCAGATTTCTTGTGTGTTCGCGTGACAGGTGGCGGGTCAGGGGTCACGTGACAGAAGACATTCGGTAAAGATGAATGGCTCTTCCTCTTCGCACCTGTGTGAGCCTACAGTGCTCATCCTCGTGCGGTCGTGAAAAGGGATCCCTCTGTGTTTTGCAATTCCTGCGCGGGGCTGCACAAAAAAACAAAACACATTGCGCGACATTTAGATGTGCACGAGGCACACCGCGACACATAAACACACGCGGGTGCGTAGGTAGGGAGATAACAGCGGGTCTCATGGTGACGGTGACATCTGCGTTTGAGAAGGTGACAACTGATAAGGGACGGTGCGTGGAACTCTCGGGGTTTCAGCGATGTAATTTGCACAATGCGATATGACGCGATATTTAAATTCGAGTGATTTCCTGTTCACGTGAGCAGAGTTGATGCTCATCTTGCTGGTTACAGCCCTGAGCCAGAGGCGTAAATTCCACACTGCTACAACGAGTATAGCCATTGTGCAACCAATGGTCACTTCCCCACAAAGTGGTAATCAATTTATCGACCCCATAAGGATGATGGGTTGTATCGAAACCCCAACAAGTATTTGCATAGCCTACTTGGAACGTACGTATGTGTGTGTGTGTTTAACCAAGCCGCTTCGAGAGAGGCAAAGGCTGAGACCAGGTTCAATCGAGAGAGCAAGCGTGCCCCTGGCACACGTGGAAGATACTTTGTTTTGGGCCGAGTCGTGGAGTCGTGGAGAGCCAAAGGTGCCTTGAGATGCCTCTCGCTGGCGGTTTATGTGGAGCCTGAGCAGTGGAGATGGCCTACGAGCACCAACCGATACGTCACGTTGGGGAGAAGACTAGGTTGCATTTTTAGTCAAATAAAATGACACTATTCAACGATAATCACAAAATAACATTGAGCACAATGGGCTGTGTGATTATCACGGAACTTGCATCGCACTGTCTCGCAATCTCGCCACGTGGCGGCAACTCCAGCGGCAACACGTGCACAACTTCTATCCGCAGCAGTCCGCCATTCGTAGTTCTAAGGAGGTTCATAGTGGGGAGCACCTCACCCGGCAATGGTTCATTGATGCTAAAACATACGGGATAAGCAGACTATACATCCCCTTCAGTTTAACACCTAGTAGGCTTTCGTGACCAATATCATCCAAAATAGAGGTTTGTTTGTTGTCACGTAAACAGAACGTGCCAATTCGCCACTAGTACAGCACTAGTGTATAGTGTAGTGTATAGTGTAGTGTAGAGTGTAGTATACTAGTACAGCACTAGTGTATAGTGTAGTGTATAGTGTAGTATACTAGTACAGCACTAGTTTATAGTGTAGTGTATAGTGTAGTATACTAGTACAGCACTAGTGTATAGTGTAGTATACTAGTACAGCACTGTGTATAGTGTAGTGTATAGTGTAGTGTACTAGTACAGCACTAGTATATAGTGTAGTGTATAGTGTAGTGTATAGTGTAGTGTATAGTGTAGTGTATAGTGTAGTGTATAGTGTAGTATACTAGTACAGCACTAGTGTATAGTGTAGTGTATAGTGTAGTATACTAGTACAGCACTAGTTTATAGTGTAGTGTATAGTGTAGTATACTAGTACAGCACTAGTGTATAGTGTAGTATACTAGTACAGCACTGTGTATAGTGTAGTGTATAGTGTAGTGTACTAGTACAGCACTAGTGTATAGTGTAGTGTATAGTGTAGTGTATAGTGTAGTGTATAGTGTAGTATACTAGTACAGCACTAGTGTATAGTGTAGTGTATAGTGTAGTGTATAGTGTAGTGTAAAGTGTAGTGTATAGTGTAGTGTATAGTGTAGTGTATAGTGTAGTGTATAGTAGTGTATAGTGTAGTGTATAGTGTAGTGTATAGTGTAGTGTATAGTGTAGTGTACAGTGTAGTGTACAGTGTAGTGTACAGTGCAGTGTATAGTGTAGTGTATAGTGTAGTGTATAGTGTAGTGTATAGTAGTGTATAGTGTAGTGTATAGTGTAGTGTATAGTGTAGTGTATAGTGTAGTATACTAGTACAGCACTAGTGTATAGTGTAGTGTATAGTGTAGTGTATAGTGTAGTGTAAAGTGTATAGTGTAGTGTATAGTGTAGTGTATAGTGTAGTGTATAGTGTAGTGTATAGTAGTGTATAGTGTAGTGTATAGTGTAGTGTATAGTGTAGTGTACAGTGTAGTGTACAGTGTAGTGTACAGTGCAGTGTATAGTGTAGTGTATAGTGTAGTGTATAGTGTAGTGTATAGTGTAGTGTATAGTAGTGTATAGTGTAGTGTATAGTGTAGTGTATAGTGTAGTGTATAGTGTAGTGTATAGTGTAGTGTATAGTGTAGTATACTAGTACAGCATCACCGGTGTGTTGGAGAGCCAAGCCACAACATTCACAATCTGAGTACGACGTTTCGCCAGTAATTACAACTAGCTTCATCAGGCGACCACAAATCTGGCTGCGTCAGGAGCAGTGGCGGAGTGCATCGCTGCGATGTCTCCTTCGTATTTGTGGATCGGGGCATTGCCTCGTTAAATAAGTTGCACGGTCCCTGTTCTGGATGACCACAGTCGCACCACTGCTGGAGATTGTTTTAATTTTCCATTTGTGCCTCGGGTACCCGCATCGACTGCCACGGTTTGTGCAGGGGATGCGGTTGAGCGTGGACCGTGAGCTTCGTGGGAGACCAAACCCCCAGGGGACTTTCTTCGTTGGGTCTTCCACAGCCAGGTGTTTGTTTGCGAGTTATTTTGATCTCCATTCAGCCCCCCAAGCCTCATGGGGCTTGAGCTCGCATTGCTGTGCCTGCGAGAGGGAGCCACTTCCGTGCGCTTCGCGGTGGCCAAGTGGAACAAAGGTGACGTGGTTCATTCCACGGGACGCCCTTCCCACTGGGACTCACCTACGCCCTCACCTGGCCAGGTGAGGCGAGAACACGGAATTAGACACGCGGGCGCGGTAACCACGAAATCTTCAACGCGACCGCCTCTTGAATCTTGTCCGCGTTGCCTTAGACTAAAGTAAGTCTACACCGGTATCAGCCTGTGTCTGTGTTGTACCCGCGTGTCCCAGTGTACCCGCGTGTCCCAGTGTACCCGCCTGTCCCAGTGTACCCGCGTGTATGCGTGTAACCCCGATACCCGTGTGTGCAATGAAGCGATGTAGGTCGGGGCTGTGTAATGTAAGAGTCACAGCAGCGATCAGCCCTAACACACACACACAGATCCACACACACACACAGACACACACAGAGAGACAAAGACACACACAGACACACACACACAGAGACACACACACAGAGACAAAGACACAGATCCACACACACACACAGATCCACACACACACAGACACACACAGAGACAAAGACACACACAGAGACAAATACACACACACAGAGACACACACACGCGCGCACAGAGTGTTGGTGATTAAACCAGAGGGTAACTAACACCCACACTCATTAACGCGACGGGCGTGCGACATGGGGGTCGGTTGAGAACGCGAAACGACGGTACAGCCGTGACACGACACTCGAGTCGCCCCCCCAACCCCCCAACCCCTTCCAGACAATTCACGTTTCCGAGATGGCATCATCGCAATCCGAGGCCGCAGGAACGCGCCTTGCGCGTGGCCACGCAACCCGGAACGCGCGCCCCCGGTGTCGGGGGCCAGAGCCAGGCTTTTGAGCCCCAGAGGTAGCGAACTCACGGGCTGCACGCGACCAGGGGTGCCGCTCGTCCACGTCGGCGTCGCAGCCCTCCGCGGAGAGGTCTGTGGGATTTGGCCGCGTGTTTTTGGATTTGGCCGCGTGTTTTGGGATTTGGCCGCGTGTTTTGGGATTTGGCCGCGTGTTTTGCGACAAGTGCCAGCGAAAAATGCGGGGAGCAGCGCGAATGGTTCACTGCCACCCGCACGAGGAGGATGCGTGGCGAAATGTGGGAAGAGCCCTCATCCAGCAGTGGATCGACAAAAGGGGGCTGTGACGTTTACAAAAAAAATACCTTTGCGCGGACGAGTTCCGACGCTGATTTCCATATCACGGAGCCAATCGAAGCTTAGCTCGGACACTTTTGTCACTCGAGAAACAATGACTCATCCATCTTTCGTGGTACGGAAGCTGCTTGTTCGAGCCTCGGCGCAGCAGTCGCGGTAATTAAGGGGCCGTCCATAAATGACGTCACGCGAATTTGGACGACGTCACAAAGCTCTGCCCCCCCCCCCAAAAAAACATGCTTCAAATCGCTTTAAACTATTGTCATTGTAGGTGCTTGACGTCCCTAAGTCCTTGATTAACAAGTGACCTTTAAATGTTAATTAAAGTACTGCACTGAATATCGGCTAATTAATCCGAAGTCAGCGGTGGAACTTCCACATTCCCATGGAAAGGACCGCTTGGGAAAATTATAATAAAATTGTGAGTCTTAATATTTGTGGCGGAGGACGCCTCACCCCACGCCGTATCGATGAGTTGTTTGACCATACTTCACTGCGCTGGTCATTGTTGGGGAAATTGTATTTCGATGACCACATTCATAGCACAGGACGCTAACCACTCGATGCTGTGATGTCTGGTCCGTCTGATGGAACCAAAGCTTCGTTTGTTATTCACATGAATCGATTAATCAGTCCCTAATCCTCTTTTTGTTTGCACACTGTTTTTGAATTATTCCTCAACGCAAGTTCTTTCCGATTTCCTGTCTACTGGCTACATGTTGCCATGTTATCATCGCCTTCGTCATTTTGGTGACGCAGGCCAGTCGCTCGCATATGCGACTCATCCTGATATTTCCTTGAGTTCGCATCTGTTTGAACAACAGCTAGAAACTTTAAACTTGATAACTATTTGACCAGGAGATGAAATTAACTCATTTGGACAAATGGAACATTGCCCCTTTTGTAAGGGTGACCTGGGTAAATTAATATTGATCTCTGTATAATTAAACCCCTGGTGAGTTTCTGTATTGAAATTAACACTTATCGGGATTTGTTGAGATGTCTTGACCAGTGTGCTCTGTGTCTGCCCAGTGAACAATCCTCTGCCGTGCAACCTCAGGTCTGAGGCCAACAAGGCAGCCAAGATCCTGCGTGAATTCACACAGATCTCGGCAAGAAATGGCCCGGACAAAATCATCCCTGGTAAAGCCACTGCCCGCGGCCCCGTGATTAATTCCCGATTGTGGTGAGCGAGCGCCTCACAGTCGGGGGGTTGCGTGTTCAAATCCTGTGTTGGGAGGTTCACTCAGCCCATCATCCCTCCAGGGTCGATCAAATAAGTACCACTATGTGGGGAAGCCAACAGTGAGTGTCCTACTCATATTTTCTCCAGCCCCAGCCAGAGGAACGCAGAATTGCCACCACCAGCTCAGGGATAACAGCAGGAGATGCACTCTGCCCGAATATTATCATTCAAGAAGCAAATCACTTTTGTATACGGTATTTACATGTGGCAGTATATGTTAGTCCTGATTGTGCGAGGTCAGCATCCAACTTATAATTGGAAGCATTTCACCTGTGAGAGTAGTTACGACTCGAATGAAGTGGCCAAAGTTAGATGCAAAAATAATTCCCGAATAACTTTTATTTCAGTGATTTAAACGAGATATTACTTGCTTAGACAAGGTTTAGACAAGGTTTAGACAAGGTCTAGACAAGGTTTAGACAAGGTCTAGACAAGGTTTAGACAAGGTCTAGACAAGGTCTAGACAAGGTTTAGACAAGGCCTAGACAAGGTTTAGACAAGGTCTAGACAAGGTTTAGACAAGGTCTAGACAAGGTTTAGACAAGGTTTAGACAAGGTCTAGACAAGGTTTAGACAAGGTCTAGACAAGGTTTAGACAAGGTCTAGACTAGGTCTAGACAAGGTTTAGACAAGGTTTAGACAAGGTCTAGACAAGGTTTAGACAAGGTCTAGACAAGGCCTAGACAAGGTCTAGACAAGGCCTAGACAAGGTCTAGACAAGGCCTAGACAAGGTCTAGACAAGGTTTGCATACATTGCTATGCAGCTTTTCTCCGCTGCGCTGTACAGCTCTCCGATGTCTTGTCAGGTCGAATCGCGTCTAGTCCTTCATTCCTCAGGAATTGCGTCTAGTCCTTCATTCCTCAGGCATCGCGTCTAGTCCTTCATTCCTCAGGATATAATTTCCCCTCAAAATATCTCTGGGCACGTAAAAGATTGTTCGCCTTGCTGAACAACACGATGGTTGAAATTTCGCTTGAAATCTTTGCACCTCTGATTAGCCCGATTGGCTACGTGCTGTGCGAAATAAGTTCAACGTACATGCAACACGTGGCACAGCCCGAAGACACATCGGAGACCAAGAGATATAAACGACTTTATTGAATGTGACGGTGCACGTGTGTGCGTTTGTGTGCTCGTGTGTCCTCTCATTCTGTCCCCAGCCCACGTGGTCGCCAAGGCCAATGGGCTGGCCATCCTCTCCGTGTTCAAGCTGGGCTTCCTCGTGACGGCGCGGGGAGGCAGCGGCATCGTGATCGCTCGGCTGCCCGGCGGTGGTACGTGCGTGCGCCCCTCTTCGCTGCGACTCACCCGGAAATCATTCTGCTGATGCATGCCTCTTATTTATTTTTTTACGCTTTTCCAACCGAGGTTTGAAACCCGCACCTCCTGATACGCGCCGGCCAGGCCGGCGATCCGTCCACGGTCCCGGCACGGCTCGGATGTGTCAGCGGAGATGAGATATCATCGGTCTCCGTGGGCTCTTGCCCGTGTGCTTGGGTTCCCTTGTGCAGCTTCAGTCTGGGACTCCAGGATCATAAAGAACTGGCCATCCTTCAGGTGCTGCCGTGTTTCGGTGACAACATTAAGTTCGTAAGAAGCCCGGCACTTAACCAGCTAGAGAGTCCCTCTCCGCATTGATCTTATACTTGGCTGCAGACACATCCTCGTGTGTTCACGTCTACCGCTGCGCACTCATTGTCGTACTTCAAGTGCTGTGCAGTGGCTCCCCGGAGCCTGCAGCAGATGTTTCCCTGAGTGCCTCCACTGCCGTTACAAATGGGGAGTCACACAAATTAGGCAACCTCACACAGGTGCTTAGTCTCAAGATTGAGAAGGCATCGGCGCCGGCCAGGTAGCTTCTCCGCAGTAGAGTGAGCGGCTCGTAGCCGGAGGGTTTGTGAGTTCACATCTCGGCTGGGAGTTGGCTCAGCCCAGGGGCTCAGCAACCAAAATACCAAGAAGAGCCATTTCTTTCGATTTTTTTTTTTGCGAACAAAACTTTCATGTTTCAAGATTTGCAACACATGTGAATATGAGACGGCTACCGACCCCTGGCTCAGCCCATCATCCCTTCGGGGGCAATACAACAAGTACTGCTTTGTGGGGAGTCAAACGGTGGTTGTCCTATGGGTCGACTCGTCCCCGCCCTAGGAACGCGGAATCTCCACCGCTGGCGCAAGCGCTGTAGATGGGAGGTGAGCATCGGCTCGTTGCTCGTTTGAGCAGGAGAATCGTTTTGAAGGAAGCGAGGAATGATGCTCCTGAGGCCTGCTGGGTACAGTGGATTGTCATACCGGGTAGAACTGTGCTCCAAGATGGGAGGGCACAGAAGGGGGGCAGCCCCCTCCGTCAAACAAATATCCATCCATCTAGCCGTCTGTGTGCAAGGTTAAGCGATACGTAGTAATCTTGATTTGAAGATACATAGTAATTATATAATTATTAGTATCACGCTTGTTAAGATGTGCAAACACAAATAGATACCTATTGCAAGGCATCAAGTCTGCTTTAACCACACACGGCACTTGTGGCATGAATGTATGCTTTGCCTTGGCTCACCAGCGTTAGCCCACAGAATGGCAGAAGGCGAACGGTGCAAAGGCAATGCAAATATCAAAGTATGAAAAGCTCGGGTTGAGCAGTTACATGCATATATTATCAGAGCATGTTTGTTGGCATGTTTTGCCACGAATATGTGTGGTTCGTGCAGACTTGATATCTAATTTATTGCCAGAAAGGGTAAAACCCATTCTTATGTTTTCATCACTTTGATACTGGCAAAAAGGTCCCATCAATATAGTATTACGGGTGCTTATGGTACAAACATTGCCTCTGTATTCCCCCGAATGGGTACGATTCTGTAAAACCCTGCACACCCTGACAAATAAGATGCCCTGTCACGAGGGATTATCCAGGTAAAATGTATTAATTTAAAAAAAACGTCCTTTTTGTCAACCTTTGCTCAGCAGGAGGTCGCTCATTCTCCTCTGCTGGCCCAATTGTCTGGAACCTCCTTTCCTCAGCCATCCGTGCTGTCGATTCCCAGTCCCTGTTCAAGTTCAGGCTCTAAGACTTCTGCTATTCCTCTGCCTGTAACTGCCTGTTGATGTCGACGAAATAAATGAGGCCACTGTCTCTGTGCAGCATCTTGAGATGCAGTCACATTGGGATGCTCTATGAATTCCAATTGTGTATTTAAAGATATCTTTCAAACCGTTGAGAAAAGTAAGCATGGTTGGGCAAGACACATCGCCAGTGCTGATGGTGGCCGGTGGTCAAGAAGAATGACTGTCAAACAATTACGGAATCAGTCCATGTCAGGTGCTAGGTGGCTATTAAATCGCAGGATCGTGAGAGATGGTGATGGCTTGGGGAGGCCTTCATCCAGCAGTGGATTGACTATGACTGATGATGGTGATGATAATCATCAAGGGCCACGATGGAACTAATTTCCCCCGTGTTCCCCCTCCTTTTAATCACTGCCGTGGGCACGAGGCCGAGGCATCTGTACACTCGTGCGCGCGAGTCTAAAATAAACCGAGCAATGCTAACAATGATGGAGGGTAAAGGTCTCCGGTGCGTAAAGTGCTCTCCCACCGCGGCAGGCAAAGTGCTCTCCTCCTATGAGAAATGTTCACGCTGCACCATCTGTTATGTGCCTGCAAGGGTTGGCCCGCACGTCGTTGGGTGCAACCCGGCGGCTATCCGGATCGTAGCCGTGCACGCTGGCTGCTGCTTGCCTGCAAAGTCTTTTTGTCTATGACTACAGTGGCTCAGCAACGCAATACGGACAATGTCAGGTTGTCTTCGATCCCCGGCACGGCGGTTGAAACGAGGGCCAGGGAGGAGTGCGGCGTCGCTACGGCTGGCTCCGTTGCCGTTCATTGGCGCTCCGCCGCCCGGCATCTTGCACTCGCCTCTCGCTTTCCCTGCTCAAGCTTCGTTCAGCTGCCTGTAGTTGTTGTTGTTCTTGCTCCAACTGTATCCTTCGATCTTTGTTTCTTCTTTGGCTCTCCTTTGCTTGTTTTCACTTCCTCTTTCTTCCTTCTCTGCTTTGTTCTGCACTCCGCTCACATTTTATCTCCACCCTGGCCAGCGGCTCACTGCTGCCAGAGTAGCCCAGTGCCCTCACGCCTTGACCCCTAGCCTGCGGGGCCCACGTTGGATTGCGCTCGCACCTGGGCCCGAACACAGAGTGCCTCGGCCTCCCGGAACTCCTTGCTCCACGCTGGTGGCTGCTGCCTGGTCTGCTGACCCTGGCGTGCCTCTGCTGTGCCGCTGGTGGATCTCTGCTGGTAGGCCACCCAATTCCCGCGGGTGTCGCTCGACTGCCCCCGGTGTGCCCGCCGCTGTGCGGCTCTATTGCCCCTGAACACCTGCTGGAGGAAGTAGCCTCTGCTGGCCCTGGCTGCACGTCTTTACCAACCATCATCTGTTGCCACCAGTGACCCACCACATCTCCGGGCGCTACGTCGCTGCTCTCGCCGCCCGTGCGGGATGCTCTTCCGCCGCGTGCATGGCTTTTAGTCGGTTCTTGCGTGCCGCTTACTGCCCTGGGAGTGGCTCGGTGACCTCGCCTATTGCACGTCACCGCTGCTGACGCCCTTCTGACGGGTTGGCTTCGTTGGCTTCGTTGGCATCGCGTTGTCCACGACTCCACGTCCCTCGTAGCTATGACACCGCTCGACCCACGGCCTAGGATCACATCGTGGGCCGGCCTTCGCGTGCCTGTCAACATGCCTTGTTGTGGTTTCTGGCTCTACTTCCATTCTCTGGTTTACCCTGGGCCCTGCGCTACTCTGCCTATCGCCAGTGGGAGGTGGCGTGGTCTCACCACAACCAACTCTGTTGATGTCTGGCACCCCTGTGCTGCGCTCCAGCCTTGCATGAATCCATCTGGGCCAGGTAGCACCCTGTTTGCACGGCGTACAGTATCTCACTCGTGGTTGTGGCTTGGCGGTCATCTGCCACGGTGTACCATCGCGTCTGCACTCTCTGGCCGGCCATATTGGCCAGGGGTCCCTGCTGGCCATCAGCCAGTGCCTTGGTGGTGGTCTGCTGTTGCTCATCGGCATTCGCCTAAACCCACAGCCCTCCTACTCGCAGACAAACCTTACTTGACCTGCTCTGCCGTTCACCCCCAGCGTTCTGTCAAGCCGCCATTGCCTTCGGAAGCTTTACTCATCAGTTACTCCGTTTTTTTTTATCACCGAAACCCAAAGATGTGGTTGTAGAGGGGACTGAAACGGAAAAAACACATCCTCACCTCGCACCATAACTCCCGCTTTCCGCCCGAAACTATTTTTTTCTTCTCACCATCGCCTCCCATGCCCTTCCAGTATATCCCAGCATCCACATCAAGAGTGGTGTAGCTCCCGTTCAAGTCAGGGGCCATCCTCAAAGAGTTGGGCTCCCGTGCTGGGGTGTAGCGCCCACTGGAGTTCTCTGCGGAGATGGTGACCTGAGAACCGGCACATCAGCTGTCGTTTTCATCCCTGTGGCCCAGTGTTCTTCACTCATTTTCAGAGGGGGCCGCCACACATTTGACAGCAGCACGATGATGATAGGCGGTTTGTTTTCACCGTTTATGTATTGTCGGGAGCCATACGCCAGGGGCCGCACTGAAGGCCACTAGGTGCTGCCAGTGGCCCGCTGGCCTTGCAATGAAGAACGCTGCTGTAGCCAGGACCATCAGTTCTGACGCAACGCCAGTCAATGGCACATCTGGCAATCTAGGTTTCGGGCGTGTGGACACCGGATTGATCGTCAGTCAAGCTGCGGTGTTGTGCCACGCAGTCGACCAGGAGACAAAGACAAAGACCTCCCCCCCCCCCCCCCGTGGCCAGCACCACGCCCGGCCGTCTTCGTACTCATTTGAGGCCGAGTCGACCCAGGGGAGGCCCAGGACCGGTTCAGATAATCGCCACCGGTGTCGGCCGTGAGCGGGAATCGAACTCGGGTCGCCGGGTTCGTAGCGCAGCGTAGCGCTAACCGCTACCACCGCCGCTCCCCCACATTCAGATGCGTCAGATTCCTGCAGCTAGGGAACGTCGACACTGGCACGACGCTATCTCTGGTGCTGAAGGAATCCCTGTGGCAGACCACGCCTGACATGCTGAGAGACGGCAAACACGGGAAAAATAATGCCGGTTTCCTCAAAAGCTAGGGACTCTGGCTCGCGCCGTGCCGATAAGGTCGGTGATGTTCGGTGATGTTCGGTGATGTTCGGTGATGTTCGGTGATGTTCGGTTATGTTCGGTAATGTTGAGGCTGTGACCGCCTGTGCCAGTTCATGCATCAACCAGTTGGGGTCCTGTTACAAGAAACTTCACAGAGAAGCCGGTAGCATGAGTTTAATGAACACAGCGTGAAGAGACGGCATTGCTGCGCGTTTGTTGCTTCCAGCACGAATTTGCGTTTCTTAAATGGCTATTTGCATTACATTCTTACATCCTACTACCACCACCACCTGACAGTGTAAATGGGTACAGAACAGCGTGGAAGAGAGGGGGCTCTCTTGGACTCCCTCTAGTGGAGGCTGTGGCGAGAGTAAGGACGTTGCAGGGCTTAGCCTTTACCTAGTTCAGTAAGTATGTGTGTTGAACTTCTTTTGCACCGTACATCGCCAACCGTGCTAATCGAAGCTGCGTGGGAAGGACAGCAAACTAAACGCAAAAAGCAGTTTTATAGAAGTGACTTTTCAATCTAGAATATTTAAAAGTGCATAACTGCAGTGGCTTCCTAATATTGGTAGGAAGAGCATTCCAGAAGGCCACAGAAGCGCATCCAAAAGCGCCACGCGATGTGGTGACCACCGTCTTTTCAGCCACCAATTACTGATTCGTCATCTTTTGAGTGTGCGGTGGGCCATTATGTTACTGTGAGCAAATAGAGCGGAGTGAATCATTAAAGCAAAAATTAGATAAGACAAACAAAAGTGCGTCATGGAAATCTATATTTACTTTTTTACTTCTTCTAAAGAGGCACTTTAATACACGAGTCATAAGGGAGAGGATGCCAAAAAGTTAGGAGAATGTAATATCACAAATGTGCACATCCACAATGTTTATTGTTTTTTTCAATATAGAGTGTTCTGTGAAATAGTAGTCATCTCTGCTGACAATTTAATATCGCGCTAATGTGTTTCATGTGTAAAGATTGGGTTTAAAAATAAGCCAAACAGCCACAAGTCTGCAAATGTAGCGCACCAACGCAAACCTATTTTAGCTCTCGTTATTTTCCCCCCAAGATATACCGATTGCCCCTCGCGCACAAATTGTATTCAAGCTGAAGGAAGGCGCATGTCGACACTCTTTGGTTTGCGAAGGTTTGTGTAAAACTCGCAAAGCCTGCACGGACCTGAGTACCTCGTGGAATTTGCAATCCACAGGTCATAATTCGTATGGACTACCCATACGTATATATACAGTGTATAAAAGACAAAGATCCCCTGCCCGGCCACCTTTGTCTCCCGAGTGGCAATGTTTACGCATGACACAAGGTACTAATTTACGGCTGAGTTCACCTAGGGGAGGCCCAGGACTGGTTCAAATATCGGGTGGCTGGGAACGTAGTGCAGCGCTTTAACCACTACAATACCGCTTCCCACTGCATATACACATACTGCTGGATGGACAGAGGCAGGGGAATTTAAGAAGCTCTCCCATTGTTTCAACTGCCACACGGCGTAGTTATCCACAGGAGGTGAGTGGGCGGTGCACAATAATTAGACAAGCGCACTACGAATCCGGCGGCCTGAGTTTGATTCCCGGCCATGGCTAAAATCGGTGGTGACTAGTGATGTCCCGAGCACGCACGATCGCGGGCCGTGTCCGTGTTTACCGCACGGCACCAGCGACATCACGCGAAATGTCGCCGCACACGCGCACCGGGAATCGTGATGGGTGGCTCGGAGGGGAGGGGGGGGGGGCGTGACACCCCCGAGCGTGTCGCCAAACGGGGATTCAATAAAAAGACGCGGAGCAAAACTGGCAACGCAGCAGAGCGATGCGCGAGGCGCTTGGTGAAATTCGTACAGCGATGCCGCCCCGGGCGCGATGACAGAGAGCCGTCGTGCGGTCAATGCGGAGGGGGCGGGAGTCGGAGGGTGGGGGGGGGGGGTCACCGGGTCCAAGCGCGCTCCCCAGCTGTTGCATCGCTCTCCGTGATTGTTAATTGATGGTCGCTGAGGACGGGGCACCGCAGGGTACCAAGCGCCAAAGCAGTCAGCAGCGAGCGGCACCATGGCATGGGGGTGGAATCATTGGGAGGCAATGAGGCTGCTTGGAGCGAGAGAGGGCCAAGGGACTTGGTAGAAGGGAGACGGCGGGAGGGTGAGAAGTAGAAACCGAGGGGGATGGTGGTGGTGAAAGTACGCGGCGTGGATGGGACAGTGCGGTCCATCTCGTAGCCAGGTCCTTGACGTGGGTGGAGGAATCTGTGACGTGCTAACCCTGTCTGCGTGCGTGCGACTAACGGGGGCGTGCGTGTGGCCTTGCGTTCCAGGCTGGTCGGCTCCGTCGGCGATCGGCATTGCTGGGCTCGGCGGAGGATTCGAGATTGGCGTCGAGGTAGGGAGGGGTGGTGGGGGTGCGAGAGTGGGGGGGGGGGAAGATTTGCATTCATGTGCAGCAGGCGATGATGTACACTGTGTGCAACAACACTCGTTAAGCAGAATTTTCTTTTTTTGGCAAAAATCCGCAAGCAGAAACTTTGGTGAAAAAATTACTATGTAGAGATTCAGTGAGGCATCTTTGCATAATTAAGTATGGCTTTTTAAAATGATTATTACTTTATTTTATTCTACTTTCGACTGAACTGATTGTTTTTGCAACGCATTGGCAACCAACGATATTCAGTCGAAGCAAGCGTTGGGAGTGAACGACTGACCTTGACATTGGTACGTTGTACAATAAATACTACACAATTCACATTGATCTGTAGCGTCAAAATGCAACCGTGTCTCAAGATGCTGGACATAAACTATGGAACACGGGCATTCAGGGTTAATGAGTCATTCACTTCCCATGAGAGAGAGAGAGAGGCGATCGGTCAGAGGCAGATTCGAACAGGGACAGGGAGTCAACAGCACGGACGGCTGGGGGGAAGTGAGATCAAGACCCTGGAGGCAGCAGAGGAGAAGGGGTGACCTCCCACCGAGCGAAGGACGAACGGGTCCTCGGAAAGAAAGCCTTAGCCGCTGGAGTGGAGAGTGCATGGAGGGGAGTTAAGAGACACGACGTTGCCAGTTCATGAGCACACGAAGCGGTGGGACAGTGGGCAACAAAATACTGGCTCGTTACGTTCACGACAAAGTTCAATTGCTGGGTTGCCGTGCCTCTCAGGTCTCGGACTTGGTGATCATCCTCAACACGAAGCGGTCGGTGGAAGCGTTCACGAAAGGAGGCAACGTGACGCTCGGAGGAAACCTAACGGTGGCGATCGGTCCCTTGGGCAGGTACGGGCCTAACTCTAGCCTCGACACAGTATGTGCTGCGGCGGTGTGGCCCTCCGCTACTTGTCAAAGTGGCAGGCCAAATTTATTTTTATCAATTCAATTCATGGGCCGTGTCTTAAGCCCTGGTGCTGCCAATACCTGATACAGTAGCGACCGCAGAGCCTCATGTTGACGTCAGTCGCCCCTCTGGGGTCAAACTTCGCTCTTAAATGTGTCCCAGCCAACAGAGATTCTGCCCTGGTGTGAAAGTCAGAGCACTGGACTTGCAATTCAGATGTCGTCAGTTCGATTCAGTCTCCCGGTGCAGCACCACTGCCCACCCGGAAGCACATTTAGCTACACAACAGTCAGTCTACTGACAGATTGCAATTGGTGGTTTAAATTGGTGGGTACTGCCAACTCTTCCAAGACGTCTGGCTGGCGTGGCAGAGTAGAACTGCTGTTTGTGTTCAGTTTGATGTCTTTCCCCGCACCTCCGATCGGCACGGCTGGCTACATACGGTGCAAAATACGTTCGACATACAGTGCACGCGAAGGCCGAATGCCCCCTGAGAGGAGATGGCTCTCTCGAGCTCGCTAGAGTGGAGGACGTTCCACCAGCAGTGCCACGAGCAGGACATTTTGCAGGGCTGTGCCTTTCGGAGCTGCGCAGAGCGCTCGTTCGCCGCCGCCGCCGCCGCCGCCGTGCGTGGGATTATTTATCTGTAATTCTAATGAGCAACGACACGCGCGGCGCGCATCGCATCGCCGGATTATGGCGCCATGGCGCCGAGAGGTCGCGCGTGCGCCGACCTCTGTGTTTGCGCGGAGCGTTGCGCGCGTTTCGCCCGGCGTATTTACGAACGGTTCATCGACCAATTTGCAGATTAATGAGCGAATTACGTTTAAGATCGCCCCCCCCCCCCCACCTGCCTGTGTGCGTAGGAATGCGGAGGCGGACGTGGCGCTGCGCAGCACGTCGGCGGTGTACACCTACTGCCGGTCTCGTGGCCTCTTTGCCGGAGTGTCGCTGGAGGGCTCCTACCTGGTGGAGAGGAAAGACGCCAATCGCAAGTGGGTGTGAGCGATGGCCAAAAGCCATTCCAGGGTGTTGCCAAAACGTTGCAACGAACAGCCGTGTGTGTGTGTGTTGAAGGTAGTGTAGCGTTTCACGCGCTGCGCTACGAACCCGGCGACCCGAATTCAATTCCTGCTCACGGCCAACACGAGTGATGATTATTTGAACCGGTCCTGGGCCTCCCCTAGGTCGAATCAGCCTCAAATAAGTACCTGGTGCGGAGTGTAAACATCGCCACTAGGGAGACAAAGGCGGCCGGACGTGGTGCTGGCCACCCACCCCCTCGTGTACCATTCCGGCCATCATAGGTGCTTGCTAACACCACTTGCCTCAACAGTCTGCTAAGGCTACACGGGAGATCTTTGTCTTTGTTGAACTTCTCGAAGGGGCTCTACAGAGCTCCTTCTTGTATGCATAGCCGTCTGGAACGTTCTTCCTTTCTGATATGAGGAAGCCACTAGTAGTTATGCACTTTTAAATCATCTAGATTGAAAACTAATGTTTTTACAACTGCTTTTTGTGTTTAGTTTGTTGTCCTTCCCCCCGCACCTCCGATAAGCGCGGTTAGCCACGTGCAGTGGGAAAGAAGTTCAACATACACACATACGTGGCGAAATAAAAATTGGACAGCCTTGCACTTCAAATACTACCGTGAGACCACGGGTTCACATGTTGCTTTTCAATCCTCCGATATATGTTTTATTGTATGTAACAAAATATCCACAACGATGACGTGTCATGAGACTAGGTATCAGAGTACCTGTATCGGATCTTGTCGCGCAAAGCTCAAAGTGATGTTTTCCTTCTCGGAGCTGGAATTGGGCCAGATCGAGGAGCATACCGAACTTGGCGTCGCGATGCTCGATGTCCACGTTGCCTGATGGTTCCGCGTCGCAGGTTTTACTGCGCCGAGCTGCGGGCCAGCGAGATCCTCGCGGGGGACGTGAGTCCCCCCAAGGCGGCGGAGCCGCTGTACGAGCAGCTCGAGAACTACCTGATGGAGGCCGACCAGGACATGCTGCACGAGGCCACGAAGACCTCCCACAAGAAGTCCCGCCGAAACGTCCCAGTGAGCCACCGACTCGACGCACCCACGACGCGACCGTAGCTTAACAAGCTTTTAGGACGAGGGATCGGGATGGGAGCGGTGACCGATCGAGCAAGGGGTTGCAAGGGAAAGAGAAGCAACTCGCTCACTCGCCTGCGCACCGACTCATCCGCTCGGCTGCGCGTTCGCTCACTTGCCCGCTCACTCATCCGCTGAGCCAATCATCCACTCACTCACCCATTTGCTCACCCGCTCACCGACTCATCCACTCGGCTACGCATTCACTCACTCGCCCGCTCACTCATCCGCTGAGCCAATCATCCACTCACTCACCCATTTGCTCACCGACTCATCCACTCGGTTACGCATTCACTCACTCGCCCACTCACTCATCCACTGAGCCACCCATCCTCTCACTCACCCACTCACTCACATACTCACCCACCCCATTATTCACTTACTCGCCCACTCACTCACTAACTTACTCCCTCAATCACTCAAGCGAAGGCGGGGGGGGGGGGGAATAAGCGATTGAAGGGTTCTGAAGGCACGATTGAGAAGGAAGGGTTTTTATGGGAGACTTGAAAGCAGAGAGATGTAGGGGAGGTGGGGGCAGGCAGAGTTTTCTCCACCAGTGGTGGAGTAAAGGTTCATGGGAGCAATGGGGAGGCCAGAATCTGTGGAGTGGAGGGTGCAGAGGGGACTTAGGGGTGGAGAAGGCTGCAGAGGTTTGGTGGGGAGGCAAGGCCCTGATGGAGGGAAAGGCAGTGAGGCATGAGATCAGTCGGAGACTGCAGCGTGCCTCTCCAAGTGTTGCGTTCGCATCGCACCGCGACGTTTCTCTCCACGTCCTCGGCAGCTTCGTCGGGAACTTAGCCGAGCAGCCCGCCGCTGTAAGCGGTGGGAGGAAATTGAGCTGCTCGAATCGGTTCCTGGAGTTGCGCCCAGCAAGTATAGCGAAACGTCGGACATCGTGAGAAACAACCCAAGGACGCACGCACGAGAGCCGGCGACCCCGGAGTTGCACCACGAAGGGGCGCGACTCTTGGCCCCGGCACGCAAACGCCGAGCCCCTACTTATGCGTGCGTGCGTGCTTGTACGTGCTTGTGTGCTTGTGTGCGTGCGTGCGGATGCGCGCGAGCGTGTGGGAGTGCGGGCTTTCATGTTGACGAATGCGAGCGTCGTGGCGTGCGGATCTGTGAACCCGCATGTATTATGCATGTCCAAGCTGCGTGCGTGCGTGCTCTTTACAAGGACCCGTTTCCCCAGCCCCAGCCCAGGAAGACGGAGAGCATGCGCTCGCAGGCGAGCCGTCCGGCCGCGTGGCAGTCTGTCCGCCAGAAGTCGTCGGGTGAGTGGGGAGCTCTCACGGGAAAAACAACACGCTCCGGACTCCCGCGCCTCACGCTCGCGACGCCCTCACCCCCTCACCCCCTCACCCCCTCACCCCCCCCCCCCCCGTGTTCCCACCCGCACCGCTGTGCTCTGCTCAAACGCTATCCTCGGTCACGCCAAGCGGCCGTGTGGCGCGCTGAAAACTTGGCGGATGTGAAAGTGAACGTGCGTTTTGAATTCGCTTCGTGGCGTTTCCAGCGGCCGTAGGCATTCCCGACTTGCGTGGGGTGCTCTTTGCCGAGAGGGCCGTACGGCTCTCTGGGTCGTGCCAAGTGCCGCGCGAGCGCCCGTGTCGGTTCCTCACGAAGCCGCCAGCAGATGGGGCGAAACGTCGGACGTCGTGCCGAACAAGGCGCGGTTTCACCCGAAAACGTGCCGCGGGGCTCTACGCGTCGCTTAGACAATTGCGTGGTGCTGGCTGTGACGACGTTGGAGGGGAGCTTCGTCTTACGTGTATGCGTGCGTGCGCGTATATGCTCTATATATTTAATGATTTGAAAGCAACACATTTAAAAATAGAATCCCCATAAATCTGCAGCACCCTCGGTCCGTGACGCTGCACTTGCGTGAATGGACAGCCGGCGTGGCGTGCCGCAGCGTTGGGGCACGCCGGCGGCCCCGGCGAGGATGTCCGGAGACGGCGCCGAGGTCACCGGCGCCGAGGTCACCGCCGCCTCGCAGCTCCTCGATCCTCATCTCCCCTCTCACGCGGTGCCAGCACGAGCGGCGGATTACCGCTCGCTCTCTCGCTCGCTCGCTCGCTGTTCCACCCCCCCCACCCCCATCCCCCACCAAGTCTTTAAAGACCCATCACTTGGCACTTGCGCCGCTGTTTATATTCACTGCAGCTGGTGTTTATTGAGATGTTTAGTTTAGTTGGGATGGGCGGAAGAGTTCGATTCCCGGCCACGAAGCCAAGGCATCTCAACATCGCCGTCCCACACTGACCGGTGTGGCGAGGTCCGGTCAAGCAAACGTCACGACCGACACTCCGCCTCCGAGTGGCGCGGGTTGGCTACGTATGGTGCGAAAGAAGTTCGACATGCGGACACGGGGAGACCTTCGTCCATCCGTCAGTGGAGTGACAAAGGGCCGGAACGTTTTGTTATTATTTGTGAACTTTGTAAATTCAGGGGGAGGCATTGAAGGCATCAATTCAGCTTCCCGCCCCTCCCCCGTCCCCCACCGAGGCTGTGCTCTGCCTTCGAGGCGTTGCTGCTATACAAAGCCGGCAGCGAGAGGCAGTTCATCTCAGCTCATCTTTACCGCGCGTGGAGGACGAGCGGAGCTAACGCCGGCAGCGAGAGGCGGCGCTGATGGACGCGGCGCGAGTTTGGGTGATGGACCCACGGGAGCGCTCCTCTCTGTGGGCGAGCGGAGCGGGGGGGGGGGGGGGGGCGTGACGTGCGCGGGGCGCGTCGTCACGGAGCGATCATCGGGAGAACACCCTCCAGTCCCCCCCCCCAGCCCCCCGCAGCCCCCACCCAGCCCCCCCTCCCCCGTCCCCTGCCCCTTCCCGTTCCACGCCCGACTGAATCCCCGAGCATCAAAACCCTTCCAGCGTTGCAGCGGGCCCACAAACCGTCCTCTGGAAAATAAGACGCGCACCCCAAGCCTGTGCGCGGTGCGAATGATCTTGTACCAAACCTGGCCGCTCACATACACACAGCGACCGGATATCGTAAGAAGCAACCCTACGTGCTTTTTGCTTTGAAGAGCATGGGAGGGGGGGGGGGGTGTAGGTGGTGCGTCTTGGTAAACCCGGACGCGGCGGCGGTCACGCCACTGTGATCGTGCGCGCACCCTGTGAGCAGGAACAATTCGCCTCCTTTGTGCTGTAACAAAAACCCGCAGAAGAGAGGCGTCACGACGGACAAAACCCTCGGCGGCGCGCGGAGGCGAGCCTGCGACAAAAAAAACGTGAATGCCAGCCTCCTCCATTCGACGCATTCTCCCGAGTCCCAACCCCTACCTCCTCCCCCCCTTCTGAAAAGAAAGCCTATTGCGTCTTTGTTCTGAATTTAAAGAATGTATATATGTTGGAAGTTGCTTCGGCGTCTTTGGATTGCCACAGATCACTTGGCGAAATGAAAGCCGGCGTCGTGCGAGGGTGAGGTCTGCGCAGGCTCTGCCTTGAATGCGTCCACCACCTGCAGGCTGGCGGCCCGCCAAGGGAAGGACAATGGGGCTTGGTGCTCGCATCTTTATTTTCAAGTGACCTCCTTTTTAAGTGATTTTTTTCCCTATCCACAGTCTACATTTTCAATTCTCAGAGCTGAGATGTAGGCAAGTGAAGTGCAAAAACAAAGCGCGTGCGATTTTGTTTTTATGCGCGGTCATTTGTTGACCGTGCCGGGACCGTCAAAGCCGCTGCACTTCAGAAGCCGGTTTAGTCGCAGGCCACTTGCCCTGATTCGAACCCAGGCCCTCAACGGTGCCCACTCAGTGCTCTGACCTCTGAGCCACCTCCCAACGGCGTGTTGCATCAATAAGCAACCGAAGAGAAACGTTACTAATTAATGTCTGGGTTTCCGTATCCATTCACTGCCGTTGCTTTTAAGTTCATGAACCGTCTTTGCGACGGTTCATGTTGGTGGCCGGCGCTTGACTGCACGCTCCGTTGTTTTGCGCCACTCTGCGGGTTTTTTTCGTTGTTATCGAGGCCATGGCTCGGCATTATTATACCCTCCCAGAAACTCTGCCGGGGCCGGTGAAGGATTATTTTAATAGCTTGCATATGAAAGAAACGCAGCCGGCGTATCGGTGGCCAAGGCTCTTCTTACTCTGTATTATGTTGGTGTTGTTTCCCTCCCCTCGCTGTGGAGCTGACCTTCTGAAATTAAGCCTTCACAGCCAAAGGCCACGACTGTCACTGGACCATCACGTGCGCAGTGTTGCCGGAGGGAGCTTGCGCGTGCGCGTGGCAGCGAGCGCTTCATGTTGATGAGGGTTGCTCATCCATTAGCCGCTGGGTGGCCCTCCCTGTTACGCGCGTGGAAATGCCACCCCGGCGCAGCTCGTAACAGTCTCCTTGCCCTTTGGGTCCCGGCCTGTGCCGGGAATCTCCAGGTCTTTCAAACTAAATGTTAATATTATCATTTTAGCATTAAAACCCATCCGTGTTTGTCCGTTATTCCACCACCCCCACCGAGATGTAAATTATCCGTCTGCGAGATATGCACATTGGATTGGGTTTTTTTTATCGTGCAAATCATCTTCTTTGATCGATTCCCACAGATATAAGATACCATTCTTTTTTTAAAGTGTTACATTCTTATATCTGTAATTGGAGTGTAATTGTTATCACACTGCACTTGCAATCCAGAGGTGGCCGGTTCGAATTCCCGGCGTGGCGATTGAAACGTCGGTGGCAAGTTTCTGAAATCTCCCGGCTCTGTCCACTCACAGCGTGGCCCACTCTTCTTCACTGTTGAAGAAGAGTGGGCCACACGTCCTCTGGCGAGGCACTGTAGAACTCCGTCTGGTGAGGGCGTGAGCCAAGACATTGCAGGGCTGCGCCTTTACCTCTTTCAGTATTTTTGTTTGAGAAAAAAAACTGGTGAACTGCTTTGACATGTTAGCAAGGCTGTTTATTTACCTATAGTACTTGATCATTTAAGGATCAAGCTTCGCCATCAATAGCTGCTCTATAGAAAGACGACTTTTGACGTCGCACAAAAAGATGATTGTTGTATAGGCCCTCGTCGATGGGATGATGATGATGTTCACATGGGTTGACCTCTAAACTCTCGTTTGAGTCTCACCGCTTTCAGATTCTGAGACTCGAAACCAAATGGTTCCCCGTCCACGCTGCTCGTGCGTTATTCCAGCCCGTGCGTTCTTCATGCCCGTGAGTTCTTCTTGCCCGTGCGTTCTTCTTGCCCGTGCGTTCTTCATGGCCGTGAGTTCTTCTTGCCCGTGAGTTCTTCTTGCCCGTGAGTTCTTCTTGCCCGTGAGTTCTTCTTGCCCGTGAGTTCTTCTTGCCCGTGCGTTATTCCAGCCCGTGCATTCTTCATGCCCGTGCGTTCTTCATGCCCGTGAGTTCTTCATGCCCGTGAGTTCTTCATGCCCGTGCGTTCTTCATGCCCGTGCGTTCTTCATGCCCGTGCGTTCTTCATGCCCGTGAGTTCTTATTGCCCGTGCGTTCTTCGTGCCCGTGCGTTCTTCATGCCCGTGAGTTCTTCTTGCCCGTGAGTTCTTCATGCCCGTGAGTTCTTCTTGCCCGTGCGTTCTTCATGCCCGTGAGTTCTTCATGCCCGTGAGTTCTTCTTGCCCATGCGTTCTTCCTGTGCGCATCTCGCGCGTTGCCGTCCTGACTCGGTGCGTCGGTGACGCCTCGGACGGGCCGAGCCTCCCGCCCGGCGAGACGTCGCAGCTCTGCCCCGGTGCCACCCCGGCCAGATCTCATGGTCATTAAAACACGTTAGATTTTTCTTGTTAATAATGTCACTGCATTTCATTACGCTCACCATGGCTTCGGGAGGTTTGGTTCCATGAAGCAACACGAATTAACTTTCCTATTTAGTTTCCCCAACTTAATTCGATGCAGGTTAATGGACATCACTTCAAATGTCTTATTGCAACCGGTCATCGGGGGCTGCTCACAGCTCGTGGCCAAATCGCCCGCCAACCCCGGCTGATCTCGGAAGCTGAGCAGACTTGAGCATGGATCGTGCTTGGATGGGCGACCACCATACAATACTTAACAACGGGTGCTGCGTGGCTCCGTTGTCAGCGTGCCACTGTTGGACTGCACTATACGGCGATGTCTACGCTCTGCACCGACCAGCATGGTGACGTGTGTCGTATAGATCGCCCTTCACGCCGTCGCGTCTCGCGGCATTTTACACGTCGCGACAAGCGACTGGCATCGCGCATCTCGTCTTCACGTCAGCAAGGGCACCCCCCCCCCTCCCCCCCCAGTAGCAGCTCTGTCTCGGTGCTGCGCGATGCGACCTCGGCACTGTCCTGCGAGCGGGCATTCATCTGCCAGTAGGGGGAAGTGGAAAGGGGGGGGGGTGGGCAACGATCGCTCTGTGCACCCCCAATCGCGTCACGGTCGAAGTAAAACCACGTGCGTGACTGATCCGTCGCAGCACGTGGCGAGGCGCCGCCAAAGGCGCTGCGCTGCGCCCGTGCGTCGTCGCCAACCCGCTCGGTCGGATGACCACGGCGATGTCCGCAGGTTCGTGGTCCCGGGGCGCCGACGGCGACTCTCAGGCGGCGGCGGTGGTGGCGGTGCGCCCCTTCAGAGGCCAGCTGCCTTGCGACCTGAGCTTCGGGTTGGGCGAGCGAATCGACGTGGTGACCCGCACGAAGTCCCGCGACGACTGGTGGGAAGGCCGCCTCCACGGCCGCCTCGGGATCTTCCCGGCCACGTACGTGCGGGACTGCTAGGCGACGGGCGCAGCGGTGGCGGCGACGCATCGATGACAACGTATCGATGACAACGTATCGATGACAACGCATTGATGACAACGTATTGATGACAGCGCATCGATGACAACGTATCGATGACAACGCATTGATGACAACGTATCGATGACAACGTATCGATGACAACGTATCGATGACAACGCATTGATGACAACGTATCGATGACAACGTATTGATGACAACGCATTGATGACAACGCATTGATGACAACGTATCGATGACAGCGCATCGATGACAACGTATCGATGACAGCGCATCGATGACAACGTATCGATGACAACGTATCAATGACAACGTATTGATGACAACGCATTGATGACAACGCATTGATGACAACGTATCGATGACAGCATATCGATGACAGCGCATCGATTACAACGCATCGATGACAACGCATCGATGACAGCGTATCGATGACAACGTATCGATGACAACGTATTGATGACAACGCATTGATGACAACCGTATCGATCTTGATTTGGCGCTTTCGTGACTGCAGAAATTAATCTTTGGTTCTGTCGGTAAAGTCACGTAGAATTAGAAAATATATGTAAGTTATTATTTTCTATTTCTACGTGATTTTACCGAAAGAACCAAAGAATAACCGTATCGATGACAATGTATCGACGACAACGTATCAATGACAACGTATCGGTGACAACGTGTCTGTGGCTCCGTATTCACGACAATGTATCGACGATGACGTGTCGGTGACGACATATCAATGACCACGTGTCGATGACCACGTGTCGACGCGTCGACAGGCAGAGCGATGGGCGAGCGTCGCAGGCCGTTGTTTGTGCTCTGGGTGTTTTCTGGAAGCCGCTGGATTTTAACACGTCGAGATTCAACTGTGGGGAAATATAACGCCAGTTAATCGGCAACCTGTACACGCATGTAGCACTTTGTGTAAACTGATGACGATGACAGACATATAATCACGGTTTACTATCATTTATTACACCCAGAATTATCATTTATTACACCCAGAATTCTCTTGCAGTGCCATGAGAGGTTTTATAATTACGCAACTGAACACAATATTACTTTGGGTTCTTTTAAGGAACAAAATCTATGAGCTGAGATGTTTTGTAATATATTTGCAATAAATACGGAGTTTCATTTCTTGTGTCAATATTTACCCGTGTACTTTTGGGGCAAACACTGTCAATTACCACTGTCAATTACCACTGTCAATTAAAACCCATGACATACAGTGAGGGAAAAAGTATTTGATCCCCTGCTGATTTTGTACGTTTGCCCACTGACAAAGAAATGATCAGTCTATAATTTTAATGGTAGGTTTATTTGAACAGTGAGAGAGAAAAACAACAACAAAATCCAGAAAAACGCATGTCAAAAATGTTATAAATTTATTTGCATTTTAATGAGGGAAATAAGTATTTGACCCCCTCTCAATCAGAAAGATGTCTGGCTCCCAGGTGTCTTTTGTACAGGTAACGAGCTGAGATTAGGAGCACACTCTTAAAGGGAGTGCTCCTAATCTCAGCTTGTTACCTGTATAAAAGACACCTGTCCGCAAAAGCAATCAATCAGATTCCAAACTCTCCACCATGGCCAAGACCAAAGAGCTCTCCAAGGATATCAGGGACAAGATTGTAGACCTACACAAGGCTGGAATGGGCTCCAAGACCATTGCCAAGCAGCTTGCTGAGAAGGTGACAACAGTTGGTGCGATTATTCGCAAATGGAAGAAACACAAAAGAACTGTCAATCTCCCTCGGCCTGGAGCTCCATGCAAGATCTCACCTCGTGGAGTTCCAATGATCATGAGAACGGTGAGGAATCAGCCCAGAACTACACGGGAGGATCTTGTCAATGATCTCAAGGCAGCTGGGACCATAGTCACCAAGAAAACAATTGGTAACACACTACGCCGTAAAGGACTGAAATCCTGCAGCGCCCGCAAAGTCCCCCTGCTCAAGAAAGCACATATACATGCCCGTCTGAAGTTTGCCAATGAACATCTGAATGATTCAGAGGACAACTGGGTGAAAGTGTTGTGGTCAGATGAGACCAAAATGGAGCTCTTTGGCATCAACTCAACTCGCCGTGTTTGGAGGAGGAGGAATGCTGCCTATGACCCCAAGAACACCATCCCCACCGTCAAACATGGAGGTGGAAACATTATGCTTCGTGGCTGTTTTTCTGCTAAGGGGACAGGACAACTTCACTGCATCCAAGGGACGATGAACGGGGCCATGTAACGTCAAATCTTGGGTGAGAACCTCCTTCCCTCAGCCAGGGCATTGAAAATGGGTCGTGGATGGGTATTCCAGCATGACAATGACCCAAAACACACGGCCAAGGCAACAAAGGGGTGGCTCAAGAAGAAGCACATTAATGTCCTGGAGTGGCCTAGCAAGTCTCCAGACCTTAATCCCATAGAAAATCTGTGGAGGGAGCTGAAGGTTTGCGTTGCCAAGCGTCAGCCTCGAAATCTTAATGACTTGGAGAAGATCTGCAAAGAGGAGTGGGACAAAATCCCTCCTGAGATGTGTGCAAACCTGGTGGCCAACTACAAGAAACGTCTGACCTCTGTGATTGCCAACAAGGGTTTTGCTACCAAGTACTGAGTCATGTTTTGCAGAGGGGTCAAATACTTATTTTCTTCATTAAAATGCAAATCAATTTATAACATTTTTGACATGCATCTTTCTGGATTTTGTTGTTGTTATTCTGTCTCTGTTCAAATAAACCTACCATTAAAATTATAGACATCATTTCTTTGTCAGTGGGCAAACGTACAAAATCATCAGGGGATCAAATACTTTTTTCCCTCACTGTACACCACCCTTGGTGAACACTGCTCATGGTGAACACTGCTCATGGTGAACACTGCTCATGGTGAACACCGCCCATGGTGAACACCGCCCATGGTGAACACCGCCCATGGTGAACACCGCCCATGGTGAACACTGCTCATGGTGAACACCGCCCATGGTGAACACCGCCCATGGTGAACACTGCTCATGGTGAATACTGCTCATGGTCGACACCACCCATGGTGAACACCGCCCATGGTGAACACTGCTCATGGTGAATACTGCTCATGGTCGACACCGCCCATGGTGAACACTGCTCATGGTGAACACCACCCACGGTGAACACTGCTCATGGTGAATACTGTTCATGGTCGACACCACCCATGGTGAACACTGCTCATGGTGAACACGGCCCGTGGTAGGACTGCCAGTGGTGAACACCCCCATGGTGAACACAACCCATGTTGGACACAACCCATGGTGGACACTGCCCGTGGTGGACACTGCCCGTGGTGGACACTGCCCGTGGTGGACACTTGAAATGGCGGATATTGGTAGCATTCGCCACCCCAGGTGCAAAGGACAATCCCCCTCATCATGCGCTATGTCTGATGCGTGGTGCTCTCCACTCTGCAGATCCAGCTGCAGTCCCCAGGCACGGTAGAGATAACGTAGCTAAACCATCGCCCCCACCGATACCACCGAGTCCCCAGCAGCTCCGGTTCCACCAGCCACTTGGGATGGAGCGAGGGAGCAGGGCGAATTTCCAGGTGCGAACCACATCTGGATTTGATCATCGCTACGCATGCGACATTCAACACCGACTCTGTTGGGTGAATACAACATTGTTGAAATGGAATTGATCGATCCACTGGCGGATGAAGGCCTCAATGCTGTGGTGCAACAACAAACCACACCGAGCACTTTCACGCCAACTCATTTCATTGGTCCATCTCCTCGGTTGCTTGATGTGCTCTCAGATGCCTTCCATTCCCCTTGGCTGCCGTTCCATCGCTACCCACTCTGTTCTTAACCAAAAGTCCTCCCTTACAGCCACGACGTGTCCTGCCCAAAGTACATCAACGTTGCTAATTATGTCTTTTGTCTAAATATGTCTTTAACTAATTACGTCTTTAACTAGTTATGTCTTGAACTATGTCTTTAACGAATTGTCTTTCTTTAAACCGCCTATGTTCACGCGTCCACGTATTCCTCATCCTGTCTCTCAACGTAATTCCAAGCATGCAAATCTCTCCAAGCGTCTTTGCGCATGTTTCTTCTTTTTGTTCCATTCGTCGTCGTTGTTGTTTGGTGAACGGCCGTGTTTTCTGAACCTTATAACGACGGCAAAAAAACGAGCATTGAAAATTAAGCTGCCAGTCGGGGGAACACAGCCAACACAGGAAATGATGCTTTTCATGGTGTGGGAATTATGCCGCTTATTTATGGCCCAATTGTGATAATTAGCGGACTGTGCAGCATAGTAATTTCATAATTTAATAGATGCCGTCCACAGTGGCTTAATGCCAACACTCATTAATGTTGCGATGACTTGGCCGTCATGTACGCACGAGCGTTGTGTGGCGATGATGCCTGGGTTGGCAATGCAATGCCACCTTTGGCAGAGATGGAAGCGAAAGACGCACTATGTACTGCTCGACATGCAATATCGCTAAAGAACGATGATCAATCCTATATATGTATACGGTAAAGCCGCACCGCCATCAGAATGTGTATTCCTACAATCATAGTGAACAGAAGCATGACAACGTGCCTCGAGAAGAACAATTCAATCAGTCAACTTTACCTGCTCCGATACGTGGATTGGAGTCATGGACAAATTGAGAAGACGCTGAAAAGTGAGCGAATAATCGTGGAGATGTTTGGAATTACACCGAGTGGGAAAAACAAAACATGCAGCGACAGGTCAGAGGGCAACTGCGAAGTAGGGTCGGACATGTTCATTGTTTTCCTAAGTGGGCTTGAGCAGGGCATCGCTTTAATCGTAGCCGATGGATGAGGCTGATGATTGAATAGCAGCCAAAGGAGGCAACACACGCAAGGGGATGAGAATCACCGTTGAGATGGAGTGATGAGATGAGATGGAGTGATGAGATGAGATGGAGTGATGAGATGAGATGGAGTGATGAGATGAGATGGAGTGATGAGATGAGATGGGGTGATGAGATGGATTGATGAGATGGAGTGATGAGATGGAGTGATGAGAAGAGATGGAGTGATGAGATGCGATGGTGATGAGATGCGATGGAGTGATGAGATGAGATGGAGTGATGAGATGAGATGGGGTGATGAGATGGAGTGATGAGATGCGATGGTGATGAGATGCGATGGAGTGATGAGATGAGATGGAGTGATGAGATGAGATGGAGTGATGAGATGAGATGGAGTGATGAGATGAGATGGGGTGATGAGATGGAGTGATGAGATGGAGTGATGAGATGAGATGGAGTGATGAGATGAGATGGAGTGATGAGATGAGATGGAGTGATGAGATGAGATGGAGTGATGAGATGAGATGGAGTGATGAGATGAGATGGGGTGATGAGATGGAGTGATGAGATGAGATGGAGTGATGAGATGAGATGGAGTGATGAGATGAGATGGAGTGATGAGATGAGATGGGGTGATGAGATGGATTGATGAGATGGAGTGATGAGATGGAGTGATGAGAAGAGATGGAGTGATGAGATGCGATGGTGATGAGATGTGATGGAGTGATGAGATGAGATGGAGTGATGAGATGCGATGGTGATGAGATGCGATGGAGTGATGAGATGAGATGGAGTGATGAGATGAGCTCATGGGCAGGAGACGGATCGCTGGACCACGAGGGATCGGAAAACAGCGTGGGGGCAGCCTTCATACAGCAGTGGATAGAAAATAGCCGACGATGAATATATTGCTAATTTCAGTGTGGCTGTATTTGGCATGCTCAATAGACCCGCAAAAGTGAGGTTTTCTATTCCTAACCTAACCTTAGTAGCTCCGATTATATTATTTTCAGGGCCTCCCTTGTTCGCTGCCTGCTCTTTGTAAGAACATAAAAAAAAATTCAAAGGCAGAGATACTTTCTCCTGCAGAAACTTAAAGGCTGCAGTGGAATTATTGCCCGCCACTAAAAATGTTGTTTATTTCGTGTTGATGAGCACAGGCCCAAATGTCCAGCTCCCCCCCCCCCCCCTCTTATTTATATAGCGTCTTGTTTAACTGCAGCCCTCTTGTCCGTTCCAGCAGTTGTTTCTAGCTGTGGTGGTCCCACCTGATGGGGGGCGCTTGTGTTGCGCCCGAAAGGTCGAGATTTATTTTTATTTTATTTATTTTTCACCTACGTGACTTTACCGAAAGAACCAGAGTATGGATCCTTGCAGTCACGAAAACTTCAAATCTAGAATATAATAGGTAAGTTAATGTGCTTTTATGAGCAAATTTGTAAGAATTTGAAGTGTGTAAATTCCGAAATAAAGCGGTGCTCAAAAATAGCGAGAAGTGTTCCTGTAGTAGTTGAACACTCGTCGATTAGACGAAACGCTCGAGCAGGCAAAGGCCTCCACGTGGGCCGAGGAATCAAAGGTGGGGACGGGTTTTGACCCCCACTTGCACGGTGGCTGAATGTGGATTCACTTGTTAAGAGTCCTGAACGTGGGCGGACTATGGACGCGTAGCATCGCCCAGATGCTGGGACAGCACTGGTCTACGATTCACACGAGCTGGTCTCAACCTGTGGGTCCCCCCCCCCTCCCCCTCCCACGACAGATCAGTGATGGGGGGGGGGGGTGTCGCAAGCCACGGCATGGATGCTGTGCAGGAGTCATTTCTGAACGTGAAACATCAGCGCCACCTGCAGCCACACAACACGCTCATACACAACACGCTCATACACAACATGAGAGGATTGTGTTTCCATACCTGTCAACTCATACGGTTTGCCCGTATTCTTGTACAGGGAAATTGAGCAAAGTTTGTTTGTCTCTATTTGTTTGTATTTCTCCCTTGTGATGGGACTTTGTAGGATGAACGTTCATATTTATAAGGGCACCACGGGGTGACCAATAAGGTCTGAATTGTTCCGTCATAAGGTCGGCAACTGAGCAGGGCTCGACAGGTTTGTGTTTCTAACACTGCATTGACTAGAGGTGTGCACACATGCTCTCTCTATATTGTGACCTTAGTAGAGCTTGGTTGTTGTTTTTTCGCTGGTGGGGTGTAGGCATGGGCACCCGTAGTCTTGATTGGGGGGCCACCATACCCAGGGCCACCTCCAGAGGGAGTGGGGGTGGAGGGTAAGAGAGGCATTTTATTCTGGGCCTCGCTACAACAAAAAGAGTCCCACGTGACATTCTCCCTTTGGGCCTCCAACCCTTGGGCCTCCGTGAATCTTTGTGCGATCCTGGCCATCCCAAAACAGGTCCGGAGGACCTCCTCCCTCTGCTTTCCACAGAGGCTGCACACGGACGAGCAGTTGGCGTAGCATTGCACTGCCCCCTTGTGTAAACGCACACGCAGTGCACCTTTCAGAAGCAACTTTATTCATGGTTATACTTTGTATCCGTATGAAACATGCATGGATTGCAAAGCTGTAAGCACACAAGGCTTGGGCTCCAAAGGTGGCCACTTCACTTGACACACACGCACGCGCGCGCCCTCTCAGGCGCGCTCAACACCGACAGCCTCCTGTATTGCAACGTTCGCCTGCTGCATTTCGAAAATTTTAAAGAAAACGATCGGCGGTCGCCAACAAAAAAAAAATTAAAGAAAAATAATTATATTTGTACAGACTTTTGTTTATATTAAAAAAAAACTTTTTTTTCTTAAAAGAGCACTGAAAAAAACTATAAATAGTAACGACGAACATTTACTCTCCCTTTTCTTTAAGTTATTCAATAATATTAGCAATAAATAGTAATAAATATATATTTTTAAAACACTGCATTGTAAAACAAATCAACGACAACAATAACAATTATAAATGCTTTTGAAGGCTCAGTGTTCTGAGTGGCTATCGCGGGGGGGGGGGGGGGTGGGGGGGAGGAGGCATGGGGAGCTTGTCGGGCTTTTTGAGGGGGGCCGTGGGTTCAGCCACAAGCAATGTGACTTCAGAAGGCGGGCGGGGGGGGGGCAGCTAAAATAAAAAGCCAAGCGCCGCGCTCTCTCCGCCGTGCTCTCCTCGGGGGGGTCGCGGCCCCCTCTCGCTGCCGCCGCCCCCCCCCCCCACCCCGAGATAAAAAAAAAATCCCTGGAGAGAGCGGCGACAACGGCAGAGCCCGCGACGAACAAAACCAAACAAACACTCTGCGACTTTTGCGTGCGCGAGCGGCTCCCTAAGCGATGACCACGAGTGCCGCACGTTCAAATTGACCTCCTCCTCCTCCTCCTCCCCTCCCTCTACGCTTCTTATCTAGCTCGTTCGATTTTTTAAAGGTTTTTTTTCACTTTTTTTTTGTCACAACGGTTTTGCGAGAAGATACGATTACTAGTACAGTATACTCCAGTGTAAAAAAAATAATAATGGCGTAACAAGGCTTATCATGCATTGGTGAAATGTAAAAGTTGATTTGCAAAGTGTTCATTATGATGTCTCTTCTTCTTATTCAAGAACCCACCCCGAGCCCAAACACAAATCCCGTGTCACAACAAACCCACGGTGTTTTCTTCAAATGTTGATACTAAGACAAAAGTTTTGGTTTTTGGGATCAAGCTAAAACCCATTATTCTTTTTGTAACATCACATTACTGTTAATACTTATAAATGGTAGCAAAACTCAAAATGGAAGCTACCAGCACTTCATACCATAAAAATAATTTAAAAATAATTTCAATACGGCAAAAAGATGCAACCATGTAATTTTTTCTCCTACTCTCTGCGTCCTTTTGAATTTTTTAAGTTTTGTCATTCCTTATATATACTATGTTTTATATATATTAAGTTGCATGATAAAATTACAGTACTGAAAAGTTTCACAAGGCCTTCCTCCTTGCTGTGCATTTTCCTCTCTCTCTCTCTTCTCTCTTTTTGCTCACAGCTGCTTCACCTGATTGCGACATGAAAACCCTTGGGTGGGGTCCGCTGGCAGATTGTACATAAACTACACACGCACAACGCACACGTGCGCGCACGCACACACACACACACCTGTAAATAAACGCGTGGATTTAGTGCCAGACATTTCGACGTGCATAGACGCAATCTGCATTCCCGCCTAAACTGTGTGTTCTTTGCGGCCACGTACAAAAGGTTCTACTTTGTGTAAATATGCGTTGCTAGCTACCGTATGCCCCGTGTTCGTCGTCAGGGTTAAATGTGAATTGAGAAGAGTGGCAGGGGTGGAGGTACTGACGCGTGTTTCTCCGTACCGATCCGCGCTATTTCGACGCGCTAGAAACGCCCGGCTGAAATCATCCTGAGCTCAAGCCTGCAACGATAGATAAATAAATAAATACTCACGAAAACGATCCGCAACTAGAATAAATTATTATCCAAATATGTTCGTGTAAAAGCCACAATTTCCAGTTTGATTGTATCATTTTTTTCCATTTTGCTACTATCGGAATGGTTATATTAACGTTTGCATTGATTATAGCGCTTGTTCCACTTTTCCATAATGGAATATACTCAGCCCACAGGCTCGGTCAAACAGCAATTGTCTTTGTCTGCAATGGATTGTCAAAATGCTGCTCATGGTCAAGTGTATTATGGGAGATAATAGAATTGTGTATTATTTTATGAAATCTATGTCTAAAACTTCTACATTTTTTCACTTTCTTAAGACACCAACACTTACTGAAAATTCTTAAATACCTACGACAATGTTAAGTTGGTAAAACATTTTTGTTTGTTTAAAACAGAACATGATTCTTTGAGCGAATTTTTTTTTTCTCTCGAACACTACGACAGGACCCCTTCCCAAAAAGGTTTCCTCTCCGACAAGCGACGCCACCACCGCCACCGCCGCCGCCGGCGACGCCGCTGCTGCCGCCAGCCAAGTGGCCGGAGCCGATCCTCCGCCGCGTCACCGCACGGCACTCAACAAAGTGATTCGTCCAACGCCTAACACACCGGCAAACACAGCCGAATATTTCGCAAACCAAAAACCACCCCTTTGCGCCGTTCTCTCCGCAGACGTTAAACCGAGATCCGTCCGTTCCGTTAACTCGTCTACCTTGCTTCGTCGCGAAAATATTTGACATTTTTAACTCTTTTAGTTTTTTTGTTCTGGCGGTGGACTAGAATCTTTGCGAGAGGTGGTTGAGAAACCTTGGCTGCTGCTGCAGGAGGAGGTGGAAATGAAACCTCATCGTCGGAACAAGTGGGGGGTGGGGGGAGGCGGGAGGGAGTTGGTCCAAGGTCCCTTCCCTCGGCCGGTCGGTCGAGACTTCAATCCACCCTCGGCGCTGCCACGGTGGCGACGGAGAGCAGCTCCGGCAACCCCGGCAAGCCAGCGTGGACGGCGCTGCGGCTGCCACGGCAGAGGGGCGGCCGTGAGAGGCGCCCCGCCCCTCACACCTGGATGCCCTTGACAGCCTGGCGGATGGTGTCCAGCAGGGCCTTCTGCTCGGGACTCTGGTAGTGATCCTGGTTGCTGTACATGTCCGTCAGCTTGGTGACGTACGCGTCAAAGTTCTGCTCGTTGATCGGACCCTGAAGGGAAAAGGCAAAAACGCACGTGCGCTCACTCGCTCGGTTCGTTCCTTGTGGGGAAAGGTAGACAAAAGTAAAAGTAAAGTATACAGGTACAGACGTGCAATTGTTGACTCATTAAGTGGAGAACTGAATTTAACATTACGGGGGATTTTTTGTTGTTGCATGCATTCAACTGGAGACCAGGCTGAGACCACCGAATTCAGCAGCAAATTTACACAAGCGGTGGGTACTCCTTTTCAAATCCATTTGTTCAACGCAGCAGAAAGGGTCACACGCCGCCCTTTTAAGGCAGGGGTCTCGGCTTCCTCTGCGTCGGCTTGGTCGTTGCGCGAACGTCGCGTAATGTTGACGACGCTGGATACAACTCGAGCGGTATAAAGGTGATGGAGCAGGCCTGCGAGATTACTCACGCATTCCACTCGTGGCAGAGGGGCCTCCGCTAGATGAGCACCGTTGGCTACGTAGTACGGTGCGAAAGAAGTTCAACGTGCGTGCGTATACGTAGAGGGAGCAAGAGAGAACTCCTCTCTATAGGGTACGTGGTCTACTCTTCCACGACGGCCAGACGCCTTAAAAGAGGCGGAAGTCCCCACACTTTAGCCCGCCACACGCGACTTGCCGATCGACCGACTCTGCTTTATACTGCGGGGTGCACAGAGGTGGAGGGGTGGGATTAAAGAATCTGGCATCATTGTTTCAACTACCGTGCCGGGAGATCGAACCGGCGATGTCTGGATTGCAAGTGCTGTGTCCTAACCATTACTCCGCGGTGTGGCAGGATCGCTTCGTCCTCTGTAGACGTTCATAAAAACAAAACTCGACGCGAATTTGCGAGGTGGACTAAGAGATTCCTAGGGGACAGTAGAATGGAATTTTTGGAATCCAACTGCGCAGAGTTTCGAGTTTCCGCTTCCTCCAGATATGTGGATTAATATTAATTTGAATAAACGTTCATTTGACTACGTTCTCTAATCCACGTGTTCCTCTTTGAGTCATTCAATGCAATTCTGAGCATGCATCGCGCAAAGAAGCATGGTGACAACTAACACAGGTTAATTACATCATCCAAACTGTAAAAAATTGTGAGCTTGGAGCAGGACGCTTCGCTAGAAGGTTAGATGGTCGACGGTCAAACTGGGTGGGAGCCAAAGAAGGAATCACATCCACTGAGGCGATGGCTTTGGGAGTTATCCATCCAGCAGTGGATTGATCATGCCTGATGGTGATCATGATAATAAGCAAAATGCGTATATCTCATCTCTCTCAACGTTTCTGGAAATATGCTCATTGCCCTCGCGCCTGAGCGGGTACCATGTGGGGCAGCTGCACGTTGGAGAGGCTGCAGATGAGGGCCTGGCTCAGGCTGCTCAGCTCCTGGAGGAGAGCCTCGTTCTGCTGCTCGATAACGCGGTTCTCCTGCTCCATCGTCTGTAGGCTGTTCTCCATGCTCGTGATCTGCAGGGAGGTTTCCACGCAAAGCCGTAAGCGGGGAAACACCAATCCGGCGCCTCCCAAAGTAGCGTTCTTCAACGACAAACCAGACACCATTATCATCATCGATTACCGGTTCCATGCTGACCAGACTCAATGGAATAGAACCGGTGACCAGTGTGGTAACCATGACACCGCGGCGACGCCCGGCGTTTCTTAGTTATCGAGTTAAAGATGTGTTTATCGCGAGACATTTATAAATGTGCGGAAACCTGGTATTAACCGCCTTTAATCGTTTTTTTTCTCCTCAATGTGGTTACCAGTCATCAAACAAACCCTGCTCCTGGCTTGACGAGTGGAAAGAAGATGTGGGTGCCACGTTGGCCAGATATTAACTCCCTCTCCTGGGTTCGATCCCGACCCTGACGCCTGTATATATAGATTATGGGACCTTCTTTGCCAGTACCAAAATATTAGAATAGGGTTTTTTCCCTTTTATCTGGCAACAAAACAGGTTGTTAAAACACCAACCTGAAACCATTTACGAGGAATCATGTCTGCATTAACCACAATACTTGTGGTCAAAATGCAAACAAAAAACATACTCTGATAATATATGCATTGTCCGTGAAACTGATTGGTCCATGCCAGAGACAGCTTTCTTTTGAGCCTCGTCTCAAACGGTGTTAGACCAGAGGACGCCAAAAGGCGTACACAGCTCAACTACAATGCCACTATAAGAGTAATGAGGGCTCAGGGTGAGCATCTACATCATGGGACCTCCTTTGCCAGTACCAAAATATGAGAATGGGGTTTTCCCCTTTTATCAGAGTTTGCATGTTCTTCCTGTGGTCGTGTAAATTTTTATCCGGGTCCTCCGGTTGTTCCCCTCCACATTTTGAATCGACATCATGCGTTTAGAGTACTTGGCTGCCATAAATTTCAACGCGATGATAAGTCCCTTCTTTGAGCTATAATTTGCGATGGCCAGGTCGCGTCTAAAAAAAAAAACCTACGGAGCACAGGTGGGCCATGACTGGGAAGATAGAAAATAGTTTGATGTGGTTTTAATTTTGAGCATAACGACAACAATAACAAGCCAAGCACGCTGCACCAACGGTGGAGTGACGACCCCCCCCGAGTCAGTGAATTAATTGCCTGAGAGTGATCGTCTCCTCCTGAGCTCGGGTCCGCGTTCCCCACCTGTGTCTTGAGTCGAATCATGTCGGCCTCCATCTGCGAGTTGGACTCGTTGAGCTCCTTGATCTCCTCGTCCAGTTGCCGGATCTCCTCGTCATTCTCCACGCCTGCTGATCGGCACGGCAACGCGACGCCGGCGAACGTCCCGGAGAGTGTCGGGGGGGAAAGAATGAAACACGGTGGCGAGATGTTAACTACCTCGCCTGGTGTACAGGAGGTCGTGGGTTCGATCCCGTCCCTGACGCCTGCTGTATGTTTGAGGTTGCGGTCTCTCTCATCATCTTCACGGTGGCTAGGAAATGTCAACTACCTCGCCTGGTATACAGGAGGGCATGGGTTCGATCCCGTCCCTGACACCTGCTGTACATTTGGAGTTGGTGGTCTCTCTCTCCGTGCTCGTGTGGATTTTTGTCCGGGTCCTCCGGTTTTTCCCTCCACATTTAGAAACATGCTTTTAGAGTATTTGGCTGCTCTAGATGTCCACGTGATGATAAGCCACTTCGTTGAGCTATCATTTGTGATAGCCAGGTCGCTTCTGAAATAGAGCTATATAGCTCAGTGGGCATTAGCTGGTAAAATAAAAATGGTTTTTAAGTTTTTATTATTTTGAATAAAACAGGTCCCTGCAGGGTGGGCTGGTAGGAACATTGGAATTTTGGCCAATTTTATTTTTATCACCCCAACAGCACGAGATTTCACTTCGTTAAAGTATTGAAAGGGGACGGACGGACGGACACATTAATCTATTGCAGGCTGGTACACTCAGTTTACAACTTCGTTCCTACCAGTATTATCCAAATATAATCCTCCGCAGAGAGGTCTACTCCAATAACATCACCTATTTAATATTTTTACTTTTAATGCCACGGCGTTTTGCATTGATGAATTTGTTGAGTTTTTCAAGCGCAAAATCGGCGGCGAGGTTGTTTAAAAAAAAAAGCAACGCGCTCCAGGGTTGTGAATCTGCGATAGAAAGTGCATGGGTCGATGAAGAACGCACAGGGAGTGTGAGCGCGCACCCTCACCGTTGCTTGCCCGCAGCTTGATGGTCATCATCTCCTCCCCGGACAGCTTCGCTCGCTTCATGGCCGAGGTGGCCCTGGGGCACCCTGAGAGGCTGCAAGCGGCAACGGCACAGAGCGGAGTTTCAGCACCAAGGTCCACGCCAGGCATGCCATCGTGGCCATAAAGCTTTCGACGCCGCCACACCACGCCTCTCGCTATCCGGTGCGCAAAGCTGCCAGCGAACAAACTGTCAAACGTCGTGGGTTTTTCCTCAGAAAAGCCTCGAGAGTCTCAGGAAGGTAACGTTTACTGCATGTGACCAATTCACCCAAGATGCAGGCCTCGCAAGGTAGAAAGCCAACGCGCACATCTCACAGCCGCTGCACGGCAGGGATGTGGCCTCGAAGGCCTTCAAGGTCTGCCTGAAGAGTGTCCCACCACATAGTCTGATTTCATATATTTAATCATTGTTTAACTTCATTCGTACCGTACGTAGCCAACCCTGATAATCGGAGGTGTGGGGGGAAGGAGAACTAAACACAAAAATCAGTATAGTGTGTCTACCCCGGTGTCGATATATCAGGATAAGGATTTGTTTACGTGACCAACCTTACTAATTGGCTCTGTCGGGTGGTGGCGGGTTGAACGACACATTTATATTTACGCGATCTAACCCAAAGAAACCTCTATTGTGGATAACGCTGGTCGCGAAAGCCCGCGTGCTAAAACAACGATTTGCACTATTGGGTGTCGCTTTAATGGCCCAGCATCTCAAAGTGAACGTGCATCACCACATCTCCCCTCGACCATCCCGTTGCCTCGGACGTCCCTCGTAAACTAGCCGGGGGCAACCGACGGAACAGGCGGGTAACGGTCCGCGCAGCAAATCGAGCGAACCCGACGCCGTCTCGCCGCCGGCGGGAGGACGGGCGGGCGGCGACCGTCGCTACCTGCGGTGCGAGAGGAAGGTTCCGCTGGCGTGGCCCGAGCCGTCACAGCCCGGCGTGGGGCACTGCGCCCCCTCCACCTTGCTGCCCTTCCAGGAGAAGGGCAGGCTGGGCAGCGAGCCCTCGCGCTGGCGCCGCGCCGCCAGCGGGCAGCCCGACGCGCTGCGGTGCGACGTGTACTTCCCCGTCACGTGGCCCTGGCCCGCGCAGCCCGGCACGGGACACCTGGGCGGCACGGTGGGCGGGGCCCCGTGACGTTACAATTCCGCGCAGGTGTAAAGGTTTAACAATAACGGCGGTGGCGATAATGTAACGAGCAAAGTGGTTCAGTGCTAATGATTGCCAATTGATTTTGTTGGGGCTAGGAGACGTAGCGATCATTCTGACTGTTGGGTTGCACGACACGAGGATGAAGTTTCAGGTGAAACGTTGCGTGTCTAACTGCTCAGTCTGTTGATGAGGATTTTGTTCTTCAACTCACCGGTGAACTGAACCGATGACAACTGACGCTTTAAACGCTCGCTGGGCGGTGGTGGCTACGCATGTGGCCTGTAATCCAGCAATGCGGAGGCAGCAAGGGTTGGTGGATCACTGCACGTGCGTTGTGCAACTCCCTTCCTGTGGGCGTCGAGTTTGCCATACCCTGGCTCGCCAGCAGAAGGCAGTACAGCAAAAATGTGGACTAAACCTGTTCCGGCTGTATGGGATAGAGCGTTTCCTCCTCACACGTGAACACTCATTAATTTGCCTGCCATACCACTACGTATGTAGCGGACCGCAGAGCTTGGGAAATTGTTGGCGCCGGCTCCCCGCGTGGCTGGCTTACCAGCCGGTCCGAGGTTACTGATCACGTCTCGAGGGTTATTCTCACTCCACTCGCGTGAGCGAATACCGTTCGAATTACAAGTGATAATTGAATATTGTGTTAAATTTTGATTTAAAGCTTTCGTGACTGCAGTAATTCATATTCTTAGCTCTTTCGGCAAAGTCACGTTGAAGGGAAACAATAAAACAATAAAATATATATAAAACAATAAAAATTTCCACGACGTTTCGACCATAACGCAAACGGGCATCATCAGGTGCCGTTGGTTTTTCACACCTGATGACGACCGTTTGCGTTATGGTCGAAACGTCGTGGGAATTTTTATTGTTTTACATATATTTTATTGTTTTATTGTTTCCCTTCAACGTGACTTTGCCGAAAGAGCTAAGAATATGAGCGAATACCGTTCGAATTACAAGTCATAATTGAATATTGTGTTAAATTTTGATTTAAAACTTTCGTGACTGCAGGAATTCATGTTCTTTGGTTCTTTCGGTAAAGTCACGTAGATAGAAAATAATATAATAAGAAATAAATTTGCAACAATTTATAAAAAGCCAAAAACTCACGACGTTTTTCGATCGCAACACTGCTTGTGTTGCGATCGTAACGTCTTGAGTTTTTGGTTTTTACATGACTTTACCAATAGAACCAAAGATTAAGTATAATGTGTCGCCATTGTTGTTGAGCGACGAACATGTGGCCAGGTCACTTTGTGATTTCACACAAAATTAATTATGTTATCAATAATCGCAGTGTTCTATTGTTGTTTACCCTCTGGAAGGCCTCTGTAGAGCTCCTTCTAAGCGTGAGCTAGCAATTGCAGGGCTGCACCTTTACGATTTCACCTTCAATATAAACAAAAATCCAATGCTCACCACCACGACTGTCACGATTCAGTGCACAAAACTAAACACAAACTGCTGCTGCCTGGAGCATTTTTAAAGTAATAAACTTTCTTCAGAATAACCTCGTTGAGTCGGACGGCGTCTTTTTTCATGAAGTAAATGTTGATTGCACGTGACCAAACATTAACACGGAACGCACGCCAAAGAAAGCTAATGAGGGATGAGCCCGGATAATTCTCAGATGGGTGAGCACCACAAACCGTACATAAAAGGTTGTCTGAGATGCTGTGCGCAGCAAAGAGCTGTACAGCAAAATAACTTCTCTCTGGTACTCCTTCCACCTTCACTAACCCCCCCACTGACCGGCGTGGTGAAGTATGGTCAAATAACCCTCATGGCTGAGACGGCGCAGGGAGGCCCTGACTGATGCAAGAAACAACCCACGCACTCCACACAGATGGGTAAGTAGCCTACTTGCTGTACTGTGGCCTACAGGGACCCCAATGGCCCTTTGTGTGGGCATCTCACATAACGGGGTCTTCGAGTGATCCGTCAACTCTATATTTCATGGAAACTTTCAGCCCTTTTTCAATCCATCGCTCGACGAAGTCCTCGCCACGCCATGGCAGTCATGGGGGTCATTTTACCACACCTCACCACGCTGGTCAGTGAAGACAAGGAGCATAGATGCGGGAGCACAGTACAGGACGATAATGCTGCGCCGCTCTCGGCTTCCCACAAGGTAGCCCCGTTTATCGCCAATAACGAAGGCCTCCCCACAACGCATCGGCGGTGGTAGTTGCTCTGCCATACTTCACCACACTGGTCACCATGGATTGGTGAAGGGGGGAGGCGGTGGAAACCAGGACGGTTCAAGCATCACTCCCCCAATGGGTATCAGCCGCGACGAAAAAGCAGAGCACTGATCTGTCGGCCACTGAGCGTGGCGCGCTAACCACTATGCCACCCCCCCTCCCACTCCTCCCGCCTTACACTAATCACGCCGTGGGTCACAATCCGAGCGGCCGTTTCGCCTCCCAACCCTAACGAGCGAGACTCCTCCCCCGCTCCCTCGTCCTCCGCTCATCGTTAACGGCGAGAACGCCGGCGCCCGCGCCCGGGTCTCAGCGGGCGCCTCGGCGGTGTCCCCCGTGGGAATCTTAACGAGACACCTAATTGACGGCTCGGCAGCCGAGGAAGGTGATGTGTCCTGCGCACTCGAGCAACTAAATTAAACAGACGTGAAACGGGGGGCGGCGGGGATGGCAATGGGACTGGCCCAAGGGGTAAACGTTGCTTGCTCTGTGCAGTAAATTATTTTAACAAAGGGAAACTCTTAACCCGGCTCTCCTGTGATGTTGTAGTGTGCAGGACAACCTGAGGGGTTGCGTTTTTGCGACCTATGTAAATATATATCTATGGTTTGAGCTGTGTTAACCTTGCCACCTTCTCAGTATTGAACACTGATGCTTGTTTAAATAACATGGAAAGCCAGTTCTTTATGCTTTGGAGGCTCTAGGCCCAGACGTGTCAAAATACAGTGCAAAACCAAAGACACATTTGAGTGCACAGACGTAAATTACAAGAAGAGGAGTTTCCTTCAGGAATGTCTTCACTGTGTGCCCCGAGGGCGCCATGGTGGCGAGATGTTAACTACCTCGCCCGGTATACAGGAGGTCATGGATTCGATCCCGGCCCTGATGCCTACTGTATATTTGGAGTTTGCATGTCTCTCTTCCCGTGGTCACGTGGACTTTCCTCAGATTTTTTCCCTCCACATTCACAAACGTGTGTTTTAGAGTCTTTCCCTGCTATACATTTCCACGTGGCAAGCCACTTCTTTGAAGTATAATTTGCGGCCAGGTCGCTTCTAAAAAATAGCTATATAGCTCAGCGGGCCTCACCTGGTAAAATTATAATAGATAAAATTAAATAAAATTTGTCGTCGAGCGATTGGGCATCGGTCTGCCCAGTAACCAGCGACGTTGTTTTGTGGCTTCTCAATTAAAAGTTAAAAATTTACAACGGTGTTAAAATTTGTAGCGTGCACCCACGACGCCACCCTGACTCTCCAGGTGAGTGCGCTGGACCACATGTGTGGGTCACCTGAAGTCCGGACGACCGATCACTTCAGGTACTGAGAAGAGAAGGCTCTTGCTTCTGTACCTGATGCTCTCCTGGTCCTCCTTGTCTTCCTTGATTGGCACCACCTTGATGCCACTTTTCTTGGCACGTGGACAACCCGACAGGCTGATTGGAGAAATGATACATTTTAACGTTAGCTGAGAAACATTATGTACTCTAACCAGCAATAAACACATAAATTGCCACACTATCTTTATAAAACTACTTCTATTTATAGCTACAGTGAGGGAAAAAAAGTATTTGATCCCCTGCTGATTTTGGACGTTTGCCCACTGACAAAGAAATGATAAGTCTATAATCTTAATGGTAGGTTTATTTGAACAGTGAGAGACAGAATAACAACAACAAAAATCCAGAAAAACGCATGTAAATAATGTTATAAATTGATTTGCATTTTAATGAGGGAAATAAGAATTTGACTCCTCTGCAAAACATGATTTAGTACTTGGTGGCAAACCCCTTGTTGGCAATCACAGAGGTCAGACGTTTCTTGTAGTTGGCCACCAGGTTTGCACACATCTCAGGAGGGATTTTGTCCCACTCTTCTTTGCAGATCTTCTCCAAGTCATTAAGATTTCGAGGCTGACGTTTGGCAACTCGAACCTTCAGCTCCCTCCACAGATTTTCCATGGGATTAAGGTCTGGAGACTGGCTAGGCCACTCCAGGACCTTAATGTGCTTCTTCTTGAGCCACTCCTTTGTTGCCTTGGCCGTGTGTTTTGGGTCATTGTCATGCTGGAATACCCATCCACGACCCATTTTCAATGCCCTGGCTGAGCAAAGGAGATTCTCACCCAAGATTTGACGGTATATGGCCCCGTCCATCGTCCCTTTGATGCGGTGAAGTTGTCCTGTCCCCTTAGCAGAAAAACACCCGCAAAGCATAATGTTTCCACCTCCATGTTTGACGGTGGAGATGGTGTTCTCAGGGTCATAGGCAGCATTCCTCCTCCTCCAAACACGGCGAGTTGAGCTGATGCCAAAGAGCTCCATTTTGGTCTCATCTGACGACAACACTTTCACCCAGTTGTCCTCTGAATTATTCAGATGTTCATTGGCAAACTTCAGACAGGCATGTATATGTGCTTTCTTGAGCAGGGGGACCTTGCGGGCGCTGCAAGATTTCAGTCCTTCACGGCGTAGTGTGTTACCAATTGTTTTCTTGGTGACTATGGTCCCAGCTGCCTTGAAATCAAGGCAGCTGGGACTCTACGAGGTGAGATCTTGCATGGAGCCCCAGGCCGAGGGAGATTGACAATTATTTTGTGTTTCTTCCATTTGCGAATAATCGCACCAACTGTTGTAACCTTCTCACCAAGCTGCTTGGCAATGGTCTTGTAGCCCATTCCAGCCTTGTGTAGGTCTACAATCTTGTCCCTGACATCCTTGGAGAGCTCTTTGGTCTTGGCCATGGTGGAGAGTTTGGAATCTGATTGATTGCTTCTGTGGACAGGTGCCTTTTATACAGGTAACAAGTTGAGATTAGGAGCACTCCCTTTAAGAGTGTGCTCCTAATCTCAGCTCGTCACCTGTATAAAAGACACCTGGGAGCCAAGAATCTTTCTGATTGAGAGGGGGTCAAATACTTATTTCCCTCATTAAAATGCAAATCAATTTATAACATTTTTGACATGCGTTTTTCTGGATTTTTTTGTTGTCATTCTGTCTCTCACTGTTCAAATAAACCTACCATTAAAATTATACACTGATCATTTCTTTGTCAGTGGGCAAACGTACAAAATCAGCTGGGGATCAAATACTTTTTTCCCTCACTGTACGCCTGGCGGTATTTTATCTGCTATTAAAAGCGACGGCACAGAAGGTTTTACCAATCGTGCTGCATTGCTCGCCAATGTTTTCCGCGTTTCGTGCTGCGTTTTGCTCGGCACGATGTCTGATGTTTCGCTGCCACGTGCTTGGGAGTTGAAAAAAAAATCTAATCTCCCGGCACGTGGAGCAAAACGTCGGACATCGTGCCAAACACCACGCGGCCACCAACACTGAGCAGACGCGGTAACGGAGCTACTTTAAATGACGGTTACTCGTGTCACTGACGGTGCTTTACTAGGCGACGATCGATTCAAGCGAACTTTCCCAACCTTCTGTGCGAAGTGTAGTTGCCCGTGATGTGCCCCGAGCCATCGCAGCCCGGCGTGGGACACCTGGAGGAGGAGGGAGCGGACGAAACAACGAATCCAATGAGGCTCAAGTATGATCAGCTTCCTGCCAGCAAGCACCACGCGCACGGGTTCGACTCATGCGCTCGCACGTCCGCTTACAGCGGGACTTTCCACAGGCTACCCACATGTGCATGTGCAGCCCGGTTTGTCAATCCACTGCTGGATGGGGGGGGGGGGGGGCTCCCCACACCTTGCGGGCAATGAGGGATATTTGACGATACTTCACCACGCCGGTCAGCGTGGGTTGGTAAATGTCTGGGCGGGGGGAGGGGTGCAGAACGAGAGCTGAATTTGCTGCTGCACTGCCCTCTACTTGCCCATGCACGCCGACTAAACCCGTGTTGCACGCACGGTGGTCACCCATCCGAGCGCTATCCAGGCTCTGACCTGCTTAGCCTCCACGATCTGCGGGGATTCGGTGCACTCGAGGCAATTTGGTCACGAGCTTCCGGCCAGAGTCCGGCAGAGCGCACGTCCCACTGCCTATTTATATAATTGTTCACAAACTCTCAACGCCGAAAGCCACGTTTAATGCGCAGCGTCTTGGCACGGGTTTGGCGAGCGGCGTGACGTGACGTGTCCAACGGAGTCACGCCGGCGTCTCCACGTACCTGGGCACAAGTGCCGTGGTGGTCTTTGGTGACCTTCGCCACGCCACTCGGCATTGAGCGTCGACACCCAGGCATGGCGTGTGCCAGGGTGATCGCGACATCAGTTTACCAAGAAGTGTTTGATTTGTTTTCTCCAACGATTAGAAAATCATTGTCATCGAGAACACTTCATAACGAGCACACTGTCAGTCACCCTGAACATAATAAAAACAATTTGACAAAAGCGCAAAAACGATGGCGTTGTCATAATTGCCTTGGCTGGAAAATTTTCAACGCGCTAATCTTAATGGACAATACCCATTCAGTTACAACTTTGATTCCTGAGTTTGTTATCTCGTTTCTATTTGGTCAGGGGATAAAAAATACGAACTGCAACAAATAAAATTACGAAAATCTCAGCGACATTTCGCTCAAAGCATAATAGGATTATCGTGGATGGTACACGGCATGAGATGTACCGTGGTATCACCGTATTGTGGCAACCCCGAGTGTGGCTGATATCGCTGCGGTTAAAACGACAGTGCCACCGTGTGCGTGACGATGGCTGCCAACTATTAGAAGCCGGACAGCGGTGGTGGTGCTACTGTTCAGGCTGCGTGGCCAAGTGTACACCGCTTCAACAGAGTTATTTTTTTTTAACTCGTGGCAATCGATAAATCCGTGGTTTTCATGTCTTTACAACACCAGACTATGTAGCACGGTGCTCGAATATTCACCGTGCCGTGAATTCCGTACCGAGTAGGTTAAATGTACAAATCGTTAGCTTAGGTAAAAATGACCGGTACGTTACGCACACGTAAAGCCCCGCTTGTGTCAATCGACTACTGGATGAGGGTTTCCCCACCGCCTTGCGGGGTGTAACGGATATTCGACCATACTTCACCACGCTGGTCAGCGCGGGAAGGTAGTGTGGGGGGAGCGGGGCAACTGCAGAACAGCAATGGGTTTTGCTGCGATGCCCACACCGCCAATTACGAAGGTCTCTTGCGCGGAGTGGCCAACCCACCCAAGCACCGTCCAGGCTCAAAATCCTGCTTAGCTCCCGACGTCTGGTGAGACCGGGCACGTCATCACGGGCAGCTGTAGCGCTTTAGCGACTTGCTTTTGTTCGCTTTGTTATTGTTATTTTAATGCAAGGGCTTCTCTCATGGGATGATGTTGTTGTTGTTGTTGACTCACAGCATGTCGTATTTTGGGTCACAGTCTGTAACGCTCCTGTTTTGGTGATAGAGACAAGGTGGTGATTAACCGGCGGCCCGCTGGACACAGTCAAAAGCTCAGCACACTTACTTGAGCTCCTGCGTGCTGGAGGCCATCATATTTCTAATGCTCTTGTCCGCCAGAGGGCAGCCCGACAGACTGTAACATGGCAGGCATGCAATCGTTGGTTAAGGTTGGGTTCCAAGGAAAGCATATATATAAACCCACTGCGCTGTAGGAACCAGGGTATTTCCTCTTGTGGTAGAACCTCGCATACGACCGCAGACGAGGATGCGCGGTCACGTGATCGCGCACGCACACAACGACACGTCCAGAGTTTAATTTCAGCCGGGTCCGTCCATTCGGGTCGGCGACCTCACAACAACCACGACCGTGTCCCGCACACCGCATCCCGTTGTACACCTCCCGATACGGCTGCAGCTACTGGTCACATAACCCCTACTCCGGTCCACTAGCCAACCGGAAATTATTTCGAAGCCCCCGCGCCCCATACCCAGGATAACTTTCGCGATCGGCTGTGGCCACTAGCTACATGCCACCTATTCCAGTTCAAGACAAGCCACAGTAGCGGCGAGTGCGTCCACGCAGTCGCCACTCTGTACGGTCCACACTATGGACCGTACAGAGGAGGAGGAGGAGGAACAGCACAGAACTCCGCGAGAGCTCTCTCCTGAAGCTTTCACTGCAGCCAGCAGGCCTCCTACATAGCGCGCTTAGCTGCGGAACACGTCGCTGATGCCGACACCACGGCCGGGAGAAGAATAGAACCTGCTGCGGTCTAACCGTGAGCTGTAAATATACATTCGGCGAGAAGTTAAGCTCTGGACACGTCCAACGGCTGCTGCAGGAGAGGGAAGAAAATACAAAAAAAACGCGGCGTGCGTCGCGAGTCGGCTGAGCGGTCAGCGCTTCTGAGCGTCGAAGTCGATTCCAATTTTTTTGGCATCGGCCGTTCTCGTACGCCACGCCGTCGTTTTTAGTTTCCCCCCCCCCCCCCCCTCTGGAGCGATGACAACGCGCACATCAACCTGAGGGGGGCGGGGGCAGGGCAGGGGGGGCGACCGAATCAAGGAAAATGCCGTCATGAAATGGAATGGAATGACACATCCACTTAAGCTGCGATCGCATTCGCCGGCAATGTAAGAACATCAGCACTGAAGGAACGCGGCCCGGGGTACAGCCTCGCGACCCTCCACTCGACCCTGCGCGTCCCTCCCACCCCCCCCCCCCCTTCTCCGGCGAGATTCGCTGCTGGATTGGGGAGGGGGGCAGTAGTCGCGGGCGATCGCGAGCATGTACCTTTGGAAGCCCAAGCATATCCGCCGGGACATTTCTATAGGGCGTAGCACATTCACGGGTCGCTGTCTATCGTGTACAGGAACTGTGGATGATGGAGTTGATGATGATGGCGGAGGTGCTCACAGAACAAACGTTAACTCACCTCCGATGTGAGGCATAGTTGCCGGTCACATGACCACTGCCATCACAGCCGGGAGTTGGGCAGCTACTGGAAACAAAATATATTATCTTTTAAGTAAAAATAAAATTCGGCTTTTTTTGCGCTTTTTCGCGTTAAATTTTTCACTGTTAAGCACGAAGAGTTAACGAAGGACACGTGTGGCTTGTCACATGACCCGACGATTCACACCGTAACGGCATGCGTAAGTCTCCCCTCATGAGCTCCAAGAACGATGGATCAAACACACCATCTCCACTTCTCGATTAAATTTCACTTTAATGTTTTTTAACGCGGTTCTTTTCCGTGGGGGGGGGATGGGAATCAATAAAAAAAACGAATGTGCACGACACGCATAAAAAATTTAAGGACAAAATGTTTAAAAATAATTACAAATGACAACGTTAAATAAATGGGCTGTACGGACATGGAAGTGTTGACGTAAGTAGGTAGGGTAGCAACCCGCTAGCGCATGTACATCCGTGGGTTTTGAATTGTGCTTCTGTTTGTAATCCATTTACGAACGTGATTTTGGACAATGTTGCATCCCTTCTTTCGCTGCACATTGCAGGCGCCCTGACCATCGTGGCAACATTAAGAGGGCCAAGTCACTCGGTGGAGAGAGGGCGGCTCGTTCTCGGAAAGGTCCGGCATGTTGCGAGTTTATATCCTGGTTGGGGGTTGACTCAGCCCATCATCTCTATGGGATCAATAAAATGAGTACCACTTTGTGGGGAAGTCAACAGTGGTTTGTCCTTTGCGTAGACTCGCCCCCCACACCCTGCCATAGGAATGTGGAATTTACATGGCTGGCTCAGGGCTGTAAACGAGAGATGAGCACCGCCTCAATGCTCAGCTGAGCAGGACATCGCTTTGATAATTGTTCAAACATGGCAATGTATACATCTAGCAGTATCACCACATCTATGGCTTGTCGAATTCAATAGAAGTTAGAATAGGTCAGTGCCCATCAGCTGGCCTTCAGGATGCTGTTTGTTCCTCCACGGTAACGTTGCGGTCAATACGGAGTACACGCAGTACCGGCCGCTGATCTCAGCCCCCGACAGGGGGACACAGAGGCACGTGCATACCAGACCGGTAGGGTTGCCACCTCACAATTCCCAGAGGAGAGGAGAACCACACGTAAACGCGCCATCTTTACTGTGGCAATGTTACACAACTGACAAAAAAACTGGAACTTTTAGCGTTCCAGAAGACTTAAACAGATTTCCCTGGGCAGCGGCTACCTGAACAAAAATAATGTTCCTGGGAAAACCAAGGCAGGTGGCAACCCTTGTGACCGACTAGACTCCTTGACTTCACTCTCAAATTATGTCTGGGACCCCCGTCAGAAAGGGCTCCTCTCGTCCAAGGAGGCGGCAACTGACCGTGAGTGATAATAACAATGACAATAAACGCATCAATTCAAAACCCGGCGTGGATCTGCTTGGGCTGTCCCGTGAATTTCTGCGCCTGACCATCTCCAGGGACGGTCGGGGAAGTCTGGGAGAGCCCAGGGCCACGTGGCCCCGGTGATGGCCTGGAGACGGCATGAGTCCTCGATAGGTCCATGCAGCTCGGGGAAGACGGTGATGACAATGATGGGGGAGCAGCGGGGTGGGGGGCGGGGGGGGGGGGCGACCACATCCCTCCCAGGCAAGAAACAAAGATACGCCGCGCGCTAGCCAGCTCCGTTTTGTTTCGAACAACAAAATATCCGAGCTACGTGGATGCAATTGCGCTCTGACGGGGGGGATTTCGTTTACCGAGTTTTGCCTGAAGTTTCGTCGCCGCAGCACGGACAGTTGGGTTTACGACGAAAGTCGTGCACGCTATTTGTGCGGCACCAGCACGGCCAATCTCCCACACACAAGTTCCGTTTTCGTTTATTCCGTAAATATAGATTTGACCAGGGAGTCTTTTTAAAGAGTACGTGAGAGGAAATAACAAATCAATGCAAATCGATCATTTGGAGTGCCGGTATTTTAGTGGGACTCTTCTTGCACGTACAGAGTTTCGTGTCTGTTCCCGCAGGGGAGAGATTTATGCGGCTAGTCGTGGGGAGTTGGGGAGGGGCAGGGGGAGTTCGATCGATCGATCGAGTCTGGGAGGGACTGCGGCCACAAGCATGGAGACGATGAGTACGTGTGGTGGTGGTGGCAACAGAGAGGACACAGAGATGCTAGGCTGGCTCCCCCCTCCCCCACCCCGGGGCCACTCACGCCAGTAGCTCCTTGCGCGCCTCCTTGGCTAGGCCGCACTTGGCCTTGGGGCTGGGCGTGGTGACGTCGCCGGGGTAACGCCGCTCCTCCACCAGCTCCTCGGCGACCGCCACTGGCTCCTCCTCCTCCTGAACGCGGCACAAACGCACCACACCCTCAGCCATTTGTTCAGTGCCGCGACGGTAAATATCTGTCAACTCAATTGTATTTTCGTTACTCCGGTCAACGATGACTGCGAGTGAACGACGGCAGAACGGTTTGATTGCAGGGCGGTCGGACGGTTATGATGTTATAATGGCGTGATGGCAGGATGGTTTAAGGCCAGGGTGGTTCGTTTAACGGGTTCCTCGTCTCAGAGCGGGTCCGTTTGCCAGTGCGGCGTTCATCCTGCGGGCCCGCCGTCGGCGCGGCTCACCTCGGCGGGCGCGGCGTCGTCCCGCTCGTGGTCCCCGCCGCCCCGGCACTTGGTGTAGTCGAGCGGAGAGTCCCACGGGGGCTGGGCTTCGGCCGGTGTGGTGGGGGGGCGGGGGGACAGGTCGGGGGCGGCCTCCCCCCGGGCGCCGTACCCCTGCTGCTGGGGGTCTCCGGGCGGCGCCGGACTGCTCGTGCCGCTCGACGTCTCGGCGCCGACGCGCTTCTTCATGCTCAGGTCCAGCGTGCCGTTCTCGTCCACCTCCACCGCCGCGCCGCTCTGCGTCGCCACGGAGGAAAGGGGCGGACGGGGCAGGAGCGCGCATCTCTCACCGACGATCGGCAAAGGGGAGCAAAGCCGAAGGCGGCGACAATCCTCGTGGAGCCAGCCTAACGTCCGGGATCCACGTAGCCGGAGGCGCGTTTCTCACGACTCTTTCCCGTCGCAGCAGCCTCCGCTGAGATTCTCCGCGCAGCTTGCAGAGTTCAGAGGTGGCAAGCTAACACCACGTTCTAAGCACTTTCCCACTATGCCATGAATAATTCTACATGTAGATTTGTTTTATATCTTACAGCCCTTGCCATTTCACCACTGCACGAAGGCCTCCCCATGCCGTGTCGGTCGCGGGGGGCGAGAGGGGGCGACGGGTTTAACCGCGCTTCGCCACTCTTTATCGTCATAAGTTGAAGACGTTGGCGACAGCTTAGCGATAATCAATTTTCAACGACGCGGCCCGACCCACAAAATCCCACTTGGGATACGGATCTCCGTCTCCGCGCGTGGGCACGTCGGGTGGGGGTTGGTGTGGGTGCGGGGTGGGGGGTCCGTGCCGTGCGTGCACACCGTGAGAGCGCCGCGCTGCAGCGCCAGGCTCTGCGTGGCTTCCCGGCACCGCGTCGACAGGTTGAGGATGGCGGTGGCGGCGATGTGAGCCGCCTCGGCGTCCTGCGTCAGGTCGTAGGAGCTCTGGCGGCTCGGGCTGCTCGGGTAGCTCCCCATGGGGCTGCCGCTCTTGCGGAAGCTCTTCCCTGCGGCGCGGGAGAGGGGAACGTCGTCGTCGCGAGCCCAACGGCGGTCCTCCAGGCCCGCCCAGAGTAGGAGGGGTGGGGGGTGGCAACGTCCCCCAGGCCTCACGCAAAGGAGGGCCCCTCCGTGCGGGGCCTGCCCCAGGCCTCCAGGGTGGCCCTGGTTGGTCCGCCCATCATGCCTCAGAGATATCTCATGAGGTAGTCTTTACTAACTTAGTCTGACGGGTGCATGTCTAAAATAAAACGGGCCACAGTTGTCTCTTTTGAAAGGTACATGGGGACACGTGCACACATAATAATACTAATAAATAGCGTATTGTTAGGGCCATGTAATAGTCTGCCCAAATTTGTAATCGCAAGAACCGAAAAATCCAGCAGAAGATAAGTCATCACGTGAACCAGCTGAATCACACCCACATTCTCACTGCACCCACGGCAAGGGCAGCAGCCTCCTTCGCGCTGTCGCTTCTTTAGTCCGCCACTACCGTGTGGCCCTTACAGAGGGGAGTGGGGAGGGGTGGACGTGGGGGGGTGGGGGCCCCTCTCACCGGGTGCCTTGGGGTCCCCCTTGTGCACCGAGGAGGCGGCGGCGACGACGACGCTGCCGTCCGCGTGCTTGAAGGCGGCGGCGGCGTGCTTGTAGGCGTCGCAGCCCGACGGGGAGTCGTAGCCGGGCCGCGAGTACTTCTCGAGCTCGCGCGCCAGGTTGGAGCGCGGCGTCGTGGGCGACACGTTGGGCTTCTGGCCGTACTCGGGGATCTCCAGCTGCTTCACGAAGCACATGGGCCTGCACGCACGCCGCCGGGAACACACCGCGGCATCGTGATTATCGTCGTCGTCGTCGTCGGCAACATCACGATTGTCGTCGTCGTCATCATCACTTGTTATGTGTAATCAGTTTCTTTTGGGTTAGATCACTGTGTAGGTATGGTTAACATTGACATTACACCTACAAGATCTAAGCCAAGAGAAAATGTGATTATGCATCAAATCGCAATGATGCCAGCCCAGATGGCCTAACATCGCAGGATCTTACAGCAGGGCACTGACACGCGTGCGCACGCACTCACACACGCACTCACACACGTGCACACACACGCACTCACACACGCACGCACTCACATACGCACTCACACATGCACTCACACACGTACTCACACACGCACTCACACACGTGCACACACACGCACTCACGCACGCACTCACACACGTGCACACACACGCACTCACACACGCACGCACTCACATACGCACTCACACATGCACTCACACACGTACTCACACACGCACTCACACACGTGCACACACACGCACTCACGCACGCACTCACGCACTCACACACGTGCACACACACGCGCTCACACACGCACTCACACACGTGCACACACACGCACTCACACACGCGCTCACACACGCACTCACATACGCACTCACGCACGCACTCACACATGCACTCACACACGTACTCACACACGCACTCACACACGCACTCACACACGTGCACACACACGCACTCACGCACGCACTCACGCACTCACACACGTGCACACACACGTGCACACACACGTGCACACACACGCGCTCACGCACGCACTCACACACGCGCGGCACGTAGACACACACATGCATGGCACGTGCACACACACGCAACATGCACGGCACTCAACATGGATACGAAGCACACACAGCAATGCAACGCATTCAGTACGTTCACATAGGCAGCGTACGAACGCTGTAACGAGCCATCAACACCTTTATCTCTATATGTACCGTTAAAAAAATTACTACAAAAAGCCTAAGCTGCCATTTCAGTTTTAAATAATGAACACATACAAAAGTGTACGCTGAAAAACATCACTTAGAGAACATCCGTTCTAAAAGTCCAAAAGCTCACAATGGCAGCAATTTTGACCGAGTGAAACAATTCTGAATCTCTGTGTTGGGAACCAGGACCTGGCGGCTCATTATCACCTACATTGCTCTCCGATGTGTTTTCGGCTCGTACCGCGTGTTGTTCGGCGCGATGTCCAACGTTTCGCTCCACGTGCTGGGACACATGCATAATAATACACAAGGATGTGACGTTGACGGTGACAATGATCGAACACGTTTGGCACGACGTCACGGCGCGCGACGCCGCGACGGTCCAACGTTTCGGTTCACGCGCCGCGAGCGAAACGTCGGGCATCGTGCCGGTCGACACGCGGCGCAACCGGCGAGCGCACCGGAGAGAGCTGACACGTGCAGCACAAGAGTGCAAACCTACGCAGCGGTACAGCCAACTACACTCATGGTCAACTCTCAATCCACTCGCCTCGCTCTGCGTGCTGTAGCTTTTGCGTTGAGCATTTCCCCGTTGTTTAGACGGGAGTGCTCTCGCCAATAACATCGAGCAGCCTCAGTCAGCATTTGTTTCTACAAACCTTGCTCTGCTGATGAGACCCGGAAGGTCCAAACGTTTGCAGAGTTTGCTTGGTTAAACAAATGCTGCTGCTGAATAATATTGGTCTGGAAAGCCAATAATAGACCAATGGGCTAAACCGTATGAGATGTATATGTGGAAATACGCAACTTTATTTCTGCTTGCCTATACTATTACCCATAATAACAAGATAATTGAAAAGCCAGAACAGTAAAAATCATTATTATTATTATTAGTTTTATATAGTGGCAATCATGCAAAATGCATCTCAAAAGACTCAACATTTGAACCCACCATGCAAACCACTTAAAATCCCCCCAAAAAATACATCACGAAAGAGGAACGGGAGCACCACGGATAAACAAAAACAAAACACGACCAAGAGCACGGAGGTGGAGGGAGCACGGACCACGTGGGGTAATAACGACACGAGCACTCAAACTGACAAGAGCCGAGACATTCCAGAGGACAATGAAAGCGAAAATGGATTTCATAGAGCGTTAGGCATGCAAATAGTAACTGCAACAACTGAACATCACGATGATGTCTCAGCTGCAGTGGTGCAGTGGTGCACTGGCACAGCCCATGCCGGCATACTGCCAGCTTTGCGACAAACATTTGCTGCCCACCCAGGCCGCCAAAACTTAATAATGCTACCGACACGTCTGCTTGAGTAAAACAAAAGCGTGCGGTCGATGAATTATTGATACGCCCGGGAGTACGTTTAAAAACCAAAGGATGGATTTCTCAGCTCTTGTCGGAACATTCATGCCATGCACAGTGCACGCTTCCACTCGAAATGTAAACATAAATTATGCGCCGTTTGCTCCACGGTGGATGTTAAAGATACCGTGTAGGTTACGTGTTGCTTGCACTGAACAGCAGTCTACAAATTAAGACAACCTCATAGTGAAAAATCTCGAAAATAATTTCAATTATCTTCACGAAGTGCTATTTTGAAGTTAAGTATCTATAGTTTTATATAATGTGGTTTATTTATGGAATAACTCAAGGGAATGAGTCATCATCTCCATCCCAGGGTGGATGAAAAATTCAGTCCGTCCAAGTACGCCCGATACCACGGCGGTATGTTATGAGCATTACTCCCGTATCAAGAAAGGTGGACAAATTATTTATATTTGAATTCGAGAATTCCTAATTGGTTGACATGTTACACCCAAATTTAGTTGTTTTCATTTATTTTATTTTACCTACGTGACTTCACCGAAAAAAAACAAAGAGTAGTCAATTGATGGTTATATTAATGATCACCCACATCTTTAAAGTATATCTGATATAAATCTTGCTTTCGTGACTGCAGGAATTCATATTCTTTGGGTCTTTCGGTAAAGCGTTTGTGTTGTGATCGAAACGTCGTGGTTTTTTGTTATTTTCTTTGAACCTATCTAAGTGACTTTACCGAAAGACCCAAAAAATAGTATCTGATATTGACATCTACAATCAAGGAACATCTTACATTAAAGCAACCCAAAAAAAGCGCCTGAACTGCATAATAGGTGATCAATATTCATTCAAGATATTAAACATTTAATGAACATAGTTTTCATCTTCTTTGGTTCTTTCGGTAAAGTCACGTAGAATGAGAATAAAATAATAAATTGTGTTGTGGCCGAAACGTCGTGAGAATATTATTGTGTTATTTTATTTTATCAATTTATTATTTTATTCTCATTCTACGTGACTTTACCGAAAGAACCAAAGAAGATGAATCATTGCAGTCACGAAAGCTTTAAATCGGAACATAGTTTTCTCATTTAGGGACAGTAATTACTTTCTTCTTTTTTGTTCACAGCGAGGAATGGTGGATCTTAAAGATCAATTAATAAAAACTGTTAACTTCTATGGAAGATATCCCAATTGCACCCTCACAGCCACGTCCTGAGGTGAAGTAACCACTGGCGACTCCCGCAGCGCGGTGCGACCCTTCGTGTGAGAGAGCGGCCCACGGAAGCGGAGATCACAGAGCTGCCTCCGAGATCCCTACTTCAAGTGACCTCTGATCGACAGAGCAGGGGGAGGAGGGGGGGGGGGGCGAGATGGTTGTGGGGGGGGCATGAGAGCCTACCGGAGCACGCGGTCCGAGGCCGTGGGGCTGAGGCTCTTTGGGGGGTCCCCGTTGGAATGCCTCTCCTGGGTCTTGTTCAACTTCCTCGCTGCCGCGATGGGGCACCCGGACAGGCTGTGGGCGGCACACACGAAGGCACACGCACACACGGAGGCGAACACTGACATGTCACCACAGTGCTTCGTGCCAGGCTAGGTGCACTTTAAGGCCATGTGAAGTGCTGAAAGCTCACTGCCAGGTTGACCGGCTGGCACGGCTGGAAAATGCAGCACCCGTGCTCCCCCGCTGTGCCAGCTTTGTACGTTTTAACAAAAACGTATGAATATAGAAAACACATCTGTGAGCTGCTGAAAAATACACGCAGTGCTGCACTTTCTCCACTACACGGTATTCATCAAAATTTGAACTTCTATTTTGTTTATCTGTCATCAGAAGACCAAAAACACGGTACTAATAAACCGTAAACTACTGCAATGTGAACGGTTTCTCGGTGACAGCGATGAATTGTAATAACTCATCATAATTACTATCTTTTTTTTTAAACCTGTAACTTTGTCGCTTAGATATGATACATTACTATGACTGCCTTTACGTGCATTCATAATTTCTTATAAAAGAGTTTTAAAAGAAGCACAAACATATAAGAACTGTGAACAGCTACAGCCGTTGGTAATTATGTAAAAGCCAAACAGTTTTTCGTTATAATTTTTGTCATTCATCTCCCAAACTGATCCCGATCATGCGATTGATATGTATGTTGAACTTCTTTTGCACCGTACGTAGCCAACCGTGCTAATCACAGGTGCTATCGGTGTCATGGCTTAGACAAAGAATCCACTCGCATTTCGTGCGGGGCAGTGCAACTCTTAGGTTAACACACTGTAGAGGGCAGCTCTTCCCCCACACAAGAGGCATTTCCATCATACGACAGAGAAACCCATCACCATCCATTCTCAAAGCAAATCATTTAGCCAAATTAAGTGTGGGACCAAATTTTACACGACGAGTTTTTTTCCGTCCAATGATTGATGACCGGGCTGACACAACAACACTCGAGATCTCGGTTTGTACCACGCGCCTGGCTTGAACCCAGGATTCAGAAGGTTCCGGCTCAACGCTCTGACCTCTGAGCCACTCTGCCGCCCCTTTATGCTGCCATGTAAATGAGGCACGGCTATGTCAGCGGCATTATCCCGCTCAATAGGCGTGTGAATGAGAGGCTATTCAGGCACTTGAAGTGAAGCTGACCTCAGAGCCGCGTGGTGGTGGTGGTGGTGGTGGTGGCAGTGTGGTAGCGGTGATGTGGCCGTGGTGTGGAGGCGTGGTGGCGTGGCGGCAGCGGCGATGGTGTGGTGGCGGTGGTGTGGCGGGGACGGTGGTGTGGTGGCGGTGGTGTGGTGGCGGTGTTATGGCAGTTGTATGGCAGTGGCGATGGCAACGGCGGTGTGGTGGCGGTGTTGTGACGATATTGGTGGTGGTGGTGGTGGGGTGGCGGTGGTGTTGTGACGGCGGCGGCGGTGAAGGCGACGCACCTGCGGTGTGAGTTCCGGTTGCTGTTGACGTGGCCCTTGCCGGTGCACCCCGGCGTGGGGCACTTGAGGGTGCTCTCGTGCATGGCCAGGACTGCGGTGCACGGCGACGCACACACAGACACGCGATCCATCTTACCGAGGGGCCTGGTCGCAGCGGCAGCCCAACTGACCGACCGACAGTCGAGTCGGTGTGACGCGACTACTGTGGTGGTGGTGGTGGTGCCAGCCCGCTGGCGGTACGGGCAAGAAGCTACAGCTGGGTGTGTCACACAGTGGCAGCCGGCTGTTAGGGCCCTGTAGGGTCGGGCCCCACGATTTAAAAAATAAAAAGTAAAAAAAAACATTCACTATTATTACCCCCCTTACCCTTTCCCTCCGCCCCTCCCCACCATCCCTCCACGTCTTGCCAATAAAGAGCAATAAGTTTACCAACCGACCGCCACGAGCTTCACATGACTACAAACATATGCTGAACAAGCGGCATTACTTGCTAATATCACAGTCACGTAAAATTCTGAATATCTAAGAGACTAATTGCAATTTACATGCATTGTAATTGTGTTAAAATAATGAGATCCAAGTTGATATTTGGTGCACACCCGTTTTCTCCGTGAATCCGTAACACCTTGAGCTACTTGGAAGGGCGGCCCCTGCGCTTTCGCTTGGCTTCGTTTTACCCGCAGAGTAACTCCGCCACCCTTACATCCGTACGGCGGAGGCTTGCCTCTCCACGGGACAACGGCTCGTGCAATTTCCCCAACGGCGAGGTGAATAACGGATCACGGGGACAGCGCTCGTAGCTTGGAGCGCGCCCCGTCGCCCCGCCGACGCGTGCGCGGTGCCGCGGGCGCGTCGCTCACTCTCGGGGGGCACGCGGTCCTTGCGGGGGCAGCCCGACAGGCTGCGGTGGTGCGGGTACAGCCCGGTCACGTGACCCGTGCCGTCACAACCAGGGGTCGGGCACTTGCTCTCCTTCTTCTCCACCCGCGGTTCTGTAATGGTCGGTGGGGGGGAGCGAGGGGGGGTGGGTGCGGGGGGGGGGGACAAGGGGTGGAAGGGTTAGAGGGGGGGGGGGCGGCACGTGCGAGTAGAGCTGCCGAGATGTAATTCTTCGACGATGCGATGTGAATTTCAGATAACGCGTCGGAGAGTTCAAGAAGCAGGTGGTCTCAAACACAGGCGAGCTGTCCAACTCTGTGTCAGCACTTTTGTTGTGAACATTGTCGACACCGGCGGTGCGTAATCTGTGGTGCACTGGGCACCACAGATTACGTAAAACGGGGGAAGAAACATACAAACTTCACACTGAAAAGGTGTGCCCAGGTCAGGAATCGAATCCAGGTTTTACTGCGTCAGCCTGCCGCACAAGTATGAGTTCACGTACAGGAGCGAGATGGATGGGAGCAGCACTGGACTTTGGAAGTCGGTGATGGCGTGGGGCTGTGGAGAGGCAATGTATGATGATGATGGCGATGATGATGACGATATTGACCCACGCACAACAATCTCAAATGGTCCTGGATGCAATGCACTGAGACCAGCGTGGTTTTATTCCCAACGTCAGTGCTCGTCAAGACGGAAATAACCACGTGCACGCACGTCGTCGGAACGGAATCGGGAGAAAAAAGGTGATTGGCGTACACGTTCGTTATTGGAATGGGAAAGGGTTCATTGATCTTGGGTGGATAATGGGCTGGAACAATACGGGAATCCAGAAACCAGAATACGCCGTGTCCTGTGGTATAAGCACGTTACCGTGCTCCGCTTGAAATTCAACAGAAGGGAAACTTCTGCTTGAAGGCTTCCAAAGCAATCAGCTGCTGGTCCTTCTCATAATTACAGAGACACAACCCCACAGTCCCCCCTTAAAGAACGTTAACCGGCTGAGTTACCCCTCGTACATTCGGGAATGAGGTCAAAACGTGTTGGTTTTTTTAATACACAGCAGCTTCAAGCGGTGACATTCGCAGCACGGGCAGCTGCTACGCAATCACTGGGGGGGGGGGGGAGGAAAGGGGGGAGGGAAGGGGGGCCCTTCGTGGCTCACAGCAAGAAGGACCTGGGTTTGATTCCCGACTCGGGTGCCTTTCTATGAGAATATTGTGTGTTTTCTCTCCCCCTGTTTTCCATGGGTTTCTCCGATTTCCTCCCATAGCTGAAAAACAGCGATACAATGTAACCGGTATTGCCTCAAAGCATCTCAATACCCAGGAAAATCACCTGCAAATTACTCAAATGGGATCACACACACACACAGCAGCGACAAACTGGACAGGACTCTCCTGAAAGACAGCCTGGAGACTCTTTGGAGGCTTTTCTGAGTAAATAAGATGAATAATAATAACACTTTTAAAGATAACACCAAACATATCATGGCAAGACCATCTCCCAATGCCGCTACAGCGGAGAACTACATGTAAACGCATCGTCTCGAGCGCCGTGTTCGTATTATTACTACGCGGCTGACTAATATTGGGAATTCATCGTCGCGGGAAGACTTACGGATTTCTCAGGATGGCTAACAAAACAGGTGCAAACCCCAAATACGGACGGCGAGACAAATAACAGAGCAGAAACGTTGCTCTGATTGCGTGTGCGGTGGGGAGCGGTAGTGTAGCGGTTAGCGCGCTGCGCTACAAACCCGAGGACCCAAGTTCGATTCCCGCTCATTAGTTGCCACCCGCCCTCCCGCGGTCCGTCCACAAGGCGTGCGGCGACGGGCCGCCAGCCTCAAGGACAGCCGCTCAGCGAGAGCAGGCCGAGGCGCACGGCCGCCGCCCGGCAAGGATTGGTGGAGCTCCGTCGCCGTGGGAGTCGCGAGGATATGATGGCAGTGTAGCAAAGCAAGTGGGTTAATGTCCACGTGTTCTCTCTGAACGGGGTTTCGAGGGTTATCCCCCATCGCGCGTATGTTTTTTTTTCCCACAGGTTTCCTTCCACACGTATAAAAAAAAAAAACCTTCAAGAAAAAACGTTGGTCAAACATCCCAGTATATATATAGTATGCTAGAGCTTGGTCATGCATTGTGTCAAGTTCCGTGCGGCAGAGATCGAATCGGACCGGATGACCTCGGGATCGCAAGCCCCGAGTCTCAAGGATCTTTTTCAGGAGGCTTCTGCCAGGCTATTGCAGTAAGTGGCAATGACACATTTGCGAGTCATTCTTCTAATTTGACTCTGACCGAAGAAGTCAAAACTAGGGGACAATTTGTGAATCAATTAAGCTAGCCGTGGTCACCTCTCTTCACAGCGGTAACCTCTCTTCACCGCCACGTTCCTCCCCAGCCACGGCCAAGCACCGTGATATTCTCAACAACGACAATAAACGTGCGGGCCCAGGGTTTCATATCGCCGGCGCGAGGGATTCGCCACGGGGCCGAATCCATCACGGCGAGACGTGTGTTAACGCCGCGCCGAGCGTCATTCGTCACGGTGGCCACATGCCGCTCTGTCGTCAGCGGAGGGCGTCTCCGGGAGGGATTAAACGGGCGGGTTCACGCGGGGGCGGCCAAACGGTGCCCGCGCGTCACTGCTGCCCGGGGTTGCCCCCTGTCTTGGTTTTCCCCAGGGATGGTTCTCTCTCGCACGAAGTACACATGCTCTCCCGGGAAAATCTTCCCGGGATGTTAAAAGTTACGTTTTTTTTTTACACGTATCGGCGGCGTAACAGTAGTAGCGGTAATAATAATACACCGCTCAAGACGATGCATTTGCACGGGGTTCTCCCCGCTTTCCTCTACTGTAAGATACTCATCCTCCCCTGGTTGCAGCACGGAGGTGGCGACCCTGGCGTCGATCCCATTGCACGGCGCGTGCTCCGGTGACGTTGCGGCGCGCACTCGTCGGCGGCTCACAGCCGCAGACGATGTATCAGCCTCCCTCCCTGCCCCCCCCCGCTCCCTGCCCCCCCAACCCGGCTCGTTATTAATGAGCGCATCGCTGCGGCGTGGGCATCGCCGCTATCTGGGGAACCTCGTGCTCGGTGAGACGGTGATTTACGGCCACAATTCGGAAACACCGCAGATTTCAGTTGTCGCGTGCGAATGACGAACTACGAGGATTAATACGCATGAATATATATGCGGTTGTATTTTATGTTACCTTATTTAACCAGGAGAGCCACGCTGAGTGGGAAGACTCTTTTTAAAGCGACTCCTGAATTCGGATGCTTGGCTAACACCAATTACACCGAATTTTTTGGACCGCTGGCAGGAATCTGGAGAGCCCGGAGGAAACCCGCGTAAAACAGGGGAAGGGGCTGGGGGATCACACAAACTCCACGCAGAAAGATGTGCCCAGGTCGGGAGTCGAACCCAGGTTCACTGCGTCAGCCTGCCGCCCAAGGATCAGGATGAGTGCACGTACAGGAGTGAGATGGATGGGAGCAGGACTGGACTTTAAAAGTTGGTGACAGCGTGGGGAGGTGGATAGTCGATGGCGATGATGATGATGGCGATGATGTTGATATAGACCCATGCACAACAATTCAAAATGCCCCCGGATGCACTGCACCGAGACCAGCGTGGTTTTGTATTTCTGCGATCGTCAAGACGGATCGTCGTGCAGCTCGCTCGTCACTGAGTGGATGGCCGAGGGATTCACTCACATACACTCTCACACAAAGCGACTCACACACACAAAGCGACTCACACAAAGCGACTCACTCACACAAAGCGACTCACACAAAGCGACTCACTCACACAAAGCGACTCACGCACAAAAAGCAACTCACACAAAGCGACTCACACACACAAAGCGACTCACTCACACAAAGCGACTCACTCACACAGCGACTCACACAAAGCGACTCACACACACAAAAAGCGACTCACTCACACAAAGCGACTCACTCACAAAAAGCAACTCACACAAAGCGACTCACACACAAGCGACTCACTCACACAAAGCGACTCACTCACACAAAGCGACTCACTCACACAAAGCGACTCACTCACACAAAGCGACTCACTCACACAAAGCGACTCACACACACAAGCGACTTACTCACACAAAGCAACTCACACACACAAGCGACTCACTCACTCACACAAAGCGACTCACACAAAGCGACTCACTCACTCACAGAAAGCGACTCACACAAAGCGACTCACTCACACAAAGCGACTCACACACACAAAGCGACTCACACAAAGCGACTCACTCACACAAAGCGACTCACTCACAAAAAGCAACTCACACAAAGCGACTCACTCACACAAAGCAACTCACTCACAAAAAGCAACTTACACAAAGCGACTCACACACACAAAGCGACTCACTCACACAAAGCGACTCACTCACACAAAGCGACTCACACAAAGCGACTCACACACACAAAGCGACTCACACACACACACAAAGCGACTCACTCACACAAAGCGACTCACACAAAGCGACTCACTCACACAAAGCGACTCACTCACAAAAAGCAACTTACACAAAGCGACTCACTCACACAAAGCAACTCACTCACAAAAAGCAACTTACACAAAGCGACTCACACACACAAAGCGACTCACTCACACAAAGCGACTCACACAAAGCGACTCACACACACACAAAGCGACTCACTCACACAAAGCGACTCACACACACACACAAAGCGACTCACACACACAAAGCGACTCACACAAAGCGACTCACACACAAGCGACTCACTCACACAAAGCGACTCACTCACACAAAGCGACTCACTCACACAAAGCGACTCACACACACAAGCGACTTACTCACACAAAGCAACTCACACACACAAGCGACTCACTCACACAAAGCGACTCACACACACACAAAGCGACTCACACAAAGGGACTCGCACACACAAGCGACTCACTCACACAAAGCGACTCACACAAAGGGACTCACACACACACAAGCGACTCACTCACACAAAGCGACTCACACAAAGCGACTCACACACACACACACAAGCGACTCACACAAAGCGACTCACTCACACACACAAAGCGACTCACACACACACTCACACACACAAAGCGACTCACTCACACACACAAGCGACTCACTCACGCAAAGCGACTCACTCACACACACACAAGCGACTCACACAAAGCGACTCACACACACACAAAGCGACTCACACAAAACGACTCACACACACACACAAGCGACTCACACAAAGCGACTCACTCACACACACAAAGCGACTCACACACACACTCACACACACACAAAGCGACTCACTCACACACTCACACACACAAAGCAACTCACTCACACACACACAAGCAACTCACACAAAGCGACTCACACACACAAGAGACTCACTCACACAAAGCGACTCACGCAAAGCGACTCACTCACACAAAGCGACTCACACACACACAAGCGACTCACACAAAGCAACTCACACACACACAAAGCGACTCACCCCAAAGAAAACAAATTTGGGACCCCCCCCTTCCCCCACTCTCTTTCAATGCATTCAATCCATCCTACTGAAGATGAAAGAAGAGATATGTGGACAAAAGATACAGATGTAGTGAGGTGGGAGAGGAGAGCGGCAGTCGTGACTTTTATGTTAATTGGGCTCGACAAAGTGATGAATCCACTACCCCTTGAAGCTGCCCGAAGCCCTAAGCGTGACGGTCAGTCGCCTTACAACCAGCGGCCACCCCTGGCTGAACGTGTCTCCATAGAAATGGGGATAGCCTTCAAGATCCAGCATGGCCTCGTGTAGGCTGCCACGGTGGCGAAATGTTAACTACCTCGCCCGGTATACAAGCGGTCGTGGGTTCGATCCCGACGCCTTTAGTCGCGTGAAATTTTCTCCGTGTCCTCCGGTTTTTCCCCTCCACATTTAGAATCAACATCACCACGCGTTTCAGAGTGCTTGGCTGCTATAAATATTTCCACGTCATAAGCCACTTAATTTGTCGCCATATCGCTTCTGAACAAAAGTTTAGACCTGGGAAAGAGTGACGGGCCACGTGAAGCCGGACCGGTGAGTCTCCACCGGCTGGGTCCGCCGTACCTTTACCTTTGGGGCACGAATGCTTCTTGCCGTCGACCTCGGGGCCCTTGCCTCCCCGGTCGGCGACGACGGCGGCCGCGGCCGCGGCGGCCGCGGCGGCACGAGCAGCCTCCTTGGCCTGCTTCTCCTCGAGCACGCGCGCCCGCTCCGCGTCCAACGCGATGGCCTTCTCCAGGAGGCTCAGGTTGCCCCTCACCATGTCGAAGGCCTCCGAGCGGTCCGAGCCGTCCGACTTGACCGACGCGCCGTCCTCGTAGTCCTCGTGGCCCGGGCCGGCGGGCTCCGCGCAGCGGCGTGCGTACGCGGCCCTCGCCTCCTCCTCCTCCTCCTCTTCCTCCTCCTCCTCTTCCTCCTCCTCCTCCTCCTCTTCCTCCTCCTCTTCCTCGTCGTCGTCGTCTTCGTCGTCGTCATCCTCGTCGCCGTGCCCGCGTCCCGTCAGGTGCTGCCCGGGCTTCACCTCGCACACGAGGCCGCCCTCGGGCTTCGGCGCCGCCGGCGCCCCGGCGTGCCGGCGGGGCGCCGGGGCGCCCCCTCCGGCCGGCGTCAGCGGCGAGCGGCGGGGGCCCCGGCCGTCCAGGAGGTCGCTCGGTGGCTGCGCGACGCCGAAACGCGCCGCCGCTCCGGCCGCCGCCGCCGCCGCCGCGGCGCCGCCGCCGCCGCCGCCGCCGCCGCCGCGGCGCTCGAAGCGGCCGCCGCGGTTCTTGAGCGGGTCGGCGAACGCGGGGAGCGCTTTTGCCGTCGCCGTCCAACGAGCGGCCGGGACGCTGCAGCGCGGCGGCCGGGGCGGCGGCCGGAGCGGCGGCGGCGGCGGCGGCGGCGGAGTCCGGACAGCAGAGGGCCGGGCGATCGTCGGCGGCGGCGGCGGCGGCGCCGGCGCAGTCCGGCGCGGCGATGGCGCCGTTGGGGCCGAAGGCGGCCCGGTCCGCGCCGCCCTCGCGCGCCGCGAGCCGCGAGCTCCCGTCGCGCGGCGCCGTCCCGCCGGGCGGGGGAGGGGCGCACGCCATGCTCCCCACCGCGATGTTGCCCAGGTTGAGGAGGGAGTTGGCCACGATCTCGTCGTAGTCCTCCACGGCCTTGCCCTCCGAGTCGGTCCACGCGCCGCCGCCGCCGCCGCCGCCGCCGCCGGCGTTCGCCTCGCCCACTGCCAAAAACGCAAGCGAGGAGCGCGGCCGTTGGCGCGGGCGACTCGGTACCGCGCGCTCGAAAAACGCCCGAAGCCGCGGAGCAACGCCCGACGCTGCCCTCGCATTCGTGAAGTTTGCAGTTCGTCGTAACAGAGCACGGATCAGAATGAAGGTGAAGTTCACATCCGAGTTCGGGGTCAATTCAGCTCACCCTCCCTTGAGGGTTACTAAATGCAAAAGCACCAATTGTGCTCGAAAACCAGCAACACCAGCAGCAGCAGCAGCAGCAGCTTCCAGTGCTGCTTTATCATCGAGCGCAGAAGTCAACTGCTCATTACAGTTCCTAAAGCTCTTAGAACGAGGAGCAAAACGTCGGACATCACACGGTAGGACCCGAAATCACATCAGAGCACCGTACAGCCACCGCGGAAACCGACGCAGTGAAACTGGAACCGTTCTACAGGAAGTCGACGCGTCAAGGCGCCGGCCACGGCGGTGCCGTGCGTCGCGAGCAAAGGGTACCTGGAGCGTCGCGGGCGACGGCGGCGGTGGCGGCAGTCGAGGACGAGGAGGAGGCGGAGCAGCAGGAGGAGGAGGAGGAGGAGCGCAGGTCGTCCCGTAAGCACCCCCTCTCGGGCAGCAGCGCCGCGTGCCCCGACTCCGCGGGGTCCCTTCTCGCCCACGAGTCCACCCGGTGCGGTCGTCCTCCCTCTTTGACCTGGGCCGTCGTTTCGCCCACCTCGTTGGCATTGCCCTCTTGATGCTGCTGTTGCGACACGGGTCTCGTGTCACCCTGGGGTGAGCCCTCCGAGGACAACCTCTTCACGGGCGGCTCGTCCTCGTCCGTCTCTTCCCCCTTCCTCCGCTTGGCCAAGGGGCAGCCATACGCACTGCGGGCAGGAAGCGCGTGGGGTTAATAGCATCGGTTAAAACGCAAGTCTTCTTAGATACATGCCTAGGTTTTCACAGACTATCTTATGATTCACCATTGATTTTTTTTTTATCAGGCCACATAAGATCTGCCACCGCCCAAGATTCAGGAACTCAAAATCTGAATTCATTGATCTTATTCTGACTTCCTGAATCTTGTCCTCAATGTGCTTGGTGTAGTTTCAAGCAAAACTTCGCTCATCTTAACGCTATATTTGGCTGTGAAAATTGTCGTTTGCCTTACCGTTAAAATGAGCCGTGACAATAATTGGTATGTTAAAACGCGTGCACGTTACACGTGGCTGTTTTATCAGTGTGGCTATGTCAGACGGTGCAGGGTCTTGCGAGACACATATTTGGCCAGATCATTGTGGCTGAACTCAAAAAACAATTGTGAATCACGAATCTATTTATTATTATTCTTGCAACTACAACGGCAGCAAAAAAAAATCGAAGTTGAGAAGCACAGAGCAATACCACAGTGGCCCGAAGGCACTGCGCTGCAAAATCGCCGTTCCCAACTACAACGTCAAAATATTCTCCACCGCTGTTTCACTCTTATCTGTTTTTCATGGTCAGTGTACATCGTCATCATCATCAGCAGCAGCAGCAGCCGCCATGGTCAATCCACTGCCAGATGAAGGCCTGTCCAAAGCCGCCACCACCTCTCACGATCCTGCGATGTAAACACCAATAGGCGCCCGAACTGATTTCATCGTTCCATCTCCTTCGGCGGAGGTCCAGTTTAGGACACGTTCCGTTCCTTGCCTGCAACTCCCGTATTGGTCTCGACCATTCCATCGCTTTGTTTTCGTTGTCATTTCGTGTTGGGAGAAATAAAATAAAAATACAAACGTTTGGCTGCGCAGGGCTTCCTTGAACCGACAAAGATGTTGGCGAGACAACATGAAATTGTGTTCGTTGGATAAAGCAAAGATCGTATCTCACGCACTTGCAGTGTGTATTGTATACGCCTCGAGATAATACAAAAAAGTAGTAAAACGCTGCCGTTTGAAATGCGGCAGTGCCAAGAGAAAGAAAGAGCTCAATTGAACAGATAAAATAAAGTTTGCACATTCATTTTCTGCTTGGAAGGAAAAAAGGCTCTCATTCTCATAATACCTGAACATTATCCCCAAATGAGAACTGCATTGCCCTAGGATCCTATTAGCTTGAAACAAATTCTGCGAAATAATCTGCGAGCCCCTGCTGTTTTGATGTTCCACTGTAATTTTATTTTTTAGTGTTATGAACAGACACCCTCTCCAGCGTCGTTAGTGGCCGCTGCTGCTGCTGCTGCCGCGTGATGCTGCCATCATCTTGAGAAACAGTTCGCAACAAGGGAATAACGCGTAGCGCCACCACCGCCACCAACACACGTACAGCTGTGCCGACAGGAAACGCAATCTTTCTTATTATGATGACTATGATGTGGGATTTGTTAACCGCTAAGGCTGATTATCGCTCTCACCGCCCTCTTTCTCCTGCTCCTTCCTCATAAAAATGCAATCTATCTCACATGCATTATTTCTCGTGGCGGAGACAAAACATTTTTTTATTTAGAGTTGCACAATGTGGTTTAAATGTCAACCACTAAATCCCAGAGGATGTGAACTTCTATTATTCGACGATAAAGGGCTTTTTCCGCGATATGCCAACATTCGTGCCAAAGCGTCAGGAACACTTTTTTTTTACTTCTGCCCAATAATGTACTTTTTTTGCGTGGTATCTCTGGGTGTTCCGCACAGCAATTGACATTTACGCCAGAGTCCTAGGGACACCGTGTTCAAATGTCAATTTTGATGCAGGTTCTTGCCGCGTTCTTTTTTTCCTCTCCAGGTCAAGGACAACAACGCGCTCACGACCCACGTGACGTGATGCGCCACGTCCATTCTCTTTGATATGAGCACTTGATCCATCCGACGCGAGCCATCGCTTACGATTTACATTTCGTCTCGTCGACGTCCCTCCGACGCACGGCACCCTTCCGACAATTAAACAGCGCCCGACACGTCGCAGGTCGTCCGGCGTGCTCGGTCACAGAGCCCATCGTTAAAAACATCGCCCGGTTGGACGTTCTTTTCCCTCGGCAAACTCAAGACGGGCGGGGAAGAAGGTGGGTTGGTGGGGGCGGAGTGGCTGACATGTGGGGCGGGCTGGGAGGCCCCTCAAATTAGCCGAGGGGTGGAGGTCTCACGCGGGCCACAAGCAGCACGTCCTGTTGGCACCGGGCCCGTGGCTCCCAGACGTGAGGGCGGTGTAAATGGGGCTGGGAAGAAATGGGTTCCACATTCTTTTGAAGTCTGCCTCCCTTCTATTGAGGGAGGCTGTAGCTGATATGCACCTCCGATTTCCCGCGCCTCCGATTAGCACGGTTGGTGCAAAAGAAGTTCAACATACGTACATGCATGCATGCATACGTTACAGGGCCGTTGTTCCGTGGCACTAAGAATGAGGGTTCGTGTGATTTCCACGTGCTCAGCATAATAAGGATTTCCATGTTATGTTTCTGTTGTCTCTTTAAGCACCGTGGAACGGTTTCCGCTGCTTGCCGGCTGCATCACCGAAGGGGTTTCCAAGTGGGGGTGGTGCAGGGGGCATTCACCTCCCCCCACTTTGTCGCGGGGGAGAGAAGTTCTGCTGTGACTATCGCCGACGCAAGTGGTGATTTGCAGCACCGTAGTGTGCGCCCACTCTTACCTGGTGTGCACACCAGGTAAGAGTACCGTCGTTAGCATGATCGGCATTTACATCGCCCGGTTGAAGGGAGGACTCAAAAAGGGCACGATATGCTGTGGGTGTCTCTTAGCCACGTCCAAACATGTTGGGCGCTACCTCTAAGCCACGTCTCAGTTTGTTGAGCGGTCGGTTTGACTCCACCTCAACTCCGAGCCACAGCTTTGCAAGCAACGCGCTGCCATTCCCAGCGCAGCAGGTGGTGGAGGAGGCGGTGTTGTTATTGGGTCGACGTTCGCGCCACGACTTCGTGACCATGGCGGCCCCTTGCAGCCGAGCCGGGTCCGGGTGTCGGGAGTTCCGCGGGGAACGGGCGTCAGCGGCGTGCGCGTCTTTAGAAAGAGCAAACAACGCGGTCGACCTTCGTAGAATATAAATCCAAATTAAATGTCACACGCCGCTCGGCCAAAATCCGCAAAATATTGTTTCCCGCCTAATCAAATAAAAAAAGGTCCAGCCCTTTGTCAATCCACCGCTGAGCGGACGACTCTCTGCAGACGGCATCTGTCATGGCGGTGGTTTGTCATACTTCACCCTGCTCGTGAATGGAGCGGCTGGCGGGTACCAGGATGGCTTCAGATATCCCTCGCCACTCATGTCAGCCGTGGTCGGTGGGCTCACAACACAGCGTGTTATCCAATGTACCAAGTCACCACGTCCACAACACGCGTATTTTCGCGGCCATTCAAAATGCCAGGATGATCTCATTCGCACTAGTGCGCCTCTGCGACCATCTGGAACGCTCTTCCCTCCGATGTTAGGAAGCCACTGGAGCTATGCACTTTGAAATCTAGATTTAAAACTCTCTTTAGAACTTCTTTTTGTGTTTGGTTTGTTGTCCTTCCCCCGCACCTCAGATCAGCACGGTTGGCTATATACGGCTTTAGAGAAGTTCAACATGCACATAACCGTCTCTGTTCTCTCCTCCTCCACGAGCACAGAAGTTCATTCCCTGAGCACCATCACCGGAAGGCGTGCTCGGCTCACTCAGGCCACGCTCGTACTGGCCTCCAGGTAACTTAGTCCCGCTTCATCATCATCACCACTACGATCATGATGATGATCACCGTGGTGGTGGTGGTGATGATGATGATGATGGTCATCATCATCATCAGCAAGGCAACTCATGTGGGAACATGCGATAGGTCCAAATCAGCAATGACGACCGCCCACGGACGATCAATCGGCAAACACCTCCGCCTGCAGGGTTAACTCGAGGTCTGTGCTGCCCCTTTTCTGCCGAACGGCACGACGGACTGTTCTGAAAAGGGCCCCACTCACAAAATTTCGAGCGGCCGAGCACGTGAGCTGCCGGGGCAGGGAAGCCGCGAGCAGAGATCGCACAAAGGGAGGCATTTAGCATCATAAATTAAAGATCTCAGAAGAGGATAAGCATTACTTATTTAACACAGGTTGTGCCACGTAAGCTTTTAGATTTGACAAACGGGAAATGTTAGGGTCCATTTGCTGCTGCGCCACTTAGCGGAGATAATCAACTACAGGGATTAGGGCCAGGTGCGCCCGGTCACGGTGGCCTTATCCAGGTCACACGTAGTCAATGCCAGGACCATTTTGAAATTATTCCGGGCAACCATTTTATTTTCATGCAGACACATCACCAACGACTTAACATTTCTAAAATGTAACGGTGCTGCCCTGGAATTGCGAGCTCACTTCACTGCGTGCAGAAGGGCCTTCCACACCTGGGGGGCTCCAGAGTAGCCCTTCTCGAGAGCGTTTCGGCCGACTCTTTCTCACTCGCCAGACGTCTCAGAAGAACCATTTTTTTGGTTTGTAGCTCAGAGGTGGCAACCCTACTGATGCCCCTTCTGCCCCGTGCCTCTCACCCACCTCGCCCACGAGCCAAGCCCACGAACGCAAAGAGCCCTCCCCTACCCAACCCGTCCCCCCCGCCCATCCACCCCGGAAAATAACGACCACCGCAAAAGCACCGCCTTGCCGTGACCCCTTGGCAAACGAGCCGAGCCAGAGGGGAGAAATGTTCCCTCTGTGGCTCGTCTCGCCGTGCCGAACGCGTGTCTTGGAGGCATCGTTAGAGAACTGTATTTCTGTCTTATGTGTACGTTGTATAATTTTAATCGTTAAAGGTTTGTGCTCCGTTGACAGCCTTTGAATTACGATAGCCAGGCAAGCCGGGCAAAGGATCCATAAAATAAATATATACGTGTGTTAAAAGTTGCACTGAAAATGCGCTTTTGTGCACAAATGCTCAATTATCTCCAACTGTGAGTGAAGTCCTTTGAAAGGGGAAGTTGGGAGCATGCTCACCTGAATACATCTTGAACCATGGAATCCACTACGGAATGGGAGGGATCGAAGAAATGAGACGAATTAGCCAAGCGACACAGGAGGATTAAGCAGAACCCAACATCACGCAAACAGCAATCAGAGCTTGCGAGGCCGTACGAACGCCACGCAGCCGCTCGCTTCAACGATTTAAACGCGTTTGGAAAAGACGAGTGTCATCAATGGCATTTACATTTTAACAAAGTGAAAAATAAAACATGCCGACCGCACGCCCCCCCCCCCTGCCCCCCCCCTGCCACGCCCCCCCCCCGCCCCGCCGCCTCCGTAATTTATAACGGGCGCCAGCGCACAGCGGGCGCCACGGACTCACTCACGTTTCATCCCTTTCGAGCAAGTGTGCAGCCTGTTCTCGTCCCCTTCCAAATCCATCTGCATGCGCGCCAAACACGAGAGAGCACAAGAACAGCGGCGGCGCCGCCGCCCTTTCAAACAAAACCATAACCGGCGCTCGCCCTGGACTTCCGTTGCATTCGCGTGCTTACGTTGGGACTCCTTTCGCGTCGCGCGTAGCCAACCGCGATTAATCGGAGGCGCGGGGGAAGGACGGCGACAAACTAAACGCAAAGAGCGGTTTTCAAAAAAAACGCTCTCACGTCACTGCTGGTGGGAGGGCCCTGACTAGAGGGAGCTTTTTAGGTGGTGGAGAGGGCATTTGGCCGACTCTTCCACGCTTGTCTTGGAAGAGGTGAGAGTTCCCAGCCCAGGTGAACGTGCCAATCGAGGTGCGTGCATTTTCCCCGCTTGGTCGGACAGAGGAGGGGATTTAATAAATGTAAATTTCGTTGTTTCAAGTGTGCCGCACCAGGAGATCAAGCTGCTATATCTGTATTGCAAGTCCAGTGAATACCACCCATCACATCATGACGATATCGCTCTCAATGGGATATGAGGTTTATCTATATACTGCCTTTTGTCAGTCGACTGCAGGATGCGTCACGTGGGTCGTGGGCGTTATTTGGCTATACTTCACCACTCTGGTCAGTGCGGGTTGATGAAGGTGGGAAGCATGAATGCCATATAAATGAACCCTCTCATCATCATGCTCATTCTCATCCTCATCACTGCATTGTTGTTCAAGAGCTTTGCCACTACAGCAAGGCTCCGCTAAAGTAGTTCTCAACTTTTTCCTGTACGGTGGGCCCCCTCCAATCAAGACCATTGCCCTCCATACCCCCCACAGCCCAAGGGGACTAACGCCACAATACAGAGACAGAGAGAAAAAGACCACGTGCCCATACCTTGATTGAACATGATGTTAGTAAGCCGTGTGTTTACAAAGCATTTGTTTCATGTCACGCATTCGTGTGTGGTTTTTTTTTGCCGTTAGCGCGGTGCCGACTTCATCCGTGGACATTTATCCTGCACGGTATCCATGCCGCAGCCCGTGCCCACCCCTCAAGGTCTTAGGCACTCCGCCCAGCCCCACCCACCCAATGGGCTGAGAACCCCGGCTCCGCCGTTCGATGGCACCAGAGAGAAACACCGTCGTGACAAAAAATAACTCTATGGCCAATCAGTTAGCAACTCTAACTGTACTCCTAGTCCAACACCAATATTCCACATATCAATACCAGGTCACCCCATCAACACACCTACTGCCGCATCCAATCGTCATCATCATTAGGGTCGCCACATTTGAATGTAACAAAATACGGAAACAAACGACATGCGCAATAAATGTGTTATGCTTCACGTATCGTGACAAGTTGGTGTTTGGGGCAAATATGTTAATTCACGCAAAGCTATTTAAAGACTTCAAATAAATAAAAGTAGCGCCGAAAAGACCAATCGAAACTGTGTACTGTGCGCATGACAATCTGGGTGGGAACGTGGTTGATAATGGGAGTGAGCGTTTGCCGCTTGTCGCAGAGGCTCGCGGTTCAGGCCAAGGGAGGGGTGCCAGCAAGCGACCGAGCGAGCGAGCGAGCGATGGTGGCGGCACCACGCACCCTGTGCTGGGCAGGGAGTGGAGGCCGAGCGGCGGGGGATGGGCCGGCGCTGGCCTCCAGGCGGCAGGCGGCAGGGACTCTCTCCCGGCAGCTGCGCGCCCAGTGGCCCGGCCTCAGCAGCTCGCCGGCAAAGGCATTCTCTGCACCGCGGCAAACACAACGCGCGCGTGCACACACAGGCACACACACGGGCACACAAGCAGACAAATAAACACACCGCTCCATATGGAGCAGTCGACTGTAGAGGTGGTATTTATCTCCTCCGGCCGGGGTGTAACGGTCAGCACACTGGAACCATTAAAGTAAACCATTTTTTATTTTACCAGGCAAGGCCCACTTAAGCTACGTAGCTCTTTTTTTCAGAAGCGACCTGGCCACAAATGATTGCTCAACGAAGTGGCTTACCGCGTGGAAATTTATAGTAGCCAAATACTCTAAACGCAACTTTGATTCTAAATGTGGAGGAAAAAACCGGAGGACCTGGAGAAAAATCCACGCGACCACGGGTAGAGAGAGAGAACACGCAAACTCTAAATATACAGCAGGCGTCAGGGTCTGGATCGAGCCCATGACCTCCTGTATACCAGGCGAGGGAGTTAACATTTCGCCGCCGCGTCAACACCCGGAATGTTGCCCCGTGTCGGTCAGATGGTGGAAGCTATGCGAAGGTGAGACGCGCAGGTACGGGCTGCTGCGTGGCACCCCTGGTTCGGCTTGATCAATCCACCGCGGGATGAAGGCCTGCCTCTATCCACATAACAGCTGCTCTACACAGAACATGCATACAAGTGACTCGATAGACTGTGAGGGATGATGACGATGATGATGCCACTGTGGCGGTATCATGGTTGTCACATCAGAACCTGCATCCAGGAGGTCGTCTGTTCGGTTCAATCTCCCACACCATCACACCATGGCAGTTGAAACAATGGGGGGCAAGTTTCTTAAATCCGCCTAACTCCCTCGTCAAGCCCCCACTTTTGTCCACCCAAAAATATAAATCGGCGCACCGCAGATTGACGGTGCCCGTGCAGTGGGCTTAAGTGTGGATACTCCCACCTATTTCAAGACGTTTTTTGTTTTGTTCCTGTCGAGGTTGCTGAGCACGGGCCCAAAACCGCAAGTGGCCAGCAACAATCATGGCTCTTGAAGTTGTAAAGGATAATCCTTCATATGCCTTTTGATCTCAGAAAGGTAATCAGAACATGACCAGCATGGAATAGTAGGCCATATACCCTCTACAGGGGATCTACAGAGCTCCATCTATGGGAAACCCTTCCGTCAGCATTGACACTTACAGGGCTGCACCTTTAACTATTAACTTTCACTGCACCAGGCTCAGACTAATCATCGAGTAAGCAAATGCCAGAGTTTGAATGTCATATCGTCGGCCAAACTTACATCTCAACATCAATCAGTCGGCAATTGATTAAAGTGCAGGGTGGTACATTCCGGTCTCCCGGACTGGAATGTACCCAGCCTCCCAGTCCAAACTTGGCCAGCAGCACGTGGAGCCAACTTTGTCTTTTTATTGTCACAATTCACGAGGCATTCATTTGAGGTTGAGTCAACCTTGGGGAAAACAAAGCGAGGCTACATTCAGATACCACTTGCCAATGATATTGTACTCTTTGTTTATTTTTCGGTAAAGTCACGTAGGTAAAAAATAAAATAAAAATAAATGAAAACAACTAAATTTATTTTTATTTTATTTTTTACCTACGTGACTTTACCGAAAAAACCAAAGAGTATGAATCCTTGCAGTCTCGAAAGCTTAAAATCTAGAATTAAATGATATTGTACTTGGCCAAGATTGAAACTTGAGTCCATTTGGATCGTAAGATATCTAGGCAGTGTGGAAGAGTAGGCCAAATACTCCAAATACCCCTCTAGCGGAGACCATTCCACCAACAGCGGCATAAGCCACCAATTGCAGGGCTGCGCCTTCGTCTTCAACTGACTTGGATTGTATATCCTCGACTATCCGTCAGCTGACTAACCAACTCTTGGGTGCGTTGTTCATTACTCCGCCACGAAGCGCCGAATCAGAACTGGCGCTCGAGCACGCGCGGCAAACGTGTCCCCGTGTCCCAGTCCTCGAATCGGGCGAGCAGTGGTCAAAACCAAAACGGCAAAATCACCCAGCGTGGCCACGAGCACGGGCCCCCGCGTCTGCCCGCACGCTGCACTTACAGTCACTCGCACGCGTGCCGGAACCCTTGGATAGAGATGTGCCGCACACCTCCTTAATTACATCCTCGCAGGTACCTCGGTGCTCAAGCCAAACAGAGCAAGCGTTATATAGTTGTACTTTAGAAGTACACACGTACACACTCTCTCGCATTAGCCACATAAACGGGGCAAGTGCTGTTAGCGAGCCCCTATTAAGGTTGGAATGGACAGGTGAGGGGTGGTAAAGCTAGCACCGTGTTGATGTTTACACAGTACAGCAGGCACTCATTAATTTAAGGATGAGTTTGGATACTAAACTAAAACTGAACTCTTTTCTTTTTACCAGGTAAGGCCCACTGAGCTATGTAGCTATTTTTCAGACGTGACCTGGCCACAAATGAAAGCTCAACGCAGTGACTTATCATCATGTGACAATTTATAGCAGCCAAATACTTTGAAGGCACGTTTCTAAAATGTGGAGGGAAAAACGAGGACCCGGATTAAAATCCACGCGACCACGGGGAGAACATGGAAACTCCAGATATACAGGCATCAGAGTTGGTATCAATCCCACAACCTCCTGCATACCAGGCAAGGTAGTTAAAATCTCGCCACCGGGACACCACTGATGATTTCCCATGGCTGGGAATCAAACCGAGGTCACCGGGTTATTTGTGTTGTGTGCTAACCACTGTACTGCCACTGCTCCCCCACATCAGAGAGAGATACAAAACTCCCCCGTGTAGCCTTAACAGACTATTGAGGCAAGTGCTGTTATCGAGCACCTATGAAAGCCGGCATGGCACACAAAGGGGTGGGTGGCCAGCACCACACCCGACCGCCTTCGTCTCCCCAGTGCTGATGTTCACACCCTTCACCGGGTACTTTTAAGGCTCAACTAACCTAGGGGAGGCCCAGTTCAAATATTCGCCACTGCTTTTGGTTGTGAGCGGGAATAGAACTCAGGTCGCTGGGTTTGTAGTCCACTGCATTCACCACGACACGACATCTGCCACTCCCCACCCCACACACAGCAACACCAACAAAGTACATACAGAAATTTTGTTTTATCCTAATTAAAACCTTCAACTTAAAAGAACATTTATTTTAAACGTGTGTTTCAGATGTTTATTTTCACATTCACTAACACTGGCCCCTGTGCGTCGATGGAAAATGTGAATTTATATTATTTTAATCTACGTTGCTGAGCAGATAATGTGGTTATCTTGACCTAGTAACTCAATTACGTGGCGTTATGAAGTCGAAATGGAGTGTTCTTTCAAATAATCCACGTTATTATGAAAGAAAAAATTAAATTAACCATTTTTTTGTTCAGCGTTAAAACTGTCAAAACTGCCTGGGAACAGAGGTGCTATGTATTATTACACCACGGCCCTGCGAAGGCTGTTCCCAAATGCCGTCGTATCGTTCTTAACACCGCTACCGTGTTCAGCTAAAATTACAAAAGTGACACGTTGACTCTGAAACGGACAAGTGAACAACGGCATAATAAACAACGGACGTCAATTAAAAAAAATGTTAACTATATGCGCCACACACACATTCGTTACATAATTAATGAAACTATAACACTGCAGATAGTGCACTTCAAATATCTACCGACCAGTTTCTCTCTTTCAGTTAACGTGTAAGGTAATGTACCGGCAATGTTTCACGCCGGGCTTGTAAGCCCAGTCTATAGGCGTGAGCGGCGTATGAAGTGCGAGTGCATTAGTTCTTTGTTTAACTCTATGCCCGCAGCCACCCCAACACCCGAACAAAGAGACCGTGACACTTTACATTCTCGCAGCAAAGAGGAGCAAGGGAGGTCAAAATTAAAGCGATGGAGGCTCGAGCAGATGTAGACACAGGACCTTAAACCAAATTACTCAGACTATTGAGGCTATGTAGATGTGCCATCTGCCAAATGTTTAGCTGACTTCGGCTTTCTGGCAAAAAAAAAATCGACGTTTAAATCTCAAGCAGATATGAGAAGATGAACCATAGACGTGAATGGGATGGAATGGGAACCGTTGCCACAAGGGCTTGCCCAGTCGGCTGAGTGCGGGGAGCTGTCCTTGGTACTGAATGTGCCCGAACGAAACTGGATGTGTTTAGGGATTAGACACTTGATACGCGTTAAGTATTGCAGCGTCACTGCCTATTCTTGATGAAAAATAATCGAGCAAAATGTAGCGACGAAAAATCCAACGAGGCATCTTAATTTCTGCCGCTAAAGAATTAATCTAAACAATCGCCGATTAAACCGCACAAAAGCGCGGGTGGCAAACATCTTTTGTTAAGATAGATTTTCACTTCTGTTTTTTCTTAGCTACTCTGAAAGTTGTGTAACACATCGAATTTAACAGGTAGGAGGATAAACACACATTCGCAAACTCACAATTTTACAGACCACTCGCAAAAGGCTCACAAAAACAGGAAAATTAGCACAAAAAATCACCTTCCAAAATAGCAAAGCCCAATAATTCATAATAAAGCACAAGCAGAGAATAGGCCCAAAGCCAGCATGAGTGTCCACGCCACGGCGGTGGAAACTGCGCAACTTGGCTTTGTTGGGTACGGAGGCCACGGCGCCGATGCTACTCCTCGGCCCAGAGTTACGAGCTCGGCAAAATCATGCAGGAAAAACAAGCGATGGAGGATAGCCCCCCAGCAGCCCCGGCTACTCTGGCCGGTTCCGTTATGGTCCCCACAAAACGAACACCGCTTGGTGAATTATGAATCTCCGGCAGATGGGTGCGTGGAGTTTAGAGGCGGTGGAGTGGCGCTGTCATTAATAATTAATGTCGTAAATGGTGCTCACTCCCCACCTCCCCCCCCCCCCCTCTTGTAGGCCTGGCTACTACCAGCGTACAACATGGACGACGCAGCTATTACTGCACTCGAGTGGCAGTCCACAAACATGGGGCTCCATTCCAATGACAATATGGCTGCGCGCAACGCTCAA